AATAGGGACACTTGAAGGGTCTGCATATACGCTGATGGATAATGATGGTTAGACGGCTTATGCTCCATACCCATATACCCCTCACTGCTACTTGGCACCAACTTTTTTGTAAAGGTAATTTCTGTAGCAAAAGACACTCCCAGCCCCATAACCACTGTTGAGAAAACATGGCAACCCTAGACTCGATAATATGGAAATTGGCCTTCTTTTAGCTATGTTGTATAGTGCCAATTGATTTTAAATTAGCATTTTGCCCTCAGATTTATTTATTTATTTCAATCCGGAATTGCTCAGTCTTTGAAGTCCTGTTACCATTAAGTTTGAAGGTAAACTCCCATTGTTTTAACTACGAGCGGCAGGATTCAACCCTTTGCCTCTCTGCTCCCTTTGTTGTCACAGATAGATTCCTTCATTAAAATTTCTGCCCGAGGCAGAAAAAAAGAAGAAATGCAGCGGTAGTGAATAAGTGCTGCAATATTTACATCTGTCAAGCCAACCCCTCAATCATCGCTCCACCTTACATATTATGAAGATGACACTTTTTATAAAGCACCGGCAGCAGCTGCTGCAGCCAGAAGATAATTTGAGTTGCTATTACTTTCCTGAGCCATCTCCAAGAGTCGAAAATGCAGAGACCTACAGTGTGTCAGAGACCTGCTTCGTGCCACCTTACTGTAAGTCGGATCTCGTTCTTAAAAATAAAGCTTTGTGCCTTAGCACATTGCTAAGGACGGGCATCTCAGATGAACAAATATGAACATGCTATTGCAGGCAGATTTTACAGTCAGTGTTTGAATCACGGGGTGTGTGTGGTGTGTGGTGTTTGTGTGTGTGTGTGTGTGTGTGTGTGGATGTAAACATCTTTGGGGAAAGCACTGGGGATAATGGGGAGTTCTAAATAAAAATGAAATTCTGTTTATGTCACTGAGGAAAGTTCTAAATGAAAGATGTGTGAATGTAGCCATCAGCTTGAAAAAAGGCTATGGCACCAAACACACATTTCCTTGATGTCTAAAATTCTATTTCCTAGTCTTCAAGTGACCGAGCCTTTCATAGGCAGAGTGTTTGGAGTAGTACTTTCTTAATGATGCCAAACTGCTTATACTGGAACACTCTCCATTCAAGTTCCACAGATGCCTGTGAAATTAAATTCACACTACAGAGGTTTTAATGGATTATCTAGCTTGTCAATCTCTTACCTAGTGTATTTTTACACCATGATAATTAATGAAAACAGTGTTAGTTTCATGTTCTGTGTTCATAATGTTTGGCTTCTATGCACTGGAGTTTCGGATATATTTCTTAAAAATGTTTCTATTGAACGTTTTTAGCATGATTACAAAGACGGTGTAAACAAAACTGTAACAAACTGAAAGATCTTGATGAAACATAGTAAGTTAGGATCACAGCAGGAGTTTTTAAGACTTGTTTGAAGCATATCGAACATACTAGCTAGATAGTATGTGTATGGAAAGAGTCTTTACTGACCTGTGAAATGTGACAGAGAGGAATCTGCTCTGACCAAATCTATGGGATAGGAACATTTGCCGTGTTCTCTTTTCTAACAACATTAATTGTTAAGTACTAAGACTGCACTGATTCTGGTAATTTCCACTGGTGGTCTAGTTCATTGCAAGCGGCTATGAATTAGTACACACTTGATAGAAGAGATCCTTCTTTTTATTGTCAAATGCAGTCAGAAGAGAAAGCTTGGAGTGAGACAGGGAGCATATTTTGATTTCCGTTTTTGGAGTAAAATTGTGTTCAGAGAACTAGGCAACTACCTCATCACTCTGATGTGCATGACAGAGGGAAATTTTCACTTTATATTGTGATCCGCAGCAAGGAGGATGTGTTTTGTAGACATAACAAATGTCAGAATAGCAATAGGGACTGTGGTGGATGAGTTTCAAGGTGTTTTATCTCTAATGCTCTCTGGAACAGATTTAAGTGTTTGAGCTATGGTGAAATTTTGATCAGTGTATGATGTTTGGGAGGAAAAGACAACATGGTTAATAGAATTATGCATTCAATGGATTGAGGGGACAGATATATTTTTCTCCCTTTCTCTTAGTAGTAGAACTCAGGGTCACCCAATGAAGTGGATTGGGAGTAGATTCAGAAAGGACAAATGGGGGTACTGTATCATTCAGTGTATAATTAACTTTTGGTGCTGGCCACCACACTAGATTGATTTTAAAACAGGTTAAATTATTTCACAGAGGACAAGTCTGTCCATGACTATTATGTACAAAAGCAGAGGCAGTGTAATTCTGAAAATCAGAGGATGGGTGCATACAATGGGAAACTTGTAAGGGCTTCTTGAGAGAATCTGGGCAGCAACTGGGGGAACTTTCTGTAGTAAGATTATCTGATCCAGTACAACTCCTGTTATGCAAGTCTACCAGGAAAAAATTCCAATCATCATATGCTATCCGAGTTATTTCTTCATTCTCTAAGGCCGCCGTCCTCAGCACATTTACTCAGCAGTAATTGTCCTGTTGATCTCAAGTGGTAAGCATAAGTAAAGGCGAATGTCACGGACATTTCTCAGAGATTGGAAGAGATTTTAAAATGTGTGCTTTCCCATCGAATACACAGCAAAAAAGCATGTGGCATTGCCTCTTAGACATCTTTGTCTGCTTCTGTTCAAGAATCTCCCTCTTCATTTCAATATTTTGTTGAAGGCTTTGTGTATCACTGTGTGTTGATCCTCCCCTCCCTGTTTTATTTCCAAATCTCCAAGTCAGATGTGCTATGAGACTATAAGCTATCACATTTTAGCTGTGTAAAATGGAACTGGTGTTTAGCATATGACTCAAGATTTGTTGTTATGAAAGATGGTAAGGAAGCACGGAAAAGAGTTGCCCTCAAATGAAATGGATTTTGGAATGTAGGGTGTGCCTGTGAAATATCTAGTAATTTTCTAAACTTGTAGAACCATATTCAGTCCTCGGTCTCACCTGGTCTCTGCAAGAGAAAGGCCTCTGTGTAAATACAGTTTCCAGATGTGGGGAATCTTTGCCGAAGCCCAATTCCTCACCCCTTTTGCTGTTTAAAATTCCAGTAAGTCTTCCAAATTTTACAGCATAAAATGTTGATAGAACCCTCACCTGCGTGTTGGTTTCAAAAGTGTAGGTATAAGCTGCAGTAAAAGTGGTAAGTTATCAGTTGTAAGAAACATGTATTACAGCTTTTATTTTAAGAGATAGACAGATTGACCAAGTACAGCAGAACAGCAGTTTTGTGCGCGGCCACTTTCAAACCCTATACTGTGGTTAATTTAAACCCACCTTCATAAATGATGGTTTGAAGCTGTCTTGTTTCAAGATAAGAAAGCAACAACAACACAGTTTGTCAAGGCTGAACAATAGGACAAACTGTGGCTAATCAAAAATGGAAACAAATGCTCCTAAATTCTGTATGGCCTGATCAGAGAAGGAGGGTGTCTGAGTCCTAGAGAGACTAGATTCATTTCCATCATGATAGACCATTGTTTATCACAATGTCCAAACTCAGTCCAACATCATGCACTGAGTTTATGGCTGAAGCAGGGATTGTCATGACAGGCAGGAAAGGGATTATCCCAGAAGTAAATCTAATAATTTATTACACCACACAATTGTCATTTATAGCTCCTAACAGCCTAGTCCTCATGCCAGGGGGAATCTACTGCCAGGAACATTTTCTGAAAATTGCAACCTTAACCAGAAATTTAGTTCTTAAACTGTGCATATGGTATGAGTTCTTCCTTGAAAATCTAGCTTTGTATGCTTGTTTGTCTGAGAATGGTTGACATTGCTTTGCAATATAGTCATACCTCGGGTTAAATACGCTTCAGGTTGAGCGTTTTCAGGTTGCGTTCCGCAGCGACCCGGAAGTAATGGAATGGATTACTTCTGGGTTTCACCGCTTGCACATGCGCAGACGCTCAAAATGATGCCATGCGCATGTGCAGAAGCGGTGAATCACGACCCACGAACACATGCAGACGTGGGTTGCATTCTGCTCAGGATGCGAACGGGGCTCAGGAACGGATCCCATTCACATCTAGAGGTACTACTGTATTCTACAGTTAACCCAGTGTGGCAGCACTAGACTCTTAAGCAGATGTTCTTTGGTTTGTAGAGGAGGATATATCACAGACAGCAAAAAGCCCAATATCTGCTGGTGTGTTGGATTAGGGGTGCAGATGCTGCTTTTTTGTTTTCCTGAAAGACATTGCTTAAATGCCTACTGCCGGAGAGGGAACCAAACGGGTGGACAAAATAACCTGCCTACTTGCAGTGGCAAGAAGTTCTCTTCAGTTGTGCCTTTTTGCTACACGTCCTATTCAAAATTTGCCAAGATTAGTCTGGCATGAATGAGGAAGCAGGAATTCTGCCAGACTCCTCCTTCCCTGCCACTTACAGTTATGGCAAGGATGCATTTATTCTGAAACACATTGCGCAACAAACAAGAGCGCTGCCTTCAGATCTTTACTAATTACTAGCCTTTGTTTTATTGCAATGGTCTACTTTGTTCATTGCTCTGATTCAGTTGGGGTGGGGGCTGCCACGTTGCAATTGGAAAACGTGAAGCCACCTTTAAAGATGCAGATCAAACAGAAGGTGAGGCTGCTGTCTTCCTCCTATGGTCTTGTCTGCCCTCCCTGCAACAGGGCAAATATTCTCTGGGTTGCCTCCTGGTGACCTTAGCTTGAGTCAACGTAACCTATCTAAAGTGTTTATTTCCATCCAGGTTTTTGACCAAATCTTCAGGTTAGCTGTTTGTATGTGCTGCTTGACTCTAGGAACAAATCTTTCATCCCTTTCACCCTGTCTCTCCAAGCTTTGTTCTTTGCGGAAGCCAGTTTGGAGCTACGATCTGGACCTTAATCATGGTTGCAATTAGTCATCCACCAGCTTCTCCAAGGAAAGAGCAATCACCGTCACATACTGAAGCTTGTCCTCTTAGCAGTTCCCAAGTTTGAAACCAATAAGACACAAATGCAACCAAAATGCCAAAGGATCAATCTTTTTTAAAATTTATTTAACAAAACGTATATATGCCACTTGATTATAAGAAAGCTTCTGAGTGGTTTACCAAAACCAACTTCCAGTGCAAAGATCAGGCTGCGTTTAAGTTCTCGCATTTCAGAAAGAGTGGATGTTTCTGAAAGTGTGATAATGACAGGATCGCCTTTCAATGCAAACTGAATTGAATCATCTTCCTCATCACTAATCGGGAAGCAAGGGTAACCACCCATACTTTCCCATTATATAGGGATATGGACATTATACAGGGATGTGGTTATAAGCCCTGATATCCCACCTCTCAATACAAAGAAGACCTTCAGCTCAAAAACTTCCTGATATGCTTTTCTGCTCTTGCTTTAATATTTCTGAAAGTGGAAGAGGAAGCCTTTGCTCAATCCTTGCAGTTGCTGAGTGCAACTTTGTTGTAATTCCCTCTCTCCCACCCTGCCAGCACCTCTGCCCCCGCCAAGTAGAGACATTGTCAAGAGGAAATGAATTCATGCACATACTGTACAGCGCAACTATTGGAACCCAAGTTTATCCATGACACAGCTGCAGGGGATATGCTAACCCAAATTTACAGGCATCTTAATACTATGTGATTTGCAATATTAGAAGCAGAGGCCCAAACTGTTGACTTGGTTGAACCTAGATCTTCTCAGTGCTGGTTCTTTCAGTGCAATCCTTTACACGCCTGATCAGAAGTTTAATGAGTCTTACTCCCAGCTAAGTAGGTATAGATAGGCTTACAGTCTTCGTTATTGGTTTGGATTTTTAAAAATCGCTTTTCAACCCTAGTGGCTCATAAAGTGTCTCGCAATAATCATAACAAAGCAGTTGTAATATCAGTCAAAACAACAATTACTTTGAAAGCTGCAACTAACACTACACAACAAGAGAAAGCAGAAGAGGAAACAGCAGACGAGAAAGCAGAAGAGGGCCAGAATGTGCCAATTTGACCTATAGGGGGAGATAATTCCATCATTTGCGGGGGAAACCACTGAAAAAGCCCTGCTTCTGATTGATGACAATCTAAACATCCTGATAGATAAAACATTTTGCTAAATCATATGGGGTACCATGCACCAGCTCTTAGGGGCTGCAGCACTTTCACACCCCTGGTTTTTTAGGGGTCTGGGCCCCCTCAGTGTTCAGAAGGTGTTTGGCCCCGCTCCCCTGGCTCCATGCAATGTCACATATGTTACCTCAAGACATTGCGTTTGGTCCCCTCAGTCATCTTGAGAATACGGGTACTAAGACCCAGGTACAAAAGAACTATTAAGTATAGGTACTAGGCCACATTCCCCTTTAAAATACACTTTAAGGGTGGAAGAATCTGTTAATTCTGAGCACTCTCAGTTTCTTATTTTTCCAATATAAATTCAGTTTACTACATCTCCACATCCGTTTGTGATACACACATACATACATATATATATACACCCTGAAAATTCATCAGCACTTCATTGTAGATTTCTCCGAATACATACATTTTTGCAAAGTAATTTTGCCAAATATAAAGCATTCATGTACATTTCCCACCCCCACTAGTATATGGCTGGGAAACTGTGTTGCAAAATCCAGGCGCTTACTAATTGCAAAAGATGGCTGTGTTTCAGTTTTCGTATTGTTTCAGGAAGTGTGGATGTGGTAGTTTGGCCTTTAAATGCAAACTGAATCAAATTTTATCCCCCTTTCCTATTCAGCGGGTTTTCTCTTTCAGGAGTGAGAAGCAGTTCTGAAACTGTACTTAAAACAATGCTGTCCTCCTTTTTTTTTTACATAACTGGTAGGCATGATAGGTTCATGAACCCAACCTGTGTTTTTAGTCACTTCAAGCTTAAAAACAAACCCAAATTATATACCAAGGAAGCCCACATGCTTCACTAACAGTATCCCTCCAATTTTACGCTAAGAACCAATTATCTAAATCATGCAGGCCTGCTTGCAGTTACATAATATCTGTAATTCTGATATTAGGGGATTTTACAGAATACAAAGTCCTTAGAAAAGACTGGAGAATGTAGGAGTAAAAAAAGAAAGTAGATATGATCTTCCAGGTCAGGCACGATGAACCATCCTGTTTCCTGAAATCATGCCCAAGCCTCTTTTTGTTTCTCCAAAGCCATGAGGACCAGAAACATTTCTTTTTTAAGAAAGAAGGGGAAATTGCACTTTTCAGGAAGGACCTAGAGGCCAGAGGTCTGTGCTGCATGTGTAAATTCCTGAAACTCACGGCAATCATAATAATGGAGAACCAGCACCCTGAAAGCCATGTAAATATGCTGATTCTGGGTGCAAACGAAGCCACCACTTCTCTTAGCCTGTTGAGGGGAATAATTTAGGTCTCCGACACATGTCCATCGGTCTGCAGGCCGTGAAGAAACGCACCACTTAGAATGGTCGTAATAGGATGAGAATGAGGAGTTCCATGGTGTGCCAACAAGGTTTACATTGTAGACGTGGTAAGGAAGGGAGCAGTTGGAGAACAGTCGGTGTCCCTTGCGCTGCCAGGATTCCACCAGGAAGTTTGTTTGCAGTTTCTGAGCCATCCAGGCTATGTAGATATCTGGCAAATCAGGGGTTGGGGGCAAATGAGAAATTATCACTGGCTTTGCTTCTTAAATTGACTCCATTAGGGCTAATGTTTGTATACTTCATTTTAGTTTGCCACTGAGGGAAGAGAATGCTGGACTAGGCAGGCCTCTGGTCTGATCCAGCATGGCTTTGAAGTTTTTAAGTGGCAAATAAACTCTCTCTGCTTCTCTGTCTCTTTTTCTTCTTCAGCTGACATTCAGTATCTTATAGCTTTCTGTGAGAATTGGGCATGCTCAGTACTCATTAGGCTAGTTTGAAGAAAGGTCACCCCCACCCCACTTTGGTTTCAATTTCATTTTGTTTCGTTCCGTTTTATTCTCAGTGGCTCCAGTCTTGTCCGCAAGGAGACCCTGGAGTTTCCTGTTAGAGGGAATTACATTTTTTGAAGGACCCCTAGATGTTTGTAATGATTAAGGGGCCGGGTTTTCAGTTTTGATTGAGGTGTTTCAGTGTTCAGAGTTTGGGTTGCATCCTCATTGCCATTATCACAATTTTTCTGCCCTCAACGGGAGGTGAATTATTATCCATCCCTTTGTTATTACGGATATGCAAATATATAGATATACTGCTAAGTGTGTCTAAGACCTCCAGTAGTTGATGCATCAGGTTTCCTGTCACGAATCCCCTCAAAGCCCCCTCCTCCCCCATTTCCACAAAAGTAATAACTTCATGATAGATATTCTTACCTTCGTGATCATACTGTGTTTTAGCAAAGTTGAACAGAATTTCTCCCTGGGCTGACTGAAGCTTGATAAGGCTTTGATTTGTAGGAACTGAAGGCAGTTGGGCTCCTGCACACATTGCTTGCAAGTTGAGGAGCTCTGATTGAAAGAGCTTTGGGATGGAACAGTTGTAGACATTTGGGTTGTAGAATAACAATTGTTTATCTGAAGAAAATGGAAAAACAAAAGCTATGTTTAAAAGAAAAAATCAGGGAAAGTGCTAAATGCTGTCCTAGTTTTGAAGAACATATGTAAGCAGCATTGGTACAAGCAATTTTTGTGAGAGGAGGTAGGCAGGATCTATTACACACCCATCTGATTCCTGAGTTTCTAGAAGGAATTGTTTTCTGCTTTACATTTTTGCATGCAGCACAGTTTCCACACTGCTGCAGTTCGTCCTCTGCCAAAAACTACGTTATTTGTCTTATTGTTCCCTTGTCTTTCCTTTTTTCTACTCCATACACTTCAATGCACCAAAAACATGGTGCAAACTGAGAGAAGGGTATAATCAATTATGTATCCTTTGCAGACTTAAATAAACATATCATATTCCATGGGTGAACACTAGTTTCAGCCCACTGATTCCTTGTTCCTGTGCACAGCAGATTCGTGTGATCATGCAACCCATACAGCTAGCATAGTCTTATACCTCTCCTAGCAGAAATGTCAGCATGGACCTCTCCCCTGACATTGTCCCAGGTACATCAAGGAAATTTCTCCTCATCCCCTGCTTAGTGCTTGTGTGAAAGTTGATGCTCTTGAGAGTCTTTGAGCAGATATGGTTCATCTTTAGCCATAGATCCTGCTTCTGGTCTGTGCTTCACCCAGGATCAGGTGATTGTGTTGCCCAATCATAGGCATGTTCATTCAGAATAAACTTGGAAAAGATGTAGACCAAATTTTGAGCTGCAATTCCATACACACTGACCTGGGAGTAAGTCTTATTCACTTCTCAGTAGGTATCTATATGATAACAATAATAATATAACATCTCCATACTTTGGAATCTGAGTGGAAAACTGTTAACAGTTTGAGACAGACACCTTAGATTTGCAGAAATGCACCTTATTCCATGCAGAATTGAGAAGCAGCAAATATAAAACACTGAAAAACTTTCCTTTTTTCAAAAAGTCACCTTTTAAAGTAACTGCACGCATGCATGCATGCTGGAAATAAGAAAACGGTGTTGCAATGGCTGCTCTGGGACTTGAAAAAGGTTCTAGCTTTTATGGTTGCCAAGGCTAGTTTGAAAACCCAATGAGCAATAGGTCTATGTCCCTAAAGCCAAAAACAATGTAACAGAAACGCATATGATTTCAATGTTTGTGATAAAGGTTGCAATCGTAAGCAAACATATTAAGTGTGGCTACGTTGCTGAAATCTGTTTCTTTGTAGCTGAATATGTTTTTGAGTTGAGAGAAAAGGCAATACTTGAACTTTTGGCATTGCAGCCTTAATCTCACACTTACAGTTCAGATGTGTATTAGTCACATTAGTCCTTCAAAAATCAAGGTAACGGCTTATCTCTGAACTCTAAACACATTCAGTTGCAAAACATTCCATTTCTGGGACACTTAATATGCGTGCTTCGACTTACATCCTTATATCCGGGTGTCCCTTTGTTCTTATGCCTGGATAACTCAGTTGGTTAGAACGTGGTACTGATAATGCCAAGGTTGCAGGTTTGATCCCCGTATAGGTCAACTGTATATTCCTGCTTTGCAGCGGATTGGACTAGATGATGCTCAGGGTGCCTTCTAACTGTACAATTCTATGAATCACAACCATTGAATAGATCTATATTTCTGGACATACAGCAATTATTGCTCTTAGCATTAAGCCTTTGTAAACTTTTTCCAGCCCTAGAACAACCATTTTGTAACTCTTTTCATTGGAGCTGAGATTCAGACTGCCATTCCAAAAGCTCTTCCTAGGGGACAAGGCCCATTTGATATAATGGGACTTACTTCCAAGTCAGCATGCCCAGCTAACAATTATAATTTGCCACATGCATGAAAATGGTATGCCAAATTCATTGAGGCCTGCAGTCAATGTGTGTCGGCACATGAGCCCTGGCACTTAGCAAGTTTCACATTCTTGATTCAAAACTTGAAGTGCTACCAATTACGATTTAAGATGACCGACCTGTAAGTTTCAAAACAAGCCATACATACATAAGACACATCTAAGGTAACAAACACCGGCAGCCAGAAACTCATCTAGACATGTTTGCGCTCACTTTCTAGACAGTAAGCTATCATTACCTATTTCCGCAAACTGCTCATATCGGAATGTTATGCAGATTGCTATCTGTCCATTGTACTTTCCCGTGCGTGGATATCCATAGCCGTCCTCGGGAAATGGAGGGAATTCGGGAATACTGTGTATAACCCAGAAACCTTGGGACTGGTCCAAGAGCAAAAACCCTGTCATTAATAAAGGAAGAAAAATGCAAGGAATAGTGTCATCGTGGGAATTTTCGTGAACATAAAAGTCAAAAGCCTCCCTCCATTTGCATTATCCCAGTTAAATAATTTAATGGTCTGACTAATACACAGGAATGTAGCTTGGAATCACTTTTCCCAGCACGGGATCCTTCTATTCACCCAGCACAGCCTCATACATGTCTTCCACACAATCAACGGTGACAGTGTCTGCCTAGAAAAAAGGTACATGATCAGCAACTCACTCATTTTCTCAGCAGATCCTGAAAGTTCTGGGGTCAAACTAGACATGATGTGAAAGTTCAGCAACCAGGATCTCTAACTGGGGAAGTGGCCAATGGGGAAAGGGGTGCTTAACCCTTTCCTCCTGTACTTCTGGCCAAAGCTAATAGCAAGAAAACTTCAAAGAGGAATGCATTAAACACCTTCTTCCCAAGGGCTACTCTCCTGATAGTTGAAGCTACTAATTAGTTGAAAATCTACCCGCAACAGCCTACTGGCCATTGTAATCATGGATTTCTCCACATTTTGTGACTAGTTTGGCCTTCAGGTGCCAAGATCCCAGCGTATGACTTTGCAGAAGTTGATTATCCCTCTCTAGAATAGTTTTTTTAAAAAATCTTCTTTCCTCACTGCAGAAAGCATTTCAGCATGTGCCTTAAGGGGAGGATTTGCGTGACCTTTTAAATGTGGAGAAATGTGGGTTGCTAGATATAGAGCAATTAGACGTGGAGTCATCAAGACTAAATCTGTGGGGAAATAGCCATTTCCTCAGTGTAGGTTCAGATTGCCAAATTCTGCACACTTAACTTTCTGCTACCGCCAAACAGCTTCCCAAAAGAGTTCAGCGCCAGAATGGCATATGGATGGCAAGTTCTGCTCTGGGGTCACCCAGATACGAGGGTGCAGAAGTCGCTCTCTGCCCAGAAACTCATATTTCATATTCGGGCGATATCGATCACCTACCCATTTAGTATGACCAAATCATTTGCTTATATTCTTCTATTTTGCTCAGGAGGTTGAACAAAATAGAAGAATATAATTTTTATATTTTTTTTGGTGGCAGAGATGAAGGTTTTCATCCTTGAAAGTGCTTTCCCATTCAGAATGGCCATTACACTGCTTTCCCACTTCAACTCCCTCACATAGCAAGGAAGGTTGTGCAGGGCATTGCGTGGTTTTCTGGACCCATACTCATCTGTAGCAGGTGGAAACAGGCCCAAAAGTCACTTGATAATACCTTTAGAATGTCCATGTGTCCAGCTGTAATTCATTTTGTTAGGTGGTCCATCATTATATATCACATAGGCAGTGCTGTTTTCCTAAACAGACAGACAAACAGACACCAGTCTATTAAATATGTTATTTAAGGAAACATGATTCTAAAAAGCAACACTCTCCTTATCATTGAAACAAGAGGGTCCTTCGCCACTGGTCTGAAGCCAAAGGCATAATCTAGATACACAGCTTTAAATCACCTCTAGTGCTGTGAAAAGTAGGGATGAAGAAGAAGAAGAAGAGTTTGGCTTTGATATCCTGCTTTATCACTACCCGAAGGAGTCTCAAAGCAGCTAACATTCTCCTTTCCCTTCCTCCCCCACAACAAACACTCTGTGAGGTGAGTGGGGCTGAGAGACTTCAGAGAAGTGTGACTAGCCCAAGGTCACCCAGCAGCTGCATGTGGAGGAGCGGAGACGCGAACCCGGTTCCCCAGATAACGAGACTACCGCTCTTAACCACTGCACCACACTGGCTCTCAATGCTGGGAAATATCAAAGAAAACAGAAATTGAAGCAGAAATTCTTACACCCCTAGCGAGCAGTCACATTGGCCCATAGCCTATGTTATTAAAATTACCCTCCTACAAAATTACCCTTTGTACAGAGTGAACTTTTCGCATTGCATTTTCTCCTGTGTGTTATAAGTGGATGCATAGCTCTAGTTTTAAAAAAACTTAATTGTATTTAAATGTAGCTGCTGGAAAGATGGCAAGAAGCTAATACAATCTTGGCAGTCTGGCCAACTTTTTAAAATATATATTAATGCCTACTTATTTCAATATAATTAAAAACTCTTAATAAAAGATGTTATTTGTAATGAATACTAACAATCAGTCATTAACTACGTATTTAAATATACACACTATTTAGAAAACAGCTCCTAAGAGAATGCAAATTTAATAGCTTATTGGTCACTTTTAAAAAAATCATAGATTCGGTTCTTGAAATCAGAACAGATAAGAAAATTAACTCATTCAACAAAGTGCACATCAAAAGACCAAGTTAGTAGTCTGTCTGACTTTACATTTTGCAGAATCATTGCCTATGATAATCAAAAGAGAGCTTGCACCTGGCTCTTTGAGAAAGTTACCAAGCTAGAGAAACAAGCATATTTGCATTAAACATTTCAGATAGCATTCTCCCCAAGATGAGTGAATTCTCTGTCTCACACCCAACACACCAGAGGAAAAGCTTCTTTTTGACACATGGATACTTGTGTGTGCATCTGTGTGTTTCAGGGTTTAGTAGCACTCACAGATTTGGGACGAAACAAAGTGGAAATTAGCTGTGATGCTAATCCTTCCTGTTAATTATTAAAAAGAAACCTGGTATAGTATAGCTAAATGCCTGTAGACATAGGTTTCTGGGAGGACAACCACAAACCTAGCCTTCTCAGTGCTGTTTCATGGCAAAAGGTCTCCTAAAGAATCTAAAAAATATGAAGACTAAAGGGGGGGATTCAGTTTTGCTTGTGTTTTAATGTCACACTAACTAATTTGCACTTCTCGAGTCAATGCACAAACCAAAACAGAGTTATTCTTCAAAATTTGCACTTCTTCAATTTTTCCAGTACAGTTCTCCAATCAAACAATGCATACGTATTATGGGAGAATGTTCATTAGATGCATACATACAAAAAATATTTGGGGAAACTGCTTGCAAAAAATGTGCATATTTGTCAAAACGGCATACAAAAATAAGTTTATTAGGAGAAATCTGTACCAAAAAAACCTGACAAATTTTCACGAGGGTTTAATTCCTCTCCTTCTGTGTGCGCCAATTGCTGCAGAAATCCCGAGAACTGAATTTAAGATAGAAAAACATGATGAATGAAGGATTTAAGATGAGAAACTAAAATGGACAAATTTGGCAATCCCTAATGAGGACTCACCTGTGTGGTGTTTTTTTTCTATGGCCACTCAAGTCACCCTTATACAGTACCTAGGGTAGCCATATGCACCAGTTTCAGAGGACAACCCTCTGTTTGGTCATCATCTACTGAATGACCATCTGGTTGTCCAGCAATGAACTTCAAGGATGGAGTAGAGGCACACAGGTCACTTAAGGACACTCTTCTCGACTACGGTGAGATATTGCGTTTCTATTTCTATTTTACAATCATTTCTAAATTAGCACCTATAACCTGTAAATTAGCATGTGAACAACTTATGCAAAAATATGTCCTCTTTTGACCGTGTGTGGGTGTGTCACATTTCCAATTTGGGGGAGAGGTGCTTCAACAGAAAATGGTTCATCAGAAGAGGCGTTGAATGGGGTTCAACAGACTGTGAGAATGGCATTAATTGACCCACGTAAATCTAGATGGGCTCAGGTGCAATTCAGTGAGGAAATTAAAATTAATAACTTCTTATTAGTTGGGTTATGGGACACAGGGGCTGATATTACCTCAGCATCCAAGAGGCTATTATAACCTGGCCAAATTTTAGAAGGTTAATAATAAACTATTATTATTATTATTATTATTATTATTATTATTATTTATACCCCACCCATCTGGCTGGGTTTCCCCAGCCACTCTGGGTGGCTTCCAACAAAAGATTAAAAATACATTAAAACATCAGTCATTAAAAACTTCCCTAAACAGGACTGCCTTCAGATGTCTTCTAAAAGTCAGATAGTTGTTTATTTCCTTGACATTTGATGGGAGGATGTTACACAGGGCGGGCGCCACTACTGAGAAGGCCCTCTGCCTGGTTCCCTGTAACTTCGCTTCTCATAGTGAGGGAACCTCCAGAAGGCCCTCAGTGCTGGATCTCAGTATCCGGGTTGAACGATGGGGGTGGAGTCGCTCCTTCAGGTATACTGGGCCGAGGCCATTCTGGATTAGTTGTGGTTTCCAGGTCACCTTCAAAGGTAGCCCCACGTAGAGCGCATTGCAGTAATCCAAGCAGGAGATAACTAGAGCATGCACCACTCTGGCGAGACAGTCCACGGGCAGATAGGATCTCAGCCTACGTACCAGATGGAGCTGGTGGACAGCTGCCCTGGACATAGAATTGATCTGTGCCTCCATGGAGAGCTGTGAGTCCAAAATGACTCCCAAGCTGTGCTCCTGCTCCTTCAGGTAAAGAAGTAAAGAGTTGATTGTAACTCCCTATGGGGGCCAAGCAGTAAAAACCAGTCTAGCCCAGGTGGATTGTGAATACAAAGATTTTAAAGTGTCCTTACCAGTTTTAGTACATGAAAATGGTATGTTTACACCTTGCCTTATAGACAACAATCTCATTTTAGACAGCATTTAGCTCAGCAGGCTAGTGAATCGTCTAGCCCAGTGGTTCTCAACCTGTGGGTCCCCAGATGTTGTTGCTAGCTAGGGCTGATGGGAGTTGTAGTTCAACAACGTCTGGGGACCCACAGGTTGAGAAAGGCTGGCTAGCCAATGTGTTGAGGAGACTGTCACTGGAAATGCAAATCAGTTTGATGAACAGAAATTTCTTTGGCAAAGTCTGGTGAGAATACCATGAGTTCTCCTTTTCCTTCACCCCTTCATGATCGTGACTTTAAGAAAGGACCCAACTTTGGAAGCATGTAGAAGTGCGGGAGAAAGAGTTGCTTTATAGACAATTCTTTCCAAAGAAATCTGCCCCAGAGTGTGAGCCAAGAAGACAGTTGATAGTGCCACAGACTACGGCAAGGATATTGGCAAATTAATATGGATCAAGATACACCTATTGAATCAGCATTTATTACACATATGGGCTTGTATGAGTTCATTAACATGCCTTTTGGATTATGGAACGCTCCTGGGACTTGATTAATTCTCTGCTCAATGGCATGTCTAACTTTGCTTGTGCCTATTTAGATGATATTGCAGTCTTTAGTAACTCCTGGGATGATCATTTGAAGCATGCACAGAGTGTTTTGGTCAAGATTCAACATGCCAGTCTAATTTCGAATGTTTCAAAGTGCCAATCTGCCTGAGGAGAGGTGGGATATCTTGGACACCTTGTGGGGAGAGGTCATATTAAGCCTTTAGAGGCTAAAGCCCAAAGTATTCAGGATTGGCCAGTACCTAAGGCCAAATGTCAAATCCTGTCTTTCCTAGGCTTAATTGGGTTTTATAGGTGATTCATTACTGACTTTGCAATACCACTTGCTGATTTGTGTTAAAAATATCAACCTGACAATTGTATGGAACGATATCTCCTTTAAGGCTTTTAATGCCTTAAAGCAAGCTTTGCTGCAGTCTCAGTTGTTAACAGCACCTGATCAAAATAAGCCTTTCATAGTTCAGATTGACGCTTCAGAAGCTGGTCTTGGTGCCGTCCTGCTTCAACAAGATGTTGAAGGTGAACTATGTCCTGTTGTATTTACCAGTAAGAAGTTATTGCCCAGAGAACGCAATTACGCTGCGGTTGAGAAGGAGTGTTTGGCTGTAGTATAGGCCCTTGATAAATTATGCTCTTACCTCTGGGGTCAATGGTTTACGATCGAAACAGATCACTCCCCGTTATGTTGGTTAGACAGAGTAAAAAATTCTAACCAAAACCTTTTAAGGTGGAGTCTCACTCTTCTGGATTTTGATTTTGACATAGTTCATATAAAAGGAAGTGCTAATAAAGTTGCTGGCTGTTTATCAAGAATCTATGTGGATTATGAAGATTCAAGTTAATTTTAACTGGTGTATTTTAATGTTGCAGTATGTGTTATGGATATTTTTTATGTGTGTTTCCTGTTTTGTAACTTATTTGCTCGGTTCTCGTTGGTTGTAGAATGGTTATAGTAAATACCGTATTTTTTGCTCTATAAGACTCACTTTTTCCCTCCTAAAAAGTAAGGGAAAATGTGTGTGCGTCTTATGGAGCGAATGCAGGCTGCACAGCTATCCCAGAAGCCAGAACAGCAAGAGGGATCGCTGCTTTTGCTGCGCAGCGATCCCTCTTGCTGTTCTGGCTTCTGAAATTCAGAAGATTTTTTTTCTTGTTTTCCTCCTCCAAAAACTAGGTGCGTCTTGTGGTCTGGTGCGTCTTATAGAGCGAAAAATATGGTATATTGCTTGTGGTCCACACCCCTGCCCTAAATACTCTTACTGAGATTTCCCTCAATACTTTTTTTAGGGCCTTTCTGTCTGCTTCATTTGCTTTTGTACTTATCACTTGCCTCGGACTTGTACGTTTGGTAGAGCTGCTGCAGCGTTTGCCCCAGAGCACTTTCTGTCATGTTGACGAAATATTTGCTTGGTTTCCAAATCAGAGCCAAAGAATCCATAAACATGTATTCCAGCCCAGTTCCAGCCACATCGTGACTCATGTGCTTAGGGAATTTGTAAAGAACATACCTAGGGAAAAAATGTGTAGGGTTAAATAGGGAGTGCTTTAAGAAAAGGTTTGTTATGCATCAAAATTATACCTTAAAAACAAATTGTAGCTAATGATGCAAACATGGTCAGCTCTGGAAATTGTCAGTAGCTAATTATGTAAACGCGCCAGCTTGAAATGAGTTTTTCAGATACACCTTGCTTGAACTTCAGGTATATCACTGCATTTGAAAGGGAATGGCTAAAATTCAGATGACAAGTTAATGGTCTGAATGCCTGTTGAAAGCCAGTTCTTACAATATTTCCTATTTTTCTATTAATTATATTTTCCCTGGAAGTTCGGACCTATATTTTGACATCCTGGTTTGCACGCAGTTAGATTAAAATTGTGTTGTGCTCTGGCCATTATAGCTATGTTGTGCCTTCATTACATGCTATTATATATAGTTGATTCCAATTATGACCTTGAAGGGACCACAGAGGGCTTGTGTGGGATGCTTTAACTGCAGCAAAAGTCTCAGGCACTCCTGAATTACTCCAAGAAAGGTCAGAAGTGCCAGCTGCCACCAGAGAGCAAGGGAAATGCAGTTCCAAATGCCCCTCTGCTTAATTAAATGACCTGGGATCCACTGGGAATAACATTACCCTGTGGGTGGAATTCGATGCAAATTCTACTCAAAGTAGACCCATTGAAATGAACCAACATGACTAATTTAGCCATGATGAATAAATTGCATTGGCTGAATAGAACCCAAATACCTGAGCATTATTAGAAGAATCAGGGTGCTGAAAAGGTGTGGTCTTTGCTAAACATCTCCCAACCATGTGCTGCTGTCTCTCCAGCTAAGTATGGGGGAAGTGGGGAGCAGTGGAGAGAGCTGACAGCAAGCACCCTATCTTTCCAAACTTAATACTTGCCTAAATAAAAGTTGTCTTTGTTTCGATATAATATGAAGTACAAGCCAACTTTAATAAAATATTGGGGTGGGGCAGGTAAGCCCCACCCCACATAATCCATCACAAGACATGGCACACACCATTTGAATGGCAAGGCCCATCAACTTTGCGGGAGCCTGGCCCCCTTAAATATTTTAGAGAGGTCTCTTCAGCCCCTAGGAGTTGGCTCCTATGTGTACAAGTAAGCTATGTCAGCCCCTTCATAATATTCACTAGACTGGTCACCTATGGAAAATGAGAAATTCATCCAAGCTACCAGGTTGCTTTTGTAAAGCAGAGATACCTTCTTTTAAAGGCTACATCAGAAATACCTAATGCAGATGCGTATGAGCAAATAGTCTAGTAAACCTTTTCTAGGCCAGAAGTGGCCTATATATCGCAGCTTGTTTGTTCTGTGGCAAGTAAGTGTCATCTCCAAGTGACCAGAGAGAAACTCTTTACAGTAGCTGTTTTTTTAAAAAATTATATACCACGGGCATTTAGGCATGTTAGGAGAGTTAGACTATTGTGTGGGCTAGTATATAGTATACTTATTTGCAAGGCTGTTTTGTGAACGCAAACTAAAAACTACCAAGATCACATTGTGCATTAAATATTTCTGAGATTTTTAAAGAACCCATTTCTTATACAGTATATAAAAATGAGTTCATGTCAATTCACCTTGTAATTTTCATGGGTCTCAGAGAAACATTCTTTTTTAATCTACCCTACTGGATCACAACAATGTCCCATCACAATAGTTCGTGCTTTAAATGAGGATGCAAGCAGATGAATAATTAGTGCAGTTATGAAATGCACCTGCTGAAACTTAGTTCACCTTTCTGCTAAGAGTTATCATTAGAAATGAATGCACCCTTTGCTTTTCTGCAAGGAGCAGTAGTTTTTCATGCAAGAGTTTCGCTTCTGCTCTGCCCCTCGTTACTTCAAACCACACAAATGTGGAAGCCATAAATACTGTCAGTTTAAAACAGCTGGCTTGGGATTTTTAATTGTGTTTTGTTTTGCAAGATGGTGGTGGTGGGTTGTTCTTGTTTTTACAAAACTTAAAAGTCACACTGAAAGAAAATTTGGCCGTTTCGTCCTCCTACTTTGCATAGATGTACACAAAGTCAGTGGAGCTTAGCTGAGAACCTAACTACAATGCCCGGTTAGCAATGAGACTGTGAGCTCTAAAATATTAAATACTAGGCCGGGGGGGGGGCACTGCGGTGTGCAGGGAGCATAGTGTTAAACCTTCCCTCTCCAGCAGCAATCCTGGTACTCCCACCCCCTGCATATTTCAATTAGTGCAGTGGTACCTTGGTTCTCAAAAATAAGTAGCTGAACTGGGTTCCACACACTCACAAAAACAAAACAAAAAGAGCAGCAAAAACAAAAATGCAAAATAAATAGTAAAAACAGAACAGACCTCAGTGTAACACTCAAAACAGAAGTGCGGCACTCAAATCAGAAGCGTAACACTCAAAATAGAGCATGTTCGGCTTCCGAAAAAGGTTTGCAAACACTTATTTCCGGGTTTGCAGTGTTTGGGTTCCAAGTTGTTTGAGTACCAAGGAGTTAGAGAACCAAGGTACCACTGTGTTAGGAAAATCCCCCCATTGCCAGTTGGGCTCTGTATGAGTAACAACATGTCTTTTTAAAAAAAGGATCTGCAAATGTGGACCTAGAGTCAGCAGATTTAAATGAACATTGGAGACTGAATTTCAATAGCACATGCAATCATTGCTGAAAGACTTTCTGCAACAGTTGACAGTACCGTCTCCACAGGTGTAGAACAAGCAACTCGTTTCTCCTATCTGTCAGCTTTCACATACTGATATGCCTAGCTGCAAAATGAGCCTTGATTAACAAAGCAGATGATGTGCTTCAGGGATCCAGATTGTGTCACCGTGCTAAGGCTGTCATACGAGGAGACAGCTCACTCCCCAAGATAGTTGTGCGAGAGATATTTCTGAAGAACAAGATTGAAATGAAGACATTATGAAATAGCTACCTGCTGCCTCCTCCCTCGTCAGCCCTGCACTGCCGGGTAAGAGAGGGAGGGAGAAGGAAGAGAAACACTTCCACGATGAGATGCAAGTTTGGCATACGTGCTATTCTTACTGCTCATGTTTCCCTGAGGCTTGGAATTGTAATGCATAATCATTTTCTCTCTTGATCAAAAGAAACAAGCCCTCTGTGAATCAATGGCTGTTTTGCAATTAGTCATAATGCGATGATGTGCATAAATTGCGCAGAAAACTAATCAGATTTCAGTAGCTTACATTTCATTTTCTGGAGGTATAGTTCAAAGGCAACTTTAACAGCCTCTGATATTAATTTGCTAATTATTTTCTCTTAGAGTTGAGTGTTGGAGCTTCGTGTTGTCCCATATATATATGGACTTGCCTCGGCTTCCTTCAAACCCACCTGTTTTACTTACCAGTCCACTGGCTTGCCGTCATCATTTATGCAGGAAATTTGAGATGCCCACAGGGGCAGGGCAGTACCAAAGAACAGCAAAGATATGCTCCATAAAATTCTGACAGTCATCTTGGCTCCATCAGCAGATCGCAAAAGGGGAAGCTGGCAAGACAATTTAAGCTTATCTGAAGCTCGCTGGTCTCCTTCCATTCAATTCAGTTTCGTTTTACAGTCAGCCGCCAGAGCAGTGAAACTACCACAGCAAAAATTGGCACACTGTCACTCACTGTATAGTATATAGTATGAGCGGGCAGACTGCAGGCTTGTGAGAACGAACGACCTTTTCGTTCGTTTTTTAACTAGATCTCTAAGATCCACCCAATGGGACCAAGTGTTTGTATATAGAGATATACACTTAGAATTAAAGAAGGGTCATGCTTAGTCCAGGATTTCCCCGCCATTACCAGAAATGAGTGCTCTCAGCCTTTTCACACAAAACTCTAATCCTCATTTTCCAATCCTCGAGTTTTCATCTGAAAAAAAATAAAGAGATGTAGGGCACACTCAGACCATCCATTTAATGCATATCCAACACATGTTTACAGTACATGATGTCCCCCATGTAATCCCAGGAACTGTTGCTTAAGGCTGCTGGGAGTTATAGTTCTGCAACAGAAAACTGCAGTTCCCAGACTTCTTTGGGAGAAGAGTGCAGTAAATAATAATAATAATAATAATAATAATAATAATAATAATATAGCGAGACCCGTGACAAATTTAACATTCAACACTGGCCTAGCAGGTCAAACTGAGTACAGTACTTTAAATAAACAAGCCAGTGCCACTTATAGCTGATTAACCAATTATCTGAGTTGTAACTAACGTTAAAGAGTTGGAAGACAGGTGGTCTTGTTGATCCATTGCAAGCCATTCTGAGATCAACTGGGCAAACCCGTTTCCCTATCCCTGATTTAGAGCATAGAAGCAGAAAGGGAAAAGCAAAAATGCATTGAAAATTATTTTATTTTTTTACATTAATAACCTGAATTTCACCCTAGGAGCTGGGAATCTTAGCCACATCTGTTTATCCTTGCAAAAGCCCTGTGAGGAAGGCTTGGCTGAGAGATAGTGACCAGCCTCCAAGGTCACTCAAAAAGCTTTGTAGCTGACAGAGGGATGCAGGTGGTGCTGTGGTCTAAACCACTGAGCCTCCTGAGCTTGCTGATCATAAGGTCAGAAGTTTGAATCCCCGTGATGGAGTGAGCTCCCGTTGCTTTGTCCCAGCTCCTGCTAACATAGCAGTTCGAAAGCATACCAGCGTGAGTAGATAAATAGGTACCGCTGCAGTGGGAAGGTAAACAGCATTTCTGTGCACTCTGGCTTTCGTCACGGTGCCCCGTTGCTCCAGAAGCTGTTTAGTCATGCTGGCCACATGACCTGGAAAGCTGTCTGCAGACAAACGCTGGCTCCCTTGGCCTGAAAGCAGGGATGAGCACCGCACCCCATAGTCAGATTCGACTGGACCTAACTGTCCAGGGGTCCTTTACCTTTTTACCCTTTATGTGCTCACAAAGTAGGCAATGTGACACTTTTTATTAGACCACCTTATTTTATTTTTAAAAAGCATGTTTGCTTTTGAAATTCCTAGAGCTCACCTTCCAGTAGAGTTAATTCTATGCTTGCATACAGAACAAAGCGTGACTGACTGTGCTAGGAAGTAGGCAATCTCTTCAGTATGAGACTCCTGGAAAGAAAAACAAACATTAGCATATCAAGGCATCACTGCTGACAATAGCGCACATAGGGTGACAGGACCTCATGGTGTTCCTGGAGAGCCCAGTCCACCCTTTGATATCTCATTATTTCGATATTCAATGCTCAATGACTCATATTTGAATGTGCAAACTCATTCTACCAGAAGGCACTGTATTTTTGGGGGGGTGAGGTAATATGTGACTTCTGCGTTGGATCACAAGTGCTTGCTACCACTTAGCGTTGAGTGATGGATTTGGGTGCGTGAATCAGCCTAGAGTTTTCAGCCATGATTGCAAGCAACACTGAGCCAAAGATCTTGGATGAATAAGGTATGCAACCCCTTTTGCAGACACTTCATTCTTCCCTTTTTGGGAGAACCAGGATGAAGCCCGTAACCTTAGCTTCCCATTACATGCAAAGCCAGAAACTATGGTTCCTGTCTTCCAAAAAGCCAGGATACAAAGCCATATGGTTTAGAGGCTGCTTAATGTCCTGGCTTGGTTGGAAGACATTGACCATACTTCCCAGTCAAGTGAAGCTTTCTCCCAATTGAAGTGATGAGTGTTTAAGGACTTCAATTGCAGGGAAACCAAAATGCTTGTTTACAAAGCTATTGTACTACCAACTTAACTGTATGCTTGTGAAACATGGACCACTTATAAACGCCAACTTCTTGAAGGATTCTATCAACTGTGTCTCCGAAAAATTGTACATATCACTTGGGAAGACAGGCGAACTAATGCCAGCATATAGAAAGAAGCAAAGATCACCAGCGTCGAAGCAGTGATTCTTCAACATCAACTTCGTTGGACTGGTCATGTTGTTTGGATGCCTGATTATTGTCTTCCAAAGCAACTACTCTATTCCAAACTTAAGAATGGAAAGGGTAATGCTGGTGGACAACAAAAGAGGTTTAAAGATGCTCTCAAGGCAAATCTTAAAAAATGTAGTATAATCACCAGCAACTGGGAATCGCTGGCCTGTGAGCGCTCCAATTGGAGAATAGCCTCTACAATAAGCGTCATGGACTTTGAAGAAGCACAAACTCAGGACGAAAGGGAGAAACGAGCTAAGACAAAGGGAGGCAAACCCTCCCGTGATCAACTCCTGCCCAGAAACCTATGTCCCCACTGTGGAAGGATGTGCAGATCCAGAATTGGCCTCCACAGTCATTTACGGACTCACTGTTAAGACCATATTCATGTAAGACAATCTTACTTGGCTATGAGTGATCTCTGAAGAAGAAGAAGACTTCTCAATCTGCATGTAATGAGAAGCTATGTGCTGAATCCTGGCTTGTTCAGCTGCTCAGACAAATCGCGAAGCAAAGTGGCTACAATGGAGCCCCAGCCAGGATTTTTGGCTGACCACCGTATGCGAATGTCGGTTCTGTTTCATCCCCTACTTTTGCAGTGTAAAAGTTTTATATGGTTTTATATTCGAGATCTCAACCACATATTGTAATGGTATTGTACTAAGTCCCTTGTAGGACCTGCTTATGCACCAACCGACGAATGGTAGGGGATTCATCTTGAGAGAAGTGAGAGGTCATTCTGTTTCAGGCTAATTTTTCTTCACACCTGCTTTTAAGTCTTTGTTGTAATGCATTTGGCAGGCTTGATTATATGGTATGATGGCCACGTCTCAGTTTCATGCATTTCAAATGGTTGCTATATGTGCATTTTAATAGTTATTATGGAGATGATGTGTCGGCAGGTTTTGCACCTGCTATTATGGGAAGATCCTATTCTGCATAAGGCTATCGTGTGCTAGTTCTGAAAATAGCTCTGAGAAGCTTTGAGAAATAAGTGAATGAATGAATGAATGAAGAATCTCAGGTGCATGAGAAGAAGGCTGAGAAGCAGCCCAATAGATTTCTATTGCCAGTGAGTTCTATAGGTAGACCCAACTGTGGAAAAGGCGATTCACCCACACTTTACATACACCCTGATGGTAAATATGGCATGTCATGCTAAAGGATAATTAATCCAAATATGATTTTGAGCTTGAGCTTAGTGAAGGCTAGCAAGGAATCAAACCACCATTTTTGTTGGTTGTTATAAATACAGGATATGCCTTCCCTCCTTCCTCTTCCTTCCTTCCTTATATAAAAGCATTTATAAACTGCACAATCTGTAAGTGGTGCACAACATAAAAAGACAATATCATCATACCGAATGTTGCTGACCTGTAGAAAAGGCTCTATGAACTGAAAGCAGAGGTGTTGTAGGTGCCCTTGTTATCCATGAAAATCTTTCACTAAAAACAAATGGAAAAAATGAAAACACAATATAAAGGCGGCAAAGTATAGGCACATATAAAAATTGATTAAAACAGGAATTAAGGGGATTAAACACATAAAGCGGGGACTGGAGAAAACATGGGCCAGGGATATGTCTTTACAAGATGTCTGAAGCAATTGATGGTTGCAGCTTCGCAAAGGCAGAGGGAAGGGCTGTCCATAGTAAACGGGCAAGAGACCATTGTTGGCTGAGTGCCCTTTGACATTCTGTAGGGTGTGGTGCTACAAGTAGAATTTCCCCAGATGACTTCCATGAACGCCACCTCCTTCAGTTTTAAGTGGTACAGCCCAATCATAGATTTACAACAAGAACGGGGAACCTCAGACCCAGAGCCTAAATATGACCCTCCAGGTTCCTGCAACTGGCCCTCAGAAGTCTTCCACAGGCCACACCCCCTTCCATCACACCCCTCAAATGGCCATGCTTTGCACCCTCCTAGACTTTTTTTGTTCTGCTGGAACATGTCCTTGAACCCACATGAACTGGAAAGTGTGGCATATATTTTGTATACCAATCATGTTTCTTGCTGACTTAGATGGGAGATAGAGAGGGATGGACAAGTGTGTGGAAACTAGATTACCATACAAAAGTAACATTCACCTTAGTCGCTGTGCCTACTTTGCCTGCCACTGGCATGTGGTCCTGGAAACTTACCCAGGAATGTGGCCCCCGGGATGAAAAAGGTTCCTCATCCCTGAATTACAGCCTCCATGAGAATTTGGCTGCTGTCACAGGAGAGAGTTGTAACATTTAATGTCACCTCAGAGGCTGCATCCCAAGAAATCCAGCTTACTTGAAGGTGAGGTGTCAGCCCCGTCCAGCCTCCTCGGGAGGTAAGTCGCCTTTGGGAAGCTGCTAGACCGGCAGGTGAGGCACAATGTAATTTTCGAAGAGAAACCTGTAGTACAAGAGATGATGATTCTTGCCTGGAGACCTTTATGCGCATCGTCAGCATTTTATAAGAAACTGAGCTGACATATATAGGACTTAACGACAAAGCTAAAAGGAGCTCTCAAATAACCTCTTCAGAGTGTGCCGCTGACAAATGCAGCTGCTCATGTAAACAAAACACACATTTACACATACAGTGATACCTCGGGTTACAGACGCTTCAGCTTGCACGTTTTCAGGTTGTGCACCACGCTGAACCCGGAAGTACTGGAACGGGTTACTTCCGGGTTCCGGCGCTTGCGCATGCACAGAAGCACTAAATTGCGCTTTGTGCATGCACAGAAGCGCCGAATCACAACACGCGAGTGCGTAGATACAGTGCTGTGGGTTGCAAACGCTGTGGGTTGTGAATGTCCCTCCCACACGGATCACGTTCGCAACCTGAGCGTCCACTGTATTGTGTAAAATTTCACTAAGATGGGTAATTAAATTAAGTTGGGCAGAAGTGTTCAATACTGATGCACAGGGTTTCTGATTTTATTGGTGTGTATACACAACGGGAAAGGAAGGCATCTGTAAAACATAAAGCAGACTTTTATTTTATTTTTCCCTAGTTGGTTATCTTAGTAATAGCATCGCTTTATATTTCAGGTTATAAATAGGCACAAATTACACCCTGTTTCTCTCGGCAGAGGGAAGATCCAGCTTTCTTTTGGAAGGAGAGCACTGGAGGCAAAGGTCACAACGTGCACACGGCTTCCCCTCAAGAATCCTGGGAACTGTACTTTAAGGGTTCTGGGAAGTGTAATTCTGTGAGGGTGTATGGGGTCACGAAGAGTCGGACACGACTAAACGACTAAACAAAAACAACAAAATTCACATCAGTAAAGAATCTCCAAGTGGTCCATTGTTTATTCTTGGTAATCAGAAGATAATAACAATATATTTCATCTAAACTTCTTGGGTTATTTAATTTGATCCATTCATTTGATTTTTAATCCTATCCTAGAGACTCAGGGTAATCTCTAATCGGTACACTTTAGTTGTTTGCTTGGACTACAAACAAACTAAATCAAATATTTCCTCTGGGTGAAGGTAAATTCATTCAAGGCTTCAAAAGAAATTTTATATTATGGAGGTTTGTGGAAAAAATAAATTTCCCTCAGGAATTTCTCATCAAGGAAAAAAAAAGATCCCCAAAAATCCCTATTGAACTTTCCCAGCATTCTCTTTGTCAATAGATGCAAAAACGATGAGTAATGAAAATGTCCCTTTAAAATGCTCCTGTCAGACAAGCTCTGACATTTTAAAGAGTTGTTGAAAAGGAAGAAAGGGCTCCGTTTTTGCATGAGGTTGATGCTTCATGTCACTCCTCAACATTTGATGCTGCGGGTTGTTTTTTTTTAAACTATGATTCTGCCTGGAGGCCAGGCAACATTCAATTGTGCAAAAATGTATTAGGAGGCAAGCTACCTTTGTGCATAGATCATTAATGCATTAACTGCGTTGTTGTTGTGTCTGATGCTTATCTCTTTGAGCATTGCAGCTGAAAAACAATTAACAACTGAAAGAAAAGCATTAATAGCGATGACGGACAGTGGAAAAATGACTTATGGAAATTTGATTCTTATCACTGATAGATGTTCCACTCCTTCCTGGGCATTTGATTTAGTAAAAGTTACTATATCAGTTTCATCTGGATGTAGCTTTCGTGTGGTTTTTTGGGGGGGTAGGTTGTCTCACCAAGAAACAAGTTCAGTGAGGTGCTATAAACACTGTGAGCCACTGTTTCCCAGGGAGCTTGACCTACTAAAGAATATTCAGGAAACCTGTATGCATTGAGTAGTTTTCCTGCAGTGCCATATGCCTAACTCAAGGTGTGAGACAGATGAGAGTAAATTCTGAATGTGTAGGTAAAGTGCACTCAAGGTGGTGACATACAGAACACTATGCTATAGATGTCTATAGATCTGGTGCATTTTGCATGCAAGGTAAAGGTAAAGGGACTCCTGACCATTAGGTCCAGTCATGACCGACTCTGGGGTTGTGGCGCTCATCTCGCTTTACTGGCCGAGGGAGCCGGCGTACAGCTTCCGGGTCATGTGGCCAGCATGGCTAAGCCGCTTCTGGCAAACCAGAGCAGCGCACAGAAACACCATTTACCTTCCCGCCAGAGTGGTACCTATTTATCTACTCGCACTTTTGACGTGCTTTCGAACTGCTAGGTTGGCAGGAGCAGGGACCGAGCAACGGGAGCTCACCCTGTCATGGGGATTCGAACCGCCGACCTTCTGATCGGCAAGTCCTAGGCTCTGTGGTTTAACCCACAGTGCCACCCGCATCCCATGCAAACATTCATGTTAAAGCAATATGATAATTATAACCAGGTTTGGATACACACGAGGGCATTTGTACCAACCAACACATCCTCAGACTTCTAGCCCTGACTTATGCTGTGCAAAATTGCTTTTCTCCTCCCGTTACAGAATAAGGATGTGGAATATGTGAATTCTGAATATGGGAAGAACGCAGTGAGACTGCTGTACATTAGACGAGAGGGCACGACTCACTGCATCAAAGAACTGGAAGTATCTGTGCATATAAGGCTGAACACCGTCAACGAATTCTTGAATTCTGACAACAGTCAAGTGATCCCCACAGACACCATAAAGAATACAATCCAAGCTTTGGCCAAATGCCGAGGGGTATGTTTTGCAAAGCACTCTTCCAACTGTTTTTTATTTAATCTTTGTGTAGCTAGATATTGTCTTAATGAATTGCATTTTTATGAATTGCATTCCTATTGCAAAATCAGTCCTCGGGCAAAAATAATAATGAGAGTCTGTGACAATTCAAAGAGCAAGGAACAGAGAGAGAGAGAGATTTGGCCACAGATGGATCGTATCATGTGATACGACCCATCTGTGGCCAAATCTCTTTCTCTTTCCTTTCCTTTTTGGTATTATAACTCTTACAGAGAGCTAGGAGTGTCAGCCAACAACGACTGGCAGATTTATCTGGATGCAAAGGTAAATGTAAACACCTTTCCAAAGGAAAAGAACAACAAAATTCTTAAGAAAAGCTTTTTCCAAAGAGGAAACACAAGATTGCTAGTATTATTGTGGTAAGTGTGCAGTCTTACAAGCCTTTCAGTCGATGAAGATTGGCACAGCTATTATTCATGTACAGCAGGGATAGCGAAGCTGTGGTCCTCCAGATTTGTTGGCTCCAAATCCCATCAGCCCCAGCCAGCATGGTCCATGGTCAGGGATGATGGGAACTGTAGTCCAACAGATTCCACTAAGCTTCCACTGAGTGGAAGCATCTTGCACAAGCCAGAAGAGATCTATTTCATAGAATCATAAACTCCCAGAATTGCAGAGATGGAACATGAAGGTCATCAATGCAGGAATCTTCTGCTGAATGTCATGAGCTAACCCAGGGATTTGTTTTGTCTTTAACTTTTGCTAGCAGTTGGAAGAATCACAGGTTTCCTTTTTCCAGAGTATTACGGGCAATTGGCTCAATAAAGACATTTATTTTATAAACTATACATTTCATAATGCCTGCTTGACTGCTTCACCCATTTAATCAAGAGGTTTGCAATGACATGAACGTATTGCAAAAAATAAAATAAAATACAGTGTTGTGTCTCGATATTTATCTAAGGGCAGAAACTGATGGTGTCTGACGACCCTGTTTGTCTTACTAGATCAGAACAATAGAGGAGTTTGGCCTTGACATCTGTGAACACTTCCTTACATCGTTTTGCCACGTGATATACTGCAATGCCTTCATCCAAGAAGTACCATGGCAACGCCTAGAAAAGGTATACTGAGCTTATACACCCCACCCATCTGACTAGGTTGCTCCCTGCACACAGGTGGGAACAAGTGAAAAGTGGTGTTGTCAGAAGGAGGGAGGGAGGGGCGACCAAATGTGGGCAGGGTTCATAGGGCACTGAATCACCTTAACATTTATAAGACTCCCTCCCTCCCAAACCAGCTCTATTACTTCCCCATGTGTTTTAAATTTGCCTACATTTATTTACGCATTTTCCATATTCTTCAATCTCTAGGATGGTGTCCCCCATGTCCATGCTTTTCTCTATAGCTCAGAAGGGGTTCGGTTTTGTGAAGTGGAACGGACTCTGGAAGGTAAGACACGAAATTTCATTCTTTTGGCAGAAATCCTCAGAAACGTAACACCTTTTATTATTCTCTGTTGAAGAGAAGTAGGAGCAGTCAAGGCCATTGAAGCGTTTGTGGGTGTTAGAAACAGAGGTGGGATTTCTTGTGTTTCTGTTTTCCTTGCCCCGGAAGGCAAGAGAAATACGGTATTCATACTGAGCCCCCACTCGATTTCCCTGTTAAAAGGTGCTTTTTAATTTATCTGCATATATCGATTTTCTCATTTTAAATTATTTCATTATTTCATTGTAAAAAGAACTGACTTTTTCTCTCTTCCATTCTCTCTCTCTCTCTTGCAGGTAGTCCGATTGTTTTTTCTGGCATTAAGGATCTGAAGCTTATGAAAACAACCCAGTCTGGATTTCAAGGCTTCTTCAAGGATAAATACACCACACTTCCTGAAAGAAGAGATCGAGTGCTGTCAATAGAAACACTGATCAAGTGGTGTTATGGAGAAGGCGCAGACTGTCTTGACTACGACTGCATATGGTACTGTAAAAAACCAAACCAAGCCAACCCCATTTTTGTCTAACGGCGCATGAAATTTGTCCACAGTAGAAGAGATGGCTGATATTGAGTATGATTACAGCCCTCTGATGGATGAAAAAAAGGAAATATTTCGATCAGAAATATCCAAATTGGGGAAGGGTGTGTGCATTGTCAATTTACAGTGGAAACAAGCTCCTGTTTCCTCACAGTGAGAAGTGAAGTTACAGGGAACCAGGTAGAGGGCCTTCTCAGTAGTGATGCCCTCCCACCAGATGTCAAGGAGATAACCTTTAGAAGATATAACCTTTAGAAGACACCTGAAGGCAGCCCTGTATAGGGAAGTTTTTAATGTTCGATGTTTTATTATGTTTCTGTATATGCTGGAAGCCACCTACAGTGGCTGGGAAAACGCAGCCAGATGGATGGAGTATTATTAATTGGGGGGAATATTTATTTTGCTTCTGTCTCACTCTTACTCCACTGATCCAAGGAATTGATCAGGTGCACCCATGTGTCCCTTTAGCCGTTTCGCAGCATCACACAGTCCCAGACCATTCTCTGGGTACCACCTGTGCCAGGCTTAATGCGACCACATGGAAAGCCCTTCATTCCTAGACACACACCCCACATTGGAAATTTCTTTCTTTCTCTCTCTCTCCTTCTTCTTTTCCTGACTGCACTGTTAAAATTTATGACCTTACCTTTAACAAGGGACAGAGCTAAGCAAGCTGAACACAGGACATTGGCCTTGCAAGTTCACACATGAGCTGAATTATAGAGAGAGTACAGATTTGATTCTAATGGCTACACGTTGCTTTGAAGGAGAACTGCCCACGAGTGTACCCTCGATGCCTTTGCCGGGCCGCCTGAAACAGGCCACTACTCGCCATCTTACCAGAAGACGGTCAACTGCATCCAGACCTACATCCTGGATAGACTCCCCCAGGTCAGTCTCGTCCTATCTCTTTGTCCTCACGACATGCGATATGCTTCAAATAACCATAGTCTCACGAAACCGAGCTTTACATCAAAAACACAAAACCAATCCAATTCAGACGCCCGTGACTCAGACTTGAGGGGCAATGTACGGATCATCGTGTAAGCTTATATTTTGCTTTCTCTCGGGCTATTATAAATATAAGGTGGATAGATAAAGAAATTAAAAGCATAGGAAGCCTTACACCAAGCCAGTGTTGTCTACAAGGACTGGCAGGGTGGCCGTCTAGGATTTTAGATAGCGTTTTCTCTCAGCTTTACCTGCAATTGCCAAGGATGGAATCTGGGAATTCTGGCTTCAGGGAGATGTGTTTTCCAGCCCTGCTACTTCAGATCCAGTATGACTGGAGCTGCCCTGAATGTAAACTCGTGTGTGTGTGTGTGTGTGTTCTCTATGGAATGCACAGGGCTTTCTACCACTCAGCAATAACCCCTCTCCATATTCCCGCTGTTAGGGAATGATGAAACAAATGTATGGTTCTCCGTGTGAAAACAGTACCTTTTTTTGGTACTTGTAAACCCAACACGTGATGTGACATGACCATGCAGTGCCTTGCTCTGCTCTTGTAGCCAAGGGCCATGACACATAGTAAAGGTAAAAGGTAAAGGACCCCTGGACAATTAAATCCAGTCAAAGGTGACTATGGGGTTGTGGATCTCATCTCACTTTCAGGCCGAGGGAGCTAGCGTTTGACCACAGAGAGCTTTCCGGGTCATGTGGCCAGCATGACTAAACCGCTTCTGGTGCAATGGAACACCGTGGTGGAAACCAGAGCGCACAGAAACGCCATTTACTTTCCCACCGCAGTGGTACCTATTTATCTACTTGCACTGGCATGCTTTCAAACTGCTAGGTTGGCAGGAGCTGGGACAGAGCAATGGGAGCTCATCCTGTCACGGGGATTCGAACTGCTGAACTTCTGACCGGCAAGCCAAAGAGGCTCAGTGGTTTAAACCACAGTGCCACCCGTGTCCCATGCAGATGCATAATTTAGACAGGGAGATGTAGCTGTTATGCATTGTTTACAAGACCAGGAATGCCTGTGGCCCACAACCTCAATTCAAATCCCGTTTGTGTAATCAATCCGTTCAGATTTCCGACAAAAGCAATTTGTTCCTCTTGCAGCCTGCTGGGCAGGGAGGAAAAGGGTGAGTGAGACAGGAGGAGAGAGAAGGGCGTGTCGGGAAGAAAGATCTGGCTCCGTCTACCAATGACTTCAGCCCCTCTCACAGTATTGGCAGGCTGGCCATGACATACCTGGCTCCCGTTACCTCGGACTTCTGCTCTCACTGCCAAGAACAGGGGAAGGAGACTTGAGTGAATGCAGTTGTAGTGCACAGGGTCATCCTGTGGTCTAATATGCGTATGTTTTTATGCTTTCAGATTGAGGAAGTGGAAGTGATCATGTCCAACATCCACTATTCTGTGGCGGATCTAGAAAAACTGGGACTGTGCAATGACAAGGAGGTGAGGAAATGTGTTTTTCTTCTTTTCAGGATAAATTGCTGTGGAGCTGTATGGGAGTAAGGTAGGGCTAGGAAGGATAATTTAACAGAGTCTTCGAGCATATCCGCCCTGGAGATTGAAGCCATTTACAAAGACATTCCCTCTCCGCAAAGAGAGGCTGGGCTTGGGGCTCTCCAACAGAGGATTCTTAGAAACTTAGAAAGTTGCCTTATAAGAAGTCAGATCATTGGTCCAACTAGCTCAGTATTGTCCTCAGTGATTGGCTGCTGCTCTCCTGGGTTTGGTTTTCAGAAGGGGAACATTCCCCATCCTACCTGGAGATGCTGAGAATTGAACCTGGGACCCTCTGTACGTAAGCCAGATGCTCTGCCCCTGAGCTATGGCATGATAGCTGTGACTGACTGGGAGAGGAAGGGGCAAGGTGGTGTACAAACGTACCTCCAGCAGTGGTCCTGCTTGTGTTTGCACCACACCAAGCTCCCCATCCCCACCCCCTCTTCCTCCTAGTCAGCAAAAGCAACACCAGTAGCTGGTCAGGTGAGCACCTCCACCTGTCAGGCTTGAGGAATTCTCTCCCTTCTTTGATGGCTTCAAGGAGCAGGGAGGAAACATGAACGGTTTTGCTTATGCTTTTATTTAGTCCTCGTGGTGAGAGACAAAGAATCCAGACATCCCTCAAGGATGGAGTTGCTCACTCTGGGCTCCTCCCCTCTCTTTGCAACAGCATCCGACTCCACGGTGACCCACGAGATCAAATGCCTCTGTGTCCCATTGCTCTTGCATTCTTAACAAACGCCGAGTTTTAGGGGTGGTGGTGGTGGTTCATCGATGCTGTCCAGAGACGTTTCAGCTGGCTGCTCTGCCTCCCCTCGTTCCTCTTCAAACACCTCATAACTCATCTGTTCGCTTGTCTCTGATCTGCTATCTCCTTCCAAGTTTGGCTGTAATTCAATACTGTGTCCCCTTCTCTGGAAGCTACAGGAGAAGGGGAGGTGATCTTCACCACTCCTGCTCCTCTTCAGTCCAGTCCCTGACCCCACCCCACCAACCACTAATGGTTGTTATTAGTAGAAGCAATTTCTTTGCTGAAAACTCCTATGAACATGTGGTGTATAGACTCTCAAGCGAGTAGTAGGTACTCCTGCTGGAGGCAAACCCATTAACACAAGTGTCTTCCATGTACAGATCTTGACACCTCAGGATACACCCTTTGGGGCTTGTGCATCTACGCTGCGCAGGAAGAAGGACTGCCCAGGGACATACCAGCAACGCCCCGTCGCATGTAAACCTCGTTACTCCGTTGGATTTAAGTCCTCCATTGGGATGAACTAAGCAGCCGGCGGCTTCCTAGATCATCACATCCGGCAAAATTGATCTCCTATCAGCTTGCTAAGTTACTCCACACTTTCCATAGCTTTGTGTGTGTACACGCGATCAACATTTTCAAGGTGGCCTAAAGGAAATTGAATGCTGACACCACCATGATTTTCTTTATTGCTTCTTTTGAAAATCAAATCACATCAAAACAAAAATTTTCAAAGCAGCCCCCTAGAGTTCAAGGAATTTTCAGGCCTCCCATATGAATTAGACAATCTGGGCTTATTTCACAGGTGGGAAGCCTGCCGGTAGATACTTCGAAGCAGTAACTACTAAGATATTCTTTTTTCCTTTATATTAACAAGACAAGTGCAAGCTTACATGCCAGGTCCCTTGACTTCCAATGGTGCCACATGACACTAAGCTGCACGAACCGAAGATTTGGACGTCTTTCCCCCAACTTAGCAAAGTTTGCATTCGCTATATAAATTTAGCCCATAAATGCGGCAAATAAAGCAAAAACACTGCATCCGACATATATCGCTTAGTTTGGCCATAGAAGTACCAATGTCAGCATTGACTAATTGATGCAGTCATGTAACATGTTGAGTCCCCTACTGCTGTATTTTGCTCCTCTGATACACAAAGCCTGGGACATGTGTGAGTAGGAAAATAACTATGTCTATTTATATAATCCTAAGACATGCTTGAACTACCTTTATAGAGTTATGTAGATCTTTAATAATCCTCAGTCTTTGGGTTTCTTCTCCTGATAGTGCTTTGATTTCTGAGCAAGCAGTTTGCACGCATGAGGAAAGGAGGGGAGTTGAAGAACGCTTACCCTGATCAGCGGCAGACTTTGGCAATGTGGTACCCTAAGAGAGGACCCAATTTGCTCCCCTCCCCTCCCCCCATATTTATTATTTCACAATAATTCCTTCTGCTTCAGTTTACCCATGTATTTGCCCTTATAAAAATTGGTTTTAAAACATTATTATTATTATTATTATTATTATTATTATTATTTTGTGCCCTCTTGGCTTGGCACCCTGGGGGGGGGGGAACCGGATGCACCAGCCTAAATCTAGTGCTGCCCTGATGTTACTACCTCAGCAGCCATTGTTGTGGTCCTTCAAGGAGGCAAGTTTCTCCTGATTTTGCTACAAGTCAAGCTTTATGAAAAACTTGATGGTTGCTTTGCAGCCTTGGACATTTCCAGTGTGCGGGGAAATTTGACATACTGGTGGAAAAAGTTTGAAAACAGCCTTGGCTTTCGCCCGTAAAAAAGTATAGTGGGACTCTGCACTTGTCCTGCCTTGGAAATACTATACCTAGAGATGGATTCCTTCACATCACCTGGTGTTACTTACCTTTATGTTAGCCAAAAGTTGACTAAGTAATTTGGACTTCAGCATTTTTTTTATTCTTTGTCCCATCCTGTCTTCCATGCAGAAAGCTGCTTGCTAACACTTGAGGGAGTTGTAGATTTCCTTTTTCTTTAAATATTATGCCTTCATGGGTTGCAAGGTTTCAGTATGTATCTGTATTATGGGTGAATAAAGAGCAACGACAAAACAGTTTGATCTGTTTATTGAACGAAACATGAAACCTTGTTGGTGTCAAAATATAAAAACTTATATTATTATACCCCACTTTGGACCCGTGTATTTCATTACGTGTGTTGTAAAGGTGAAAACAACAACAAACAGGGGTTGGGCTGATGTACTGAATTGGTTTTTAAAATGCAAAAGATACCACACAGTAGTGCCCAATTCATCTGAGCTGCAAGCATTTAATGTCAGCTCAAAGGTTTGAGGGATCCTCAGTCAAGAAGTAGTAAAGGTAAAGGGACCCCTGACCATTAGGTCCAGTCGTGACCGACTCTGGGGTTGCAGCGCTCATCTCGCTTTATTGGCTGAGGGAGCAGGAGTTTGTCCGCAGACAGCTTCTGGGTCATGTGGCCAGCATGACTAAGCTGCTTCTGGCGAACCAGAGCAGAGCACGGAAACGCCGTTTACCTTCCCGCCGGAGCAGTACCTATTTATCTACTTGCACTTTGACGTGCTTTCGAACTGCTAGGTTGGCAGGAGCAGGGACTGAGCAACGGGAGCTCACTGCCGACCTTCTGATTGGCAAGCCCTCGGCTCTGTGGTTTAAGCCACAGCGCCATCTGCATCCCAAAAAGTCAAAAAGTAGGGAGGGACAAATGAGAGGAGACATGGGACACTTCTAGACGTTGTGGACTGCAACTCCCTTCAGCCACAGCCAGCGCTGTCAATTGTTAGGGATTATGGGAGTTGTAGTGCACATTTTGGAGGGATGCAGTGGGACGTCTGGGCCTGTACTGAAGTTCCCAGCCGTGGTCTAGAGAGGTAAAAGGTAAAGGTCATCTGGACGGTTAAGTCCAATGAAAGGCCGAGGGAGCTGGCATTTGTCCACAGCGAGCTTTCTGGGTCATGTGGCCAGCATGACTAAACTGCTTCTGGCACAACAGAACACCATGACGGAAACCAGAGCACGCGGAAATGCTGTTTACCTTCCCGCCGCAGCAGTACCTATTTACTCACATTGGTGTGCTTTTGAACTGCTAGGTTGGCAGGAGCTGGGACAGAGTAACAGTAGCTCACCCCATCGCAGGGATTCAAACCACTGACCTTCTGATTGGCAAGACCAAGAGGATCAGTGGTTTAAACCACAGCGCCACCCATGTCTCTAGTCCTAGAGAAGTACTACAGTCTAACCTGGCCCCAGCATCTTTGGACTAGTCCCTTCTACTTAGGGAGTTTACTTCAGAGGTGACTAGCCTGTGGTCCTGCAAGTGCTGGTGGATGTCCAACTCCCACCAGCCCAAGCCAAGCACGGCCAATGTCAGGAAAGGTGGATAGACTCTTAATTTCAAGGTTATGAGTTTGAGCCCCACTTTGGGTGAAAGATTCCTACATTGCAGGGGGTTGGACTAGGTGACCCCTGCGGTCCCTTCCAACTCTACAATTCCATATTTCTATAACAACTGGAACACCAGTGGCTCCCCACCCCTGACTGCATCTGCATCTGGGCATGGTCTTGCCACAACCTTTCCTTATGCTGGTGCTGTATGTAAATATAACTCTGAAGGGTAAAGGGACCCCTGGCCGTTAGGTCCAGTTGTGGCCGACTCTGGGGTTGCGGCGCTCATCTCGCTTTATTGGCCGAGGGAGCCGGCGTACAGCTTCCGGGTCATGTGGCCAGCATGGCTAAGCTGCTTCTGGAGAACCAGAGCAGCACACAGAAATGCAGTTTACCTTCCCGCTGGAGCGGTACCTACTTATCTACTTGCACTTTGACATGTTTTTGAACTGCTGGGTTGGCAGGAGCAGGGACTGAGCAACACGAGCTCACCCCGTCATGGGGATTCGAACCGCCGACCTTCTGATCAGCAAGCCCTAGGCTCTGTGGTTTAGACCACAGCGCCACCCGCGTCCCACTAACTCTGAAGGGCAAGATGGTGTTATTAGTACAAGTCACAACATCAATCCAATAATATGAGCTCAAGACCATTTACTTCAACGGAAGGAAGTGCACTTAATGGAATGCAGGGTGGCAGACATTATATTTACCGATGACAAAGTGAGGCGATGGGATTCAACTTAATACAGGTTAAGCTGGTGCCATTCATTCCTTTGAACTCTGCCCTTTTGAGAGGCACACACCCCAACTCCAGCCTCAAATGAAAGCCCTCTATGCACGTACTCTCACACACAGATACTATTAATAATAATGAGGGCATTACTTAACCACTGTGTAGTGTTTTTAAATGATCAAAGAAGTTCACATGCCCTGTACTATTGCAATCCTTGCAACAACCCTGTAAGTCAGTATAATTATCCCCCATTTTACAGATGTCAGTTCAGGGCTCTCTGATCTTAGGCCCTGTGCTGCATCAGCTCCTATCATTGTGTTGTGCATTTTACGAGTCATAATAGCATTCCGATTCCAAATTTGTCATCGGACTCTTACGTGACCAGCAAATGGAATCCAAGGTAGGCACAGGCTTGGTTCTCAGTGACACCCATTAAATTGTGTGGCCTTGAGTGAACTGAGCTGCAGTCTGGGTTACAAGTCTACGAGGGGCAAAAGCCTACAACATATCACTTCAGTCTCCAGGGTTACCAAGAGCTTGACTCAGTCCAAGGCCCCCAACATTGTATGCTGACCCAAGAACTGCACATGTGGTTTTTGAAGTCTGTGTGCACCTAAGAACACTTCTTGTTGAATTGAATCTGTGGCAGCCAAGACACAGCCCTGGTGCTCCTATCAACCTTACTCTGTATGTTAATAGCAAAGTCATTATCCAAGCGTGGGTCCTTATGTACTCAAAGCAGTACTGTTGCAGGGCCAGGCTCAGGTGAGCTACCAATAAAGGAGACCAACACAGTTGAATGGGATTGAATCAGGCCACAACTTTATTGGCTACAGATGCAGTGGTTTGGCATAGGCATTGGGTAAGCATTTATTTCTGGGCTGACAGGACAGGGAAGCCTGATTGTTCCCTCAAGCCCAGCTCTCCGCGCCAGCCTGCCATTGGCCAATTCAGCAGGCTGACATAGAGCAGGATTTCAAGCTGAAGCTTGCGCTCCGGCAAGGATCAGGCCCCGAAGCCCAGCCCAGCATCGTCGGCAGGAGGGGAGGCGCTGGCTGTCCCGCAAAGCCGCCGCACCCCTAAAAGGGGGTAAGTGGACTTTGCACACAAGAGGAGGGCATCAGCAGGCTTGGGGAAACCCCAAGGTTTGCAGAACGACCCAAAATTAAAAGCCATAAAGGGAACTTCCTCCCCAAACATCTCAATGGGGACCAAATAGGCTCAGTGGGTACAAAACGCTGCCTGATTATTGCGGGTGGGGAGAAAAACAAGGTTAGGGTTACCAGCATCCTGGAACAGGCCCATGCTCCACGCTGCGGCATTTTGTTGCAGTCACACTTATGTATCCTAACCCTTAGCTTATATACTGGTTAATGAAAAATAAATAAATCTCTAAGTGGTTTACACAAAATGGTAAAATCATTTTAAAAAATAGCAATGAAAACCGCCTTTAAAACAGTAAGCAAATTTATCAAAATATGGATGAAAATCAACAGGAAAAAACAGAAGAAGGTACATAATAAAATCACATGTCTGGGCAGGTTTGCCTGAAGCAGACATCAAAAACTGTACAATGAAGGTATCTGTGGAATATATCAACACGAGAACCTGCTGCTATCTAAGGGGAAACGCCAGACACATGGTACTTTCTCTCTCTGTACTGGTGTTATGCAAGCACAAATCTGAAAATTCTGGACATGTATGGAAATCAGATGCCTAAAATGCTGTCTGGCAGTTGCCATCCAGATGTGCTTGGCAGCGATTGCCCTGCGGTGTCAGGGTCTTGCGACGGGAAAGCCGGTGGGTCTCCTCCACCAGGGGTGGCGGTTATTCATAAAACCCTGCTGCAGTTTGGGGCAGAAAAATACTTCCGCATTTTCTGTCTTCCTCCTTGAAATCCACAGCCCCCTCCTGCAATGGAATGAGCGCAGCCAGATGGGGCACAGGGCTGGAGCTGAACATCAATAAAATTTAGGCTCTGTGCCTAAATTTAGGCTCTGGGAACTTTTAAGAAATAACATGCCAAACCATTTGGTTGCCAAACATCCAGCTTTTCAGGAAGATGGTCTTGCAGCATTCCTCTGCAACATGGCTCCTCCACACAGACACCCTCAGCCTTGGTGGACAATCCTAGATTGACAGGGCCGGAAATGGATCTGCAGCCCATAAAGGCTGCTACCTTCGGGTAACTACTGTGTTACTTAGAAGCCGGTTTATTGCCCATTTAAACATCACAACAAGCGTAGTTAAATCGGTATCTCTCTATTAAGGCAATTCAATCCCATTCTTGAAATGTGGTTTGCTCATTCCAAAGGGAACTTTTAAAATTCTGGAAATGTGACGCAGTGCTGCTATGTAGTATGTGGCAACCGGTTAATTAATTTATAAAAGATGCAGCAGCACCCTTAATCAATCAATGAGGAACATGTCATATCTGAATTGCTCCATCTCAGCCAGGCACGTTTCTGCAATTCATCAAAATACGGTAGACATCCGAATTTCAACCGCCCTCCTTCCTTTATATTGTATGGACACTCCTGAAGAAACAGGAATAGATAAATTACTGATATGGTGCTGCAATTACAAATCTATTCACCTCCCTTGTGAATGAATTTGAATACATTTCAGAATGATGCAATTTTGCTCAGCCGAGTACAAAGTCTCAGGCTGAGTGGAATCCGATCTTCCAATCGTTGCATCTGTGCATTTCAGCTTGCTAGACAGAATGATACCCCCTTCCCCTACCCTACACACTGTTCTGGGAGTTTTCTTGACACACACACCTCTGCCAATTTCCAGTGTGGGCATGGAAGGAGGGAGGAAGGCCCTGTTGGGCAAGAAGAAGTTCATCTATAGGGCTTCTGCTGGTGGGGCAGGTTGGGTGAATCCCTTGTTATCTCAAGCAGCAGAGCTGTTTGAGAGCCATTGTCTCGTAGCAGTACTAGACTAGAACCAATGGATAGATTCCGCCCCCCACTACACAGAAACAAAACCAGAAATCCATTGCCCTTCTCATTTCATTAAAAAAAAGGTACAGGGACCCCTGACCATTAGGTCCAGTCGCGGACGACTCTGGGGTTGCAGCGCTCATCTCACTTTACTGGCCGAGGGAGCCAGCGTACACCTTCTGGGTCATGTGTCCAGCGTGACTAAGCCGCTTCTCGCGAACCAGAGCAGCGCACGGAAACGCCATTTTCCTTCCCGCCGGAGCGGTACCTATTTAGCTACTTGCACTTTGACGTGTTTTCGAACTGCTAGGTTGGCAGGAGCAGGGACCGAGCAATAGGAGCTCACCCCATCGCAGGGATCCGAACCGCCGACCTTCTGATCAGCAAGCCCTAGGCTCTGTGGTTTAACCCACAGTGCCACCCGCAGTTCATAGCTCTGCGCAATTTGAATGCTGGCAACTGTAAGCAGTTGGGGCTTCAGGTAATACTCTGAAGGTCCTCAATAATCCATTGATCAAACTTTTTGGGAAATCTTCATGATGGATCAAGATGCAGCACTCTCACTTTTTTGTTGTTGGGAGTTCCTATGCTAAGTAGAAGAAATCCCAATATGGATTTCACAGAAGCGGAACATGGAAGAACAGCAGATAGAAAATCTTCATTTGCTGAAGTGAGGTTGGTTGCAGTTCTGAAAGTTGCAGTATTAAGGTTTCTTTCAATATGGAGCCAGGGATTGTGGTGGTTCACAATGAGAGATAAACACTTTGAAATAAAAGAAAGCTCAACACCAAACTGAATCAAAACACAAGCAACATCTTTGTTGACTTAACAAGTCTGCAGTTAAAATAAGGAACTGATCAAAACAGACTGAACTACAGTGTTGTCCTTCAACAGAAATTCACAATAATAAGACAACATCCTTTTGCTTTTCGGAAATAGAGGTGTTCAGCTCATAAATCCAGTCATGTTGCCAATATTTTTTTTTACAGCACCATCAGAATACAATATTTAAAAATATGAAAGAGATGTCGCTTTTAACACTTTCCCAGCAGAACTGTTAATAAGTTATAAATTAGAACAAGAACAAAACAAAGTATGTCTTACAGAGCAACACAAACTGTTGTTATTTCTTTCTGGGGGAAAAACCCTGCTTTTCACAAAACATCTTTTAAAATTCAAATAACATTAGCACAAACGAGAAACAACAGAGGAAGTTTTACAACCCAGTTTCACCTCTGGTGCAGCTGCTTCTGCTCTCAAAAGGTGCTAGGCTACTGGTATGCACAGCGTTAAACATTACAATATGCTATGAACAAACCTTAATAAGGTCAAAAATAGGACCCCTCTGCAAAAAAAGGGTGGTTTTGGCAAATTTGGAACCTCTTGCTAGTGTTACAAAGAAGCTGTGACTCTAAAAAGAAATGTCAACTTCCGCTGATCCACACACTCCCGATCCACTTTCAAATCCGAGCACAATCCATCATGAAATAATTTTGTGCAAGCACCACTGAAGCAAGAGGGAATTGTGCAACAGCACTACTGAGGTTCAGTGGCTACGTTTTGATGCCACAGCAAACTAGAGCTTAACACGAGCCCAAGCACCAAACTTTCTCCAACCCTCTCCTGTTCTGGTGCAGCCACAAGGAGTTGGAAAGCTTCTTCTTCCATTTTTTTCACAGCAGCCTATTGCATACTCCTAACTGAGAAACTGTGGTTAATCTTAACTATGGTTGGATCAAGCTGGCACAAACCATAGCCAACATTAACCAAAGTTTGTCAGCTGGGAAAACAGAACAGGCTGTGGTTAAAGCAAAAGTGGAAGCTTCCCAGCTTCTTCTTGTGGGTGCACTAGGAAGAAGGAAGCGTACAAGCTTGAGGTTCACCTAGGCTTGCTCCATCCCTCTAAGCTATGCCCAATGAGTCACGTGCAAGAGAAAATTATGGTGAATAGCATCCTTACCTTTCAAACAGTAATTCTAAGAATCAGTGTTTTTTTTTGTCGAGCTTTCACATTAAGAAGTACCTTTTCCGTTTTTACTTACCTTTTATCTCACTGAAGAAAAACTATTGAGCTGGTCGTATACTTGATGGAACAGTGAGAAACTCATCCCTCCCATCAGTTCAATAATCACCATACAGCATATTGCTAAAGCTATCCAATAGGATATATCTATAAATATATATTTATATATATTTATATCAGTGCCATTTTGGTTTAAACTTTATGTACACATACAGTCTTTTTTTTTTTTTACAACGTTCCATCAACAAGAAACCAAAGTTGCTTATTTATTCTGAATACCAGAGACACAACATGGTCCCCATCTGACAGTCCACTATAGGGAAGTGTTCTTGAGATGCTGTGTCTGTAGAGGCTTTACGTGATATTCATAGATCTTCAGTGCAGGTCCCAGTTTTAATGAAAGTCCAGTCAGCACATCATTCCTCGTCATCAACAGTAAAGATTTCCCATCAATTTCCTAAGGGTGGAAATCAATAAATATGTCAGACAATTTATGAAAGCAAGAGGGTGTCAAAACCTCAAGAAAGTAATGCACCCGGAAACTGGAACAGCTTGCAGAGTCATCACCAAGCCCAGGTCTGTACTGTGGCCAAAGGGGCCAGCATGGTCTTCAGATCCAGAAAATGCTACTTCCCCTTCCTCTGAACAGGCTAGGTCAGGCTTCCTCAAACTCAGCTCTCCAGATGTTTTGAGATTACAATTCCCATCATCCATGACCACTGGTCCTGCTAGCTAGGGATCATGGGAGTTGTAGTCCAAAAACATCTGGAGGGCCGAGTTTGAGGAAGCCTGGGCTAGGTCTAAACCAAGACTAAGGTTCCATGCCAGCCAGAGGAATTATGTGAGAATGAGTGTGGTCCCTGAGAAACAGTTCCACTTCCTGTCCAAATACTTCCAGGTCATTCCTGGGCTTACGTCACACTGAGGAACCATCATGGGTCTGGTGGTTCTCAGAGAGGACCAGAATGTGTAAAGTAAGGGAGAAATCACATAAAGGAAGAGCTTCCTGTGAGTGGGCAACTCATGTATAACAGTAGCTTCTGGTCTTTCACCTGCCAGCTTCTTTCTTTTGGTATAGTCTGCCTTAGTGGATGGGAACTCCAAGAAAACACAAAACCTTCCACTGGTCTCCAACCACCATTCTCCCTCACATTCCACACAACTCCCCCAAAGTCCTCACCACCTCCATTCTTATATGCCCATTTCCTGAACGCTTCTTTCTGGTAGCTTTTTTAATAATAAAAAAATCTTGTCTCTTGTGCACCTCCAGTTGGTGTACAAGCAGCTCTAGTGAACTGGGAGCGGGTGATGCCACATACAGGAAACCTCGATTGACCCAAATTTACTCTTATGGTACAGCAGCTGTCAGAGAGCAGCCAAACACGTGACTGTTAAGGGCAGTTATTGGATTGGGTATAGTTTTCTTACCTGCCTCAAACCTCAAACTGCTATGGTGTCTTTACTTATAACACTTACCCCTGGACAGCCTGTATAGTATATAAGTATAGGGGCAGTGTTATGAGAAAGAATCATATATAAGTGCCTTTTTTTTTTTTTTAATGAGGTTGCAATACTCATATCTTGGTAAAAGTGTGGTCTCTGTGCAAGCACAAAATGGCTGCCGTGGGCAGTCAAAAACCAGTGAGGGTACTAGATACCAGTGAGTACTGTCACACCAAAAAGCTGTCACACCAAAAAGCTGTGTGTATAGCTTGCTTGAGGAAGGCACACCATGAGATTCTGTGTGGAGTGGCAGTATACTGACTGGCCAATTTGTACCAATCTGAGATTCCTTATACTTGTGATTTACATCTTATATTGGCCTGCTAATTAAAAGGCCGTGCTGTTACTTGTTCCCAATCCCCAACACCTTAGACTGAAAGTTAATATTCATCAGCTAATATTAAAATAAAACTTAATCTTGATAAGAGTTTAGCATTCAAAATGTAACTAATGACACATACCTGACTTTATTTTCAATTAACTTTAACAGACTATGCTTTGCATAAATCACACATGGCAAAAATGATGTTGACAAGCTAAACTTGCATCTATGAATTCAGTATTTTATGAGTCTAACATGCCAATTAGGATCCCGCCCTGCCTGTTCTGCTGTGGTCAGATTCTTGCGATTGAATAAAATTTATTGTTCAAGCTCTCAGGCCATTACAAACAAAATACATGAAGATGTAACCAGTATTAGTAAAGCCACAAGCATGTCCACATTTGTAATTACAATAACCCACAAAAATTCTATACGCAGAACCCTTTTCAATTATAAATATGTATGGCTTTTAGCTATAGAGGTCACAAATGCTGCCACTCAATGAGAATGAAAGATCTCTGGGTCCATTCAATCAATGCTTGTTGACTGGAGATGCAAAAACATTCTAGGAAGAATAGGTATTCACAATTTGTTTCTGCGGAGAATGCAGGCTGAATAAGGTCTGAATAATAACAACTTACTGCCACAGAAGCTGCTGCCCAAATACTTATTCAGGGAAAAATGCTGACTGAACCAAAAACATGAGGTACCACTTTTGAGCTGGGAAGCAAGCACTTCATCTTCCCAGCACTTAGTGGACAGACACCTGCAATGTTTCTCTCTCTTCTGACCCTGTTGGCTAGTCCACAAGCAGCACACAATTTTCAGCTTTTAGCATAAGCTAATCCTCATACAAACCTTTTGGTTTGGGCAGAAGCGACACAACAGAGTGATGTGCCATTTTATGATGCTGAGTCAACATCATAAGCCTGATCACATGCAGGTGCCTGTGTTTGATCTCACAAAAACGAAAGGATGCAGACTTAGGGAACCAGGTGGTGTATTCACCAGGAGACATCGTTACTAATCCTCAGTGCTTTGTTTTTTTCTCTCTGCCAGAGCGCAGTTCCAGCACCTCTCAGGTGGGCACCATTGCACTTTATAGACACCTTCACCTCTCCACTTGGAAACCTGAGCTTTCATTGGGTGAGATTCTCAGGCCTCAGATTGAATTCAACAAAAAGGGGCTGTAGACATGCATTGTTGTGAGGCTGAGTGTCCAGACCGCATTTAAACACAGTGGTACCTCGGGTTACATACGCTTCAGGATACAGACTCCGCTAACCCAGAAATATTACCTCGGCTTAAGAACTTTGCTTCAGGATGAGAACAGAAATCGTGCAGCGGCGGCACAGCAGCAGCAGGAGGCCCCATTAGCTAAAGTGGTGTTTCAGGTTAAGAACAGTTTCAGGTTAAGAACAGACCTCCAGAACGAATTAAGTTCTTAACGCAAGGTACCACTGTATATACAAGTGGGATCTACAACAAAATGTTGCAGCCCGGGTAGTACCGTTCAGGATTCCAGCCAATTCCATTCCACTTCCTCCTCCCTCCCCAGTTTTCAGTTCCCTGGCCAACAGTCAGTCAGCATTCTATCGCCACTGAGAATGCTCAGTTCTCATTGCATAGTAGGGATCCCCCAATCCTGAATTTTATTTTATTTTATTTTTTGGCACTTCTGCAACCGTTGGGGTTCATATGATGTCATGAGCCAGTAGACATGGCTAGAGAAAAAGAGCTTTGCAGGCCAAGTGTGACTTGTGGGCTGAAGTCTCCTCACGCATGCCTAAATAAAGCTCATAATGAGACTGGGGGAAGCTTTTCTAATAAGCTGTTGCCTGCCCAAAGGTTTGCCCGAACCACCAAGCACCACAAAGCATTTCCACCAGCCCATCACACAATGCGAAACACAGCACAAGTTCCTAATAGGCTCAGTACCCAAGCGTAGCAGCTGCCCCTTACCAATTTACAGCTGGGAGCCCTTCAGTAACAGATGGGCTGCTCCTCAACTTCAACGCGTTCCTTGCCGTCCACCACAATTCTCTTGGTTACAACCTTTTTGCCGTCCACAACCTTGCTGGTGGTAATGATGGACTTGAACCTTCCTTTCCTGCCACTGTGGAGAGCAGTGCAGGAACAGCCACCGGTGATCTCGGAGCCAAAGGAAGTGAAGCCGGTTCCCGCAATGGGGGACACCCCACTGATAGAGACGGAAAAGCTGCTGTCGCTTCTGGTTCTTCTTCTTCCGTGGTGGCCTCGCTGGTCGCCGGAAATGTCGTCAAGCAGGTCGTCAAAGATATTTAGGGAAAAGGTGTCCATCCCCTTGCGCACATCCAGGGGGGATCTGTGGAAACTCGGTTTGGCGTCGAGGTGCCCTTTGTCTCTCTCCTTGTCTCCAGACCCACCATGTCTGCATGTACCTCTGCCTCTTTCATGCCACCCTCTCTCATGTCCGTCTCCTTTGCGGGATCGGTCATAGGCATCCCTCTTTTTAGTATCAGACAAGACCTCGTACGCTTTAGAGAGCTCTATGAATTTCTTTTCTGCTGCTTCCCTGTTCCCTGGGTTTTTATCTGGGTGCACCTTTAAGGCCAACTGCCGGTAGGCTTTCTTAATGTTATCCGCAGACGCGGTTTTTTGCACTCCCAGAACCTCGTAATAATTCACCATCTTTTTCCAACCGTCTTAAGCATAAATATCCGCTTCGTCTGTTCCTGGCAAATATCTGAACAATATCCCGATTATGTCCTGGCACCTTGTCAGTCTCAGAGTTGAAAGGTTATTAGTACACATTCCAAAAGAAGGAAGGCCTGAAATAACATGAAGCGCTACATGTCTTTGTGTGCACCAGCGTTGCTTAGGGTTTTAACAACGATATCCGAGGAACTGCCAAACAGGTTGGGGGCAGGGGGAAAGCTGCTTCAACATCCAACGACTGATTTCAAAATGATTCAAACAGTCCACTGTCAGGGTGAAATTGTGACATCAGCCAACTGCTAGGTTTCAGCCATTTTTATTTGCATATTGCAATTTCATTGGCTATGAGGGTGGGATGCCTGCCCTTCAGAATTTGATGACATCAGAGAATAACAGCAATATAAGGATGAGCACAGATGTAAGGCACTTTGATTTTGGAAAGTGGCCAGGGGATTATACTTTCTGCTAAAGTACAAGATATGAAAAGATCTGCATTTATTCATATACCCACGTAGCCAGCTGCATTGCCAAGATATATGTTTTTCATAGGCATAATAGACATAATAGCAAAGCTGTAGACACAGCATGTTAGCAACTTGTTGGGATAATTTTAATGAAAGAACTATCTTCAGATAATGAAAATTAAAATTGTACAATTTCCTTTGAGGTTGTTGGGGTGTTTTTAGAAGCATGCAGAGCAGATGGTATCTGAAAGGAATGTTTCAAGTATGAATGGCTCCTGCATTTGTATCTGGCTGGCTTCTGCTGCTGTTTAGTAAAGTTTTGACATCTTCTGGTTTGCTGATTTTCACTTTGGCTATTAACAGGGAACTTTTCTTGCCTGCATATTCAGAATCCCAACAGCATCTTGAGCTTTAGCGAACAACTCAGGGTTAGAAGTGCTTATACTCATCCACAATAAACAAGCACCTGAATTGCGTTCCTCTTTATTCTCCTCCCTACAGGACCTCCCTTTAGCAACATGGATTCCACTCCCACCGAATCTGTTCACCAACTACTAGTGGAAGGTACAATCTTCCACCCACGGTTTTTCTACGGCTGTGGTGACTATACACTGCTCGCAAACCAGCCATATATAGGAAGAAGACTTCACACCCCACAAGCATTGTGGGAGTAGCCGATTTCTGTTTACTCCTTCAGACAGATGTTAAAAATCATTATTTATCACCAAGTGTTCCTTGATAGCCGGGCTCATTGCTTTTGCTCTTGGTGTTGTAAATATCCCCTCTAGCCTTTCAAAAAAAAACCCTTGTTGATATTTTGCCGTTTTGAAATTAATTCACTATTAAACTGTGCTGTGTTGTTTCAGTTTTGTTTACTTATTAAGAATATTTTTGTACAGCCGTATCATAAAAATATCAGGGCGGTGGGGTGAAGACAACTGAAAATGCAAGTAACCATTAAAGTGACTGGCTATTTAAACAGCTGCAAAGTTTTGTAGGACTAAGTTTTCTAGGACTAAGAGTAGGGAGACCCAGGTTCAAACCCCTGGTTACGAGGTTTTCACCTCCATTTCATTTTCAGGAGTGAAGAAAGGGTAAGTTTGGCTAAAGCGAAGGATCATGGGAAATTGCTCTCCTGCCTCAACCTCGTGTATAGTCTTGTAGCTGATTTCCCTATGCTTGACCTCCTTGCCAGCGAGGTCACGAGGATCCAGAAAGTTCATTGACTGACTCAGCAGGGTTGCTAGGTTGCAGTGATGGCAATAAGGCAAAGCGATTGGTAAACAAAAGGTCAGCAAATAAATGTAATAAAAGAACAGACCTTCCCATCTAATTAGTGCCCAGCCGGAAAGGGAGGGAAGCAACTGGGCGGAATGAGCCAAAACAATCAACCCAGCCATGTTTGTGCCAGTCTTGTAAAAATACTACTGCAGCAAAGGAAGATGAAGTTGTAGAAAAGCAACTCCTACACCGTTGCAGTAATGAATGAAGAGCCCCTGAAGGAAAAGGCAGGAGTACGAGTATGCCCTGAGAGAGTCAGCAAAGGGTGTGTGGCTGAATGGTGTGGGTTATGTTTTGTCTTTGTAAGGCTGCTGTTACAGGCTGGCAACCTCAACTGGGAGTTCTGGATTGCTAAAAGCTGCCTTCCGACCAGCAATTCCTGAAGATGCCATATTTTCCCCACCTCTGCTCCAGAGGGAGGAATTTCTGGGCACCTTGCCAAAGCTCAAAATTCTGCTAGGGCCCTCCCCCTCTTGACCCCTGAGCCTCTTGGGCTCCTGCTCCTTGCTGTGCTCCAATTGCCCGTTTCCACTGTCCTCTCGGAACAAGCAAGCACCAAGGAGGGAAAGCACTGCCTTTCCCATTGCTTGCCCCCTCTCCCTCTAGGTAGCTGTGCACATTTGGCCCAGAAGAAGCTAATGGGCTTCAGAGCCGAGGACACGGATCTAAACAGGGATGGGCCCCAACGCTCTCTCTGGCCTCATCACTGTGGCATCCTCAGGTCACCTTCATCATTGCTGCTGCCAGAACATCCTCCCATGCCAGGGCAGTGCTCTCTCAAGGAACTGCACACACCACCAATCAAGCACTAGCTCTCTCCAGGGTCTCTGCGATTTCAAGGCTAGCAGTTGATGCCAGTCTAATTGATGGTCCTGCTGTGCCTTCCCAGCCAAGCTTCCTTGGCAGGAGAACTTGGAGGATGCCTTACATAAGAGGTCCGGATGAGTAAATAAACCCTGCTGGGTAAGCAGGGTTTTCATCACCCGGCCACGGCAGCTAATCCAAACACGACAATTAACCAATTTACAACTGTAGTACTATGGTTACGCAAAACCTATCGGCAGCGCCCGCCCCAAGTTATTACTTAATGTGAGCTGCATCACAGAGTCAGTCTGAAAGCAGGTCTGTGGATCGACCTCAGCCATCATGCTGGCGGCAGGGTTTAGGTCGGCCCCAAACAATTTTTGGGTACCAGGACTTAAGCCCCAGGAGATTCCAAGTGCACTGCTGAGCGCGGGCAGAATACATTTCAGGTAACAACATCCTCATCCATCCAGCATCAGGGGTCGGAGGATGTGATTTCAAATCAACACCCTATCCCCTCTCTTTTTTTAGAAACTGAGGATAGGGGATAGGGGCAGCCAGGCTTTCTGATGTCCCCAGCTACAGCTTGAAGCAATCTCCTTTTGGGCCAGCGAACAGGAGGGAGGAGAGTGGTTGTTTTGACACAGCTTCCCCTAACCAGGTATCCTCCACTTGTTTTCAAACAACCACAATTCACATCAGCCCCGCCAGTTTGGCTGGGGGTCCGTTTGGCTGGGAAAGGCTAGTCTCCTGCCTACGAGAAGATCTTCATTCCTTTCTAAATCTCCATTTCGGATAAAAGGCTCAGCACTCTCACCTACCCACACCTGGGTGCTGGAGAAATCCAGCCGCCCATCGTTTTCTTCCACACAGAAACAAACACATGCACGACTCCAAATCCATACTACAACTGAGAGTGAAGATGAAAAGGATGTGCGGAGGTTGAACTGCTAACAGAGCGGCAGTGCAGCAAATGAAGCTTGCTGGGTTTCTTCCACAAACCAGAAGTCACACATGGGTTGGATTTGGCAAATGCAAGGACTGCACAAAATAAATAAAAATAATAAACAGTAATAATAATAATGTGATTCAGCTCACGTTTAAAGGTAAGCCTATGTAATTTGTGCTTGCTTGACAGAACAGTACACGAACTGAAACACGGTCATCCTTGGGGAGTTACACCAGTGAAAGATTTGCTACCTGAGCCCTGGCTGAGCCAGCATAGCTTCACCTCAGCCAGGATGAAGGACTTATGCTAGCATATCCCTGGCTGAACCAGAAGGAGGGAACTAGACCAGCTCAGCTGGGACAGCTCACTTGCTTAGTAATATCCGGGTGGATCTTGGGTTTGGATTATACTGTAAATGCACCCATTTCATTTTTGTTGGCACTCCGTTCCATCCTGTTTGGTGTGATTTTTTCTTCTAAAAAAAGAACGCCCAAAATATTTGCATTTATATTGTATGCATTTCCCTCAAAATACACATTTCCCCATGCTTTCCCATGCATTTTATGAGCATCCAGACGGTAAAACACATATTTTTCTGCACCCAATACTTTTGCGCACCTAAACTGCATTGCAAAATGAGTAATCAGATTGGGAGCTGTGTTTTGATCTGCCAGCAAGTTTGAGACTGTTAAATTGGGTGGAACTGCAGCCTTAAGCGTTATGCCCAAGTTCACAAATGTGGTAGAGCCAGGCAGTTTTGCCAATAAGCAATCCTAGACATGCCTGCTCAGAAGTTAAGTCCAGCTACGTTTACTGGGGCTTACTCTTAGAAACAGTGTGCATAGCCTTACAGGTGTAATCATACAAACACGCCCCTCCCCTCCAACTATGCCATGTTGGTCTTCTAGAACAGAAGCAAAGAATTCAACTAATTAATCCTTCTGTGACAATTGCCTACACTGCTTCTTAGGAGTGTCCCCAGGCGCATAGGCAAACAGTTACAAGATGGATTGTCCAAACAGATTTACCTGCTCTTGAAAAGCATGAGCCTGTTCTTCAAAGCCCACTGTTCTGAAATAATTCACCACATCTGTAACCGCCCAGTCAGCAGGATCAGGTGGTCTTCCATTCTCTACCAAGCTACGAAATTTTAAAAAATGCAAGCAAATGTTAATATTTGTGCATCGCACACATGTACCAGGTGCTGAGTAACTTAATGCTCCCTAAGAGAGAAGGGAAACTCACCTTAAGGAAGGAAAGGCAAGCTCACCTGCGTTCTAACCCTCACAAATGCCTTGCTGAGTCAAGAGACCCGGTCTGAATTTAACCCTGTGCTCTTCTTGGGTTAAACCAACAAACTGATTTCTTTCTTGTGCTTCCAAGGCCCAAAGTCAGGGGATTTTCCACCAAAGACCCAAAGTCAGCTGGGCTTACGTTACAAGTGGGATAGAGAGCATTTCTCTTTGCGAAGGAGATCCATACAAAAAAATCAACTGCTGCCCCTCCACAAACAAAAGCAAACACACTGTTGACCAGGCACAGGCAAACTAGGCCCTCCAGATGTTTTGGGACTACAACTCCCATCATCCCTGACCACTGGTCCTGTTAGCTAGGAATGATGGGGGTTGTAGTCCTAAAACAGCTGGGGGACCAAGTTTGGCCATGCCTGCTATGCCAACCCATCTTTGCAAGCCACATGAAGTTTGGGCTGCATGAAATTAGGCCCAGGACCACATGGGCCACAGGTTTCCCACTACAGAGCTGCCACACCCAGCACATGTAAACTATGTTCAGAAGTCGTATGTGAGACATGTGGTCAAATTTCCTGTGAAGATTCGTTCTCGCTACGCAGATGCCCCTGCAGCTACTTTGCAGAATGCAAGCACAGTGTCTTGGTCTTCTTTCAAGAACGGCTTACAATAACAGTTAAAAGCTTGTGGAATTTGTGGAACTCTATTCCAGTTCAGGTCAGACAGGCGCTTTCATCCCGTTGAACTTCCAGCACCTAATGAAGACTTTAAAAAAATTTAAAAAATCCAGCAGCTATTTCAATTGATGCCTGATGTTATAGTTTTAAAACACACACACACACACACACACACACACACACACACACACACACACAGTATCTTTGTTAAACCACTTAGACTCATTGTAGTGAAGTGGTATATAAATTATTATTATTATTTCTTATTTATTGAATTTATATACCGCCCTATACCTGGAGATCTCAGGGTGGTTCACAGAATAAAATCAAAATATAAAACCACAAAATACATAACCAAAATAAAAACAGCAACCCAATAACCCCCTCCCCCAAAAACCCACCTTTTAAATGGGCATAGGATGTCAATCAAATCAACCAAAGGCCTAGTTAAAAATGAACGTTTTTTCCTGGCGCCTAAAGCTGTATAATGAATTATATAATTGTTTAAATAAACAATAAACAAGCTTGTGTACGTGGGATCTTATCTTGAGGCAGGTGTCCCTGAACATGCATCAACCTAGGGCTTGTTTACATTATCTAGGAGCCATCCTGAGGTTCTAGGGAGAATATCAGCTGGGCAAAATATGGGGCTTCTTAGCGTTCTTAGTGTTTTTCCCAAGTAAGCGGCTCCAGGGGCTTAACTAAGGCATTTCCTGCGTAACTTCATGATGAAAATAGCCATTTTCTGTGCATGGCTCTTGCAATCGCAGAAACAGTGTCGCTTACAGTGGTATTTTTTGTTTCTTTTTTTAAGATGGATGTTTTATGCCAAGCTAACCCGAACTGTGCACCTCAAAAAGCTGAATTATATACCCAACCAAATATTTGTGTGTGAGTTAATTTGCATGCTTTGTTGTACAATGTTTATTATTCTGCATAATTTAATCTGCTTCACTAAGGAGATGTGTGGATCAATGAGCTCCTGATTCTTGGAAATTTTAATCCATCATTCCTTTAGTCTCCGAGATTCACCACACCCTTTCAAGTATTGTCACAGTCATAAGGAGTAGAAACCCATTTGATTTTTTTTAAGGCAAGACTCTAATCCAGGGGTCAGCAAACTTTTCAGCAGGGGGCCGGTTCACTGTCGCTCAGACCTTGTGGGGGGGCCTGACTATATTTTGAAAAAAATATATGAATGAATTCCTATGCCCCACAAATAACCCAGAGATGAATTTTAAATAAAAGCACACATTTTACTTATGTAAAAACACCAGGCAGGCCCCACAAATAACCCAGAGATGCATTTTAAATAAAAGGACACATTCTACTCATGTAAAAACACGCTGATTCCTGGACCGTCCGCGGGCTGGATTTGGAAGGCGATTGGGCCGGATCTGGCCCCCGCGCCTTAGTTTGCCTACCCATGCTCTAATCACTACGCCTCACTGGCTCTCCATGAAGTAATAGTACATTAGCATTTCTATAGCACTTTTCAGTATTAAAAACACTTGGCGTACATGACCTCAGTCGCAGGCACTGTTAAGGAAAGGCAATATTGCCAGCCTGGTCCCTTGACCCAGTGGCGTAGCGTGGGGGGTGCAGGGGGGGCCGGCCGCACCGGGAGCAACATCTGGGGGGGGGCGCGATCGCACTTGCAGCTCTCTGCCCCTACCTGGCTCACTCACTCTCTCTCACTGCAGTGCTGGCTGTGCGAATCCGATCTGAGCCGCTGGGTCGCCGCCCACTGTGGAGGGGGTGGGTGCCAGGCGTGCGGTGTGGAGAGAGAGCGAGGGACTATCTGGGGGAGGGACAGTGCAGCGGCCGCCCAGCGCAGCGCTGAGCGCGGGAGAGAACCACACCAGACCTGCCCAGGCAGCAGCAAGAAGAAGCTGGCAGCGGCAGCAGGTTAGGGGTTAGGGGGCGCAAATTACTTGCCTTGCCCCAGGTTAGGGGGCGCAAATTACTTGCTTTGCCCCGGGTGCTGACAACCCACGCTACGCCGCTGCCTTGACCTAGATGAGCAGAAGGGCATGACAGAGTTCTGGAGGTTCTGGCTATGCAAGTGTAGCATGTTCAGTGCAATTTGGAAAAGAGTAACAAAGATTACTACACAAACCTGTTGACTCCGCTATTGTGTATATGCTTATATTTGAAATGCAGTCCTTTATGTACATGAGCCAGCTGCTACAGGAATGCAATAAGGCTGGTCTGCTGAGTTACCCATCCTCAGCCTTGTCATTTTGCACTGAGAACGGCATGCAACAGGAAACAAACAGAACCGGAAGCATAAACTGGCAAGCTGTACAGTATCTTCTTTTCCTGCTGCAGGGACCTGGGGGGAAGAGCTCAAAAGCACACCCATGAAAGCAGGAATGTGTCAATCCCATGGAGCGGCTGCAATCCTAAATAGATGCCAGTCTAGCATAATCATGGGGTTGGTGGCTGCACCATTCCACGCTCCATGGTTGCACATTAAATACTGTAGATTATCAATCTGGTCCCTGCAGATGGAATGGGCGAGCTAAATATCAATTTCCTGACGTGCTAAACTGGCCCACACATTCATGCTTATGTGGATGCAGGGCAGTTTATAAATGCTTTTCCATAAAATATCCTGCTTTTATATTACTGTTTTACTAGTTTTATATTGCATTTTTTTGTTTTAATGGAATTATTTATTGTTTTTATGTTGTGCAGCACTTAGGGGGATTTCTAAACCATTAAATGGTTTGCAGAGGCATTTAAATAAAATAAAACAAACCAAAGAAGGCGAAGCTTGAGGGAAACTGGAAACTTTTCACACATGCAGCAAATTGGACACTTGGGGAGACACACACACACACACACACACGTTGTTCACACCCCCAGTATATGCTATACTTGCGGTGGCTGTGAGAGTGCTCACAAAGCCGAGAATCAGTCGAGAGAGAGATGAAACCAGCCAGTCAAAACTGCCTGGGAAAACAGCAGCAGCAGCAGTCCACAACCATTATGCGAAAGAGAGGGACTTTGTCCCAGCTCAGTGGTTTTCAACCAATGTGTTGTGGCACCCTGGGGTGCCTTGAATGATGGTCAGGGATGCCGCAGGCCAACATTGGCCTCTGTCCCTCTTTCCTTCCCTCCCTTCCCTCTGATGCCCTCTCACGTCTCTGCCTCACAAAGGCTTGCACAGCTGTTTCTTGCAGCAGCCCTGCTAAAAGCTCTGCAAGTGAATGGTGCCTCTGGGGCTGGCCAGGGGTGCTGGCTGCCAGGAATAAGCAAGCAAGAGGGCAAGGGAACCCAGCAGGCCAGTCTACCAGCCCTTGCTGTTGGGAATGGACAGACAAGTAGGAGGCCAGGCCGGCAGACACCACGCTGGCCTTTCTTGTGCTTGTTGTGCAATGTCTGCTTGGGAGCCGAGTGCCCAGTGCGGAAAGGGAGCCTATCCATGCAGGCCCTGCAGCGCCTGCTGCTGCCACCCAAGATGAGTAAGGTGCTGGCCTCACATTCACCTTTGGCCAGTCTCCGTTTGGCCATTCATACTGGGGGCATCCTCTTTCCAGGCCCCTGTGGAGCAGTGTGAGGAGGCACCTCTCTTTGGGGCAGGTCAGAGACCAGGGGTGGCAGCAGCGGCTGCCCGCAGGACTCCCAAGGAGAGGAGAGGGGAGAGGAGAGGAGGCTGAGGGAACACTCCACAAAGGAGGGTGTTCAAAAAAGGGTGAGAAGCTGCCAGCTCTGCAAGCAAGGGGTGACATAACTGGGCTCCTGAGCCCCACAGGGGTGCCGCAGAAAGAATGTACTTGGTCATGGGAGCCGTGGACTCAGAAAGGTTGAAAACCTCTGTTCTAGCACAGTTGAAAGCCACAGCCCAACCTTTGCAAAAGGCACTCTGAGCACCAGCCACGGGATTGAGAAGGGAACCCTGAACTGCTGACTTCTCCTCAGGGCTTTATGCCTGTTCTGTTGAATAGGTTTGCAATCACTGGTGGGATTCGTTGCTTCAGAAGCAGCAGCAGCAACCTCAGCAAAACCCTGGCAAGGGGCGGTTCAAGTACATTAACTTTATGCAATGCTGCTGTTATGCTGGTTAGAACTGCAATCATGGCGGGCGGGGGACCCTGCTAGTTTCTTCTCCTTCCATCTCATCTATTGCCATCACATTGCAGTAGTAAATAGTCTTGCTTAGGCTGCATTCACATGACAGTTTATTCAATTTTCACATTATATTTCAGCTTTCACAGGATATAAAAAGCCACTTCCAGAACTATAGTGGAAAATAGCACAAGTTTAGCAGTCGATTCCACATGGATTCCCTGCACACACACACACACACACCCCCCACGGAAGCAAATAACACATAGATGAGCACTGAACTTGGCACTCTAGTTCCAGAAGTGGCTTCTATGCCGTGTGAAAGCTCAAATATAATGCAGAGCAGCTTAACAGTTGAGGGGAAAGGGAAATGAAAAAAGCAGCCATGTGAATGCAGCGTTCAAACAACAACAGCCCAATCCGCCCCACCATGGACTGAGAACATTTTAAAATCCTACTTGTAATCCATGCCACAAAGTGACAAATACTTAATAGAGGAAGACATACATCACATGTAGACATCTAAAACTCAGTTTCTGCACTAGCTAATTATGCTTCCCCATAGTTTCTTTTTTAAAAAATAAAAATAAAGAAATGACTCCATTAGCATCCAACTCCTAATCATAAGAGCCGAAGGGCAAAGGATTTAATCTAAGCTGGTCTGGTTTTGATTTCCTCTGCTGTGAACCTGATACAAGGCTACTAATTGAAAGGGATTTATAAGAGGGTGTTTAGAATTGTAATACATGGATACTTATTGCATATTAGCAGATTGCATTGGTTATCTCCAAGCAGGAGTTAAAAATTAATGGAAGATGCTTGCCAAGACTGGAGCCTACGAAACAACGTGGTGGAATGAGAACATGCTCTTTCACCATCTTGTGGTAACTACATGAAGTAAGTGGCTTCCCCCCACCCTTTTCATCTATGTAGATATGTACTTAGGTATTACAACATAGCTTCATCAACATAATGCCTAGAGAGCTAAGACAGAAAAAAATGTGCATCTAAACTGGCAACCTAAGCATCAGGATGACAGCCAACAAGGGTTATGCCCATACATTATGTTATGCATTTATCAACCTTAAGGGGTGGGTCCCAATCGTAAAATCATAGGATTGTAGAGTTGGAAGGGACCGTGAGGATCGTCTTGTCCAACCCCCTGCAATGCAGTTGTCCCATACGGGGATCGAAACTGCAACCTTGGCATTATTTCAGCACTATGCTTTAACCAGCTGAGCTGTTGAACTACAATTCCCTTCAGCCCCACGGAGCATGGCCAGTGGTCAAGGATTATGGGAGTCGTAGTCCAAGAACATATGGAGGGCCACAGGTTCCCCTTCCCCAAGGTTGATGGATGCTTAAATTATGCAACATGTAATTTCCACCTATGCTATCGTATTATAAGCTAATATCTAAAAAAATTAGTCCAGCAAATAGAAATCATGTTGATGTGCAAATACGAGGTGTGTAGGGATATCGCAGAGCGGGGAGTGGGGTCCGGAGAGAGCACACTTCCCCGCCAGCAGGCAGCCACAGTCTGCCTGCACGTGTGACCTTGGGGTGCAGGGAAACCCTCCCCCCCCCAGACAAGCCACAGCTGTCTGGTACATCGTTCCACCTATGTCTGACCTTTTGCGGTCTCAGAAGTCAGCGGTGTCCTGTCTGTAAGTTTTCCCCTTTTGTCTCCTATGTCATACACTGTGCAAGGGGAAAATGACGCTGTGGAACAGGTGCCAAAATAGTTTTGTATCACCCCACAATCGCGGGATGGAAGATGTGTAAAGGTCACAGCCCAAAATGTATTTGCCTAGCTTGCATGTTTGTCTCAATAAAAGGAGGCTCCACAGGAATGGTGGTAGCTCGCTTCAGACCACCTGTGCGCAGCTCACATGATGATCAACACCTGTCTTGGGCCTTCACTTCAAGGTGTGTTCAGATAGGAATAAGACCAGCTCCCCCAATGTGTGTATGCACCCCCCTTGTTTCTCCGATGTGGCTGTAAAGAGTTTGGAAGTTTGTCTTCTGTTTTTGATTAACCACAGCCTATCCAGGCACCTGGACCTCACAAACTGTTAATCGTAACTATAGTTGGTTTGATACAAAGCAACTTCGCAAGTTGCGGTTTAGGGAGCCAGCTTCTTTCACAAACCATAGTTAAGATTAAGTTTGGATGCAACCTCAAACAGTGTTTAATTGAACTAAGCATTTTTATACCACCTTTCATATGGCAGCAAAAAGCAGTGCAAAATACAAAAGAAAAAAACCGTTAAAATATCAACAGCCTCTACAACAATAGAGGACATAAGGCAGCAATGATCAAGACAAAGCAAAACATTGACGTTGAATTCTGGAACTGAGCACTGGCTAAAGTCTCAGTATGTAAGTATGTCTTCAACAGGTGCTGAAATACTAATAATGTTGGCACCTATCTGAGCTCAAGGTGGAGATGTTTCGACTGAGACGGTGCCACCACAGAGAAGGCCCCAAAATGCAGCACCACTAGGGCAGCCTCCTCAGCTAATTACAAAGGATGAGCAGAGCAGTAAAGGAGAGGTGCTCTTTCAAGTAACCTGCTCCTAAGCTTTTCAGGGTTTTATAGGTCAGATCCAAAAAACCTGGTTTGACAGCTAATTAGTAGCCAGCGTAATTCTGTTGGGAGTGTGTGTGCAGCATGGCTATCCAGTAAGCAGCTTGCAAACTCCTCCTCCTCCTGGCTATGCCAGAGATTGTGAAAAGCTTCAGCTGCCACTTTCAAAGAACATTAGAACACTTACGAAATATTATATATAAACCCTTTAGCAGCAAGTGCAACCGATTGGATTATTTCAAGGTATGGACTCCACCACTGAACTACAGCTCAGTGGTCTTAATATCAGCAGGTTGTGGGAGTCAGCAAAGGAATACCATCTACTGTATCCTTGTTGACGAACTCTCAACTGGGGACAAAAATACTATAGGACAAAAATATTTTGTCTCTGTCTAGTATGAACCTATTGGTTCTAGGTCCACGATGCAAAAGAAACTTCTCATTTACCAACAGAAGTGGCATCTGGATAAACTACCAACAAGGATTACAAGATGCAATCTGATGTCCCTTTCAGGAATCTGCTCATGAAGCTGCAGATGGGACTTCCACCCTGAGACTGTTGCTACAGTGCCACCTACCGGCAGGCAGTTCCAAATGCACTCAAAGGAGCCAATTCCTTATTCAAAATTTCATCCTCCAATGGCTTCTCAAACCAAGGAGGATGGCGAAGAGAAGAGGAATAAATGAGTTCCCACCATTCTCTTGATATATTCCGTGTCTTCCACAGTTAACACTATGAATTACTGTCGATCTGCACTGCAGAATGCCTTAAAATAACAACAACACTATTGCATTGAAGCATTTAAGACATCAAAGGAAAGAACAATCACTATGGCATGTGCTTTGTTAGTAAGATATGGATAAACGACACAACACACAAACCACAGAGGGCAAATACTGGCATTTTAATGCCAACTGGGTTGCTAGGCGCAATTTTGGACCAGGTTCATGAAGTGAGAAACTGTGTGCGTGTGTGACCCTATTAATTCTCCTCTGTGACTTTCAATAACCACAAACATGGTGTCCTTTCAGACACCTGATTGAGGTGGCTCTGCTCCTGCCAGGAGAGTTGATTCCTGCAGTCCCACAGCTGTGGGGCTATGCATTTCTGCAGGGGTCATATTTCCTACCCCATGGTATCTAAACATCTACATTAAGCCACTTAATGAGGTCATCCAGGTAATTTGGCATGAGATGCCGTCAGTTGAACAGATTACACCAAACTATACTTCTCATTTTCATCCAGTTCAGCTGGTGGTGGGTAGAAATACTGAATCAAGTGCCTGGAGATTACTGACAGACTAGATGAGGGGCCAATACACTGACCTCAATCCCGACAAAACAGGGATGCTATATTGATGGATGTTTTCTCTAACTAGAGCCCCTTTCAGGTGGGTTCTGGCACATCTCAGGTGGGCACCATTGCCACTCTAAGAGAATGAGGGAGGTGTTTGTGGTGAATTCCGGCACCTCTTTTCTCGAAAGAAATGGCACTGACTGTTCTCAAAATGACTGTCCCAAGGGAACCACTTACTTTTCTGTGTCGAGAGATCCATTTTCTTTGTTCTCCATGTCAATGGACAGCATGGGGAGGCCGGGAGTGTCTTTTATGTCAGGAGCTAGATTAATAAAGATGAGAAAGAAGAAAGCTACACTGACTTGGAAGCTATAGCTAAAGAGTACCTCAACAGAGGAGATCAAACTTTGATTTTTCCCTTGAAAAAAATCAGATAAAAGTGGTGGGGAAGCATCACCCACCCATGAGTCTTCAAATTACATTATCTCTAAAAGAAAACTTGGTAAATTCTGTTTGAAGCTTCAACAAATGAGATTGCCATATTGTCAATCGGCATGAAGTGTGTTCCTCTGGCCGTGGACTGTGCACGAAGACTTTAGGTCCGCTTGCTCAGAAGGGCACTTGGCAGCCTTTGGGTAAGACGTTTCCCCTCAGACACAGTTCCCCATCTACAAAGACCCAGTACGGTATAGTGGTTAGAGCATCGGAATAGGACCTGGGAGACCAGAGTTCAAATTCCCATTTGGCTCATTGGGTGATCTTGGGCCAGTTGATGCCTCTCAGCCTAATGTACCTCATAGAGTTGTAGGGATTAAATGAGGGGAAGAATCATGTACACCACCTTGAGCTCCTGGGGGTGGGGGGAAGGTGGGATATAAATGCAGTAATAAATAATGTGGAAATACAAACAATATCATTGTTGTGCAGAGAGGAATGAAATGTGTGATACAATCTACCAAATTGCTAAAGTAAAAATGATACTCAGCTACACTATTTCTTCTCCCCAACACCAGTCAAGTTACTTGCCACCCTCACATTAAAAAAGTGTAAAAACAGTATTCTCTGTATTTTTCTCATTCCACAGGTGAAGCACAAATAACCCGACTCCCAAACATCATAGAGTTCTTTATGCAACAAGTGAAGCATCAATATAGTGTACTGAGTCCAATTTCAACTGCTTCAACCCAGCTGGGTAACTCTTGTGAGAAAAGTATCACATTTTCCCGTCTCTAAGACACCCCCATGTATAAAACGCCCCCTATTTTTGGGGACTCAGATTTAAGAAAATGGGGGGGAGGAGAGATATATTTGTGTATAAGACGCCCCCCTAATTTTTGACATTATTTTTTAGGGGGAAAACCTAGTCTTATACATGGAAAAATACGGTAGGTTTCTCACAGTTGGCATCAGCAACACATATGACAATATACATCCCTATCAGTATGGCAATACTTATGGCCCCACGAAATTGGCTGGGTTTGCATGGGAATATTCATCTCACCTCCACAGTGATGTTATTACGTACAACTGAACCAGGACCAATACCTTTTCCATAAACACTCTTTGGGATCTCCCGGAGTTCTAGGGCAATTATTTTTTTTAATCAGTAATGAATAGAATATCAATTAAGTTATTTCTCTTGGGATCCAGTTAGTGAGGTAATTTTAATTTATCCATGTGTATATTTCTATCTATGTCAACATTTGTGGAAAAGAAACACACACACAAGCTGCAGCAACTGTCTTCAGGGCTATAGCCAACTTTTTAAAGATGTTCTCTCTGCCCATTCCTGCCAAAATGATTTTGGTAGCAATGACTGCAAGCTAGAAGACCTTTCGTGTCACTGAACACCATCCTTGCTAAATTTTTAAAAAGCAGGGGGTGGACTTTAGAACTGACTTCATTTATGGCCTCTGGTATAACTGCCTTTTACTTTTTTAAAAAAATGTGGTTTGAATTTGGTATGTTTACATTAACAATACTTAAGGTTATCCGCAGTTTCTTGGGTTCAGACAGAACAGTAAGCTGTGGTTAATGAAAAATATAAGCAATCACTTCCAGTTCCTCTTTGTGGCCATGCCAGAGGAGGAGACGGCTGGTAGGGAAGGACATTAAGTTGAAACAGACACAAAAATGGAGATTCACAGCTGACTTCTTTGCCTCAAGGCAGCAGTAGTGAGGGGCTCATCTGAGGGGGAAGTGAAGCTGGGGCAATTTCATCAGGGAATCAATTCCTTCAACACTGGCTGCCTTGCCAGAAATTGCTATCCTTTATTCACTCAGGGCTCCTTCGAACGTCTTTTTTCATTGAGCTTTCATGATGATTTGTCCTCATGATGGTATCGGGGCAATTAGTTCTAAGGTGAGGGAGAAGCGTATACATGGACTGCTTCTTGGCAGCTCTGCAGAAACAAGACACTTTTCCCGCCATTTTAGCAAGCCTGGAAAAGTCAGGGTAAGGGGGACCTTCTAGCTTGCTCAGAGCTGTAGCACAGGAAGGCTGATTTGCAAGTTTTGCAGCTGGGTTTTCTAGCCTTTCTAGGTGGAAGGTCAGTAAAAAGGCAAGAGAAGGCAGCTGAGGAAAGAAGAAATAGCTACTCCACTCCTGTGATGTAAAAAAACAAACAAACAAAAAAAAACAGGCAAAAGGAAACTTTTTCCTGGCAAGTGGGGAGGTCAAGTAATGCTATCCATCGTTAACCTGACTGAAAAAGCAGAGAGAGAAATTCAAACCTGCGAGTTTGTTTTGAGTCGCTGATTTTATGACAAAGGCAGAAATATTAGTTAGGGATATTGTTAACTTATTAATGTGAGTGTATGTTGGGTTTTTCTTAAGGATTATTTGTTGTTTCTTGATTGCCTTTAAGTCTCTTTGGAGAGAGAGGTGGCGACGGATTTATCTTGAAAACAACATTTAAAAATATTTGCTGTGACCATATTACTACTACTACTACTACTACTACTACTACCACCCTTGTGAACAGAATAAAAGGTTTTCATAGAAGTGAGAAAACTCAAGGTACCATTTTTCATGGTTCTCTACATCTGTACAGTATTTTCAAAGTAGGCACGAAGCCCCAGGTATTTAAGATTTGCATATGTTTATGCAACTCAGGAGAGACGTCTAATCCCAAACCAGCTTATTTGGATAGATCTCTCATTTAAGGATATAACCAAACGTTTGCTGTTGTGGGCATGAAATAAAACCAAATGATTACTTTTCCCTCATGAAGGCAGTGCAGAATTCCATTAGTACTCCCAGCCAGCCAGCCATGGCCAGATGCAAAATAATAAAAAAGGCAATTATGAATTGTTAGTTTTTATAGAGGTACGGGGTAATTGTCCCTCAGTACAGATTTGCCTCCCTGCCACAAGATTTGAAATCCAGTCATGTCTAGGCATCCCTATGGGCCGTTAGCCATGACTGTATACACATTCCTCATATGGTTTAACATCAAATGTTTCTTTTCTCTTATTCATTTATTGCACCAAAATTACATGTTAAGAATGAGCCCCGAGCTAAGAAGTAGTGAGGTGTCTGGCTGGGGAAGCAGGTCACTACTGACTGACCAAGGTCACACTCTGTAACATAAGCATGCCTAAACAACCAGGTCAGACAGTGCTTTGGGTACTTATGAGATGTTATTTGCCACCCACTCATCTCACCACAGCTGGTCAGGATATGTTTGGATTTGCAGGATGCATGAGACTCTATATGAGATTCTACCCAGCTCTCTGTAGGCTCAAACACATTACTGGACATAGGGCCCCAAATTAGCAAGAATCCTGGCCAGCCCTTCTGTATAGTTTTGCAGATTTATATAGCTGTAGCCTAGGGAAAGGTAACATTTTTAGCTTGTTCAAAACATGGCTTAGCATGACCGACACCTGTTTAAATGCCACTTGTGACTTTATTGAAGCTAAGCTGTTAGGGCGGGTGTGTGAATTGAAAAGCAGAGGTTTCTTGGTGGCGATTCCAAAGCTTTGAAAGTGCTGTCTGCTCCTGCAGGGGACTGTTGGTTTGTTAGGATCATTCATCAGAGGTCCTTCTTACAGGTAATCTCACCATTAGAGGTAACCAGATCTTTGCCGTGGTAACACCCAAACTCTGGAATGTTCTGCCCAGAGCTCCCCACTGGGCACCAAATTTAACACCGGTTTAAGGTGCAGGGTTAAAAATGGTTTTTAATTTGCCCAAGCCTTTTTGTCTTAGTAAATTTGATGCTGCTTGGAGTTTTCTGGGGGTCTTTTCTTTTTCAAACTGCTTTCCTGCTGGTTATCAATATGCAGTCGTACCTCGGGTTGCGAACGTGATCCGTGCAGGAGGCACGTTCGCAACCTGCAGCGTTTGCAGCCTGAAGAGTCGCGTCTGCGCACACGCATGATTTTATTTTGTGCTTCTACACATGCGCGAGCGCAGAAACCTGGAAGTAACCCATTCTGGGACTTCCGAGTTTGGCGCGGTCCGCAGCCCGAAAATGCATAACCCGCAGCGTTCGTAACCTGAGGTATGATTGTATTTTTCAGTGTCTGCTTCTTATTTGTTTTGATTAGCAGGAGCCATCCTGAGAAATATCTCAACTTCAGCTTTATAAATAAGCAGGTAAGTAACTCTGCATTTGCCCAAACTGCTCAACTCCTGAGACACACACACAGGCACATATAAACACACTCCACATTCCCCCTTGCTCCCGTGCACCAACAGTTGTGAATTGTTCTTGAGAGCAATCCCAGGGTCAATTCTGGCTGTACTATGTTAAATTTAGAGAAGTAAGCACTGGGTTTTTCGGGTTTCTTTTTAACAGAGTAATATGGAAAAGAGGGTTCAAAAGGCTGAGGTACGGAAAGGACTATGCATTTAGAAAATGGGAGACAAGGAACACGGAATTCTATGGGTATGCATATACTGATGAAATGGGAGAAGACCCCAAGTCTACTTCTGTCTGAGAAATTCATTTTGCCAGCATCTTGAAGCACAGATTTATTTTTATTACATAAAATGTATACACCACTTGAATGAGGGGGAAAACAACCTTTAAGGCAGTTTACAAAATGATAAAACAAGAAAATGAAAATTACAACAGTACTTTACAAAAGTGAAAATATTAAAACAGATTAAAATTACCTCGGCTTCCTCAGCATCTGGGCAGGCTTATCTAAATATGAGCGTTTAAGGAGGTGCCAAAAAGAGTACAGTGAACGCACCTGCTCGATCTCAATAGGCAGGGAGTTCCAAAGTGTAAGTGCTACCAAATTAAAATGATCAAGTTCTCACAAATGTGGAATGGGTAAGCAGCGCTAATTCCGTCAATTGACGCAGTCAAGTGGACACACGTGGAGCAATGTGGTGAAGCAAAAGATTCCTGCACTGTAGAGGGCTGGACTAGATGACTCTTATGGTCCCCTTCCAATTCTATGATCACGTAGGTAAACTGGTCCCGACTTCTTCAGGGCTTTATATACTAATAGGTTTTATATCCTCAAGGGAACTGGCAAGATATCACAGCTTTCCTCTGAGGAGTTCCAAGGTGGCACATGTGGTTCTCCACACAAACCACCTCCATCTCACCTTCACAACAACCCTGACTTATGTGAGGATTGACAGATGGTGACATGCCTAAGGTCATCTAGAGTTTGTGACTGAGTAGGGATTTGAACCTTTGTTCTCCCAAGTGCTGGTCTGAGATTCTAACCACTACACCATTCTGGCTCTCATCTTTGGGTATGATCCTATGCATACACCTAAAAACCAGACAGTCCAGCAGCCTTAAGTCCCCTGGTCAATGGATGGGGCCGGTTTGCACTTCCCTGAAGTCCAGAGTCTTGCTGGCTAGAGTGACGGGGAGAGGGGGAACTGTGATGCACCAGAAAACAATCTGATTTAGCACACTTACGGTATCTTAAAAATATTGAAACTGCCAAGTTTTCCTGATACTGTATCTGCAATTGGCACCCATTCATTCTTCTTAAACATAACATTTTCCACTCAAATAATACAGTGGTGCCTCGCAAGACGAAATTAATCCGTTCCGCGAGTCTCTTCGTCTTGCGGTTTTTTCGTCTTGCGAAGCACGGCTATTAGCGGCTTAGCGGCTCTTAACGGCTTAGCGGCTTGAAGACAAAGGAAACAATCTCGCGAGAACTCGCAAGACGTTTCGTCTTGCGAAGCAAGCCCATAGGGAAATTCGTCTTGCGGAACGACTCAAAAAACGGAAAACTCTTTCGTCTAGTGAGTTTTTCGTCTTGCGAGGCATTCGTCTTGCGGGGCACCACTGTAAATTAGCACTGGAAAACTTTTCGCCCTACATCACTGAGTGGGGAGCAAACTGTGTGCAGCTGCTCCTTCTCCAGCTGGTGGATGGGGATAGGATCAGTGCTTCCCCCCCCCGGGGGTATTCAAGGATACGCAGTACCAGCACCTCTTTTGTTGTTGTTAAAAGGTGTGGCACTTATAGTAACAACTTCATGGTGAGTACCGGCACCTATTTTTCTAGGGAAAAAGGACTGGATAGGATGGTTTCCCCATTGCCATGGCATTCTTCCTGAGAGGCATGAAGTGAAATCTTGGTGTCCTGGTCAAAGGTTTTCAGCTCTAGAGTCCCAGGGTTGGTTGGTTGGGGTGTGTGTGCCTGTGTGCTCGTGTGCATGTTATTACAATATGTTGTAAGCCACCTTGAGGTTCATTTAATCAAATAGTGGGCTATAAACCTTCTAAACAGGTATCTAAAGAAACACGTATCTACTTAAGAGCAACGGAAGATACCTACAGGAAGAGAATGGTCAGTGAACACAACTATTGGCTTCAAGCTCTTAACCTAACTACCCTTTCCTGGAATTCACAGGACACTTCCTAAAAAGTATTTTTTTTAAAAAATAAACTTTTTTAGTATAGAAAGAACACTGAAATACCATGACCCACGTTCCAAAGTGGTCATAACCTCAAGCAAGCTTAACACAATCCTCATTCTCAACTGCCACACAGAAGAGTTCAGAGTTTTAAAACAGGATCTCAGAAGTTTTCCATATTAGGTGCATCTAATGTGTTTGTTTTAGATATAAAGAGAATTCATCTTTTTTACTCACACCCCCTCATTCTTTCCATTCTGAAGCTGCTCAATTATCCTCCGTGAATTTCCTTCCAGTAAGTTCCCTGACTGCCTGGGTGTTCTACCTTTAAAGCAACAACAACAACAACTGCTTAAAAGCAGCAATATGAATGTACGTAGTAGGCACAGGGAGAATTTAGTGTCACTTTCCTTGTTTTATATTGTGCACCTGAACATAGGCTGTTTAATTTATACTTTTGAAAAACACAGCTGAGTGGGAAGGGAGTAAAGTTTGGGCATGGTGCTTTTGTAGGTGTGCCATAACTTTTAGTGCCAAAAAAGCTTTCTGTCTCTAGTCTATCCTCAGAAATGTTGTGAGAATTGGAAGTAAAATCAAGCAAAACAATGTTTTTATTTTATTCTTAAAAAAAACAAAAACCCACACAGATAGAGAAGTAAGCCTGCTAAGAAGTCATTCACCTAATGTGTAGTCCTAAATCCCTAAACAGCTTTTAACCAAGAAGCTACAAAGCTTTTAACATCCTTCAAAGTGCCAACACCATGTTATGATGAGAGGAAGAAAAAGAAGCTTCCCACACACCATGCAAAACAAACTTTAAAAATAATGCAGCAATGCAACTAGAATTCAAAAGGGATTTGGAATAAACCAAACGCTAACATTTCTTTCTTTCTCTCTGCAATGATTTTGGAGGGGATCAGTTGCCTGAAAGGAAACATTTAATGAAAGATTGTAATTAAAATTATATATATATATATATATATATATATATATATATCGCACATCAGGGCTCCTCCACTTTTCTGCTCGACTACATCAAAGCTTCTCAAGGAGGAACAGAAATAGCTGGTGTTTCCATAAAACGGGAGGGGGTAGAAATCACTACAGTACTTGTGTTTTCACAGCTCTCGAGTGTGTAGTAATCCTCCCTGAACATATTTTCTTTATCCCTTCGGGATCATACTCAGTGCATCCCCAAGTCTTGCTTTTCCAGTTTTCGATTGGCTAAATCTTCCTAAACACACATTCCAATATCAAACATGCCTTTTTGAAAAGCAGCTGCTTTTAGGGAAGCGCTCACCATTAACTGGGTCAGGAACAAAGAACTGGGGGTAGAGGGGGAGGCAATAATTAAAAGGAGTGGGCCAAACAACAACAACAACACCCCATTGCAAACGGAGCACACAGCAGAGCTCACTTACCTTTTTTCATTTATACATGCATACATAGCCAGCAAAAGGCTGCCTTCCTCCCAGCACAGCGGCAGCCACATGCAGAGTTCCAACTAGAACACGGGGCAGCCAATCAGAAAGAAGCTGTCATGGAGGGAGGCATGCTGGGAACCGTAGTTCAGAACTCCAGAAACCTGCCGCTTTGGGGGAATGAATCGTATTTATAGACCCGATGCGAAGGTTCTTGAGCTATATAAGGAGAGGGAGCCCTTGGAGCTGCTGAGCACGCTTCCTCGGGAGTAAGCTCCACTGAAATCAGTGGAAGCGGCTTCCAAATAAACGTGCTGAGAGCGAGGACGTTAAAAAGAAAAGGGGAAAAGTCTGCAAACCCGTTGCTTGTGATCCAACATATACAAACCACGCATTTATAAATGCGCTAAACGCTGGAATGAGGGCGGGTGGGTGGAAAAAGTGAAATGGGTGGGGGCGCTGAATGAAAGCAAGTTTGGGCTTGAGCAAGGAACTTAAAAAGTATTTATCCTGAAACAACTTTTCCTACTCTTAACATTGCTAGCCTGCTTATTAGGACGTCTGAAAATATGATTTTAATGACCTACTTAATTGGAGGACAAAACATTGTGAATGTCTTAAAAAGAGGCGTTGCTTTTGCTGCAATGGGCGGGGGGGCGCTCAAAGCTCATTGAAGGAGGAGTGAGAAATAAAGTAGAGCTCTATCTAAACACTTGAAAGCAATGAAGTTAAGGAACCATTGCTTTTTTGGAAAGTGAAAGAAAGAAAGAAAAATGCTGTGGTTATGCATTACTCGCCCTTTACCCCTAAGGTCTCCATAGAAGGCAAATCCCAGGGAAACCCGGGAGAAGTCGTGACAAACCAAACCCAATCTGGAGAAGGCGTTTTCTCCTCGTCCACCTGCCTCCTAAGGTCAGCACAAGCCTGCTCCTTACCTGGCTCCATGGATTACACGAAGCTTCAGCTTCAAGCAGCTCAAGACATAAGGAATTTCGTCGCCCGGAATTACAATCAGCCACCTGCCTCTCTCAAACCAGGTAGGCCGCTGTCCTTCTGCCCCAAAATCAGAGCTGCTCTTCCTAAAGTGGCCAAGAGGGGTCATAAGAATCGAAGGAGATGCCTGATGGTTCTGTCTTGCCTATCATTGTGCCACAACAGTCGCCAGCCAATTACGGTAATTTCCTCCTGTCTGGGAGCCAAAAAGTAGAAATTACAGATCTTGCCCACTGGGTGCAGTCCCCACTACGATCCTTTATTAGGAGGGTCTGTTGGGCTATCCTGACTTAAAAAACCACTAACTTCCCTACCTAATTTGGCCATTTTGAAAAGGTGTGTTAGTAAAACCTGTATTTTATATGCCTTGATTAAATTGATTTGCCTTGAGCCAATCGATTTAACTGGGTGAGCTGGGTTTATCATATTATCAGAGAAAGAAAAACTCATTTGTCTCCACTGTTAATAATCTTGCAAACCTTTATTATGTCCACCACCCATCAGAGAAGAGTCACATATTTCCTCTTAGTTTGAAATTATTTTTTGAGCCACAAGAACACCTTTTGTGTGTTTTTTAATCAGAAGAACTTCCTGACAGTAAGAGCTGTTCGACAGTGGAATTTGCTGCCAAGGAGTGTGGTGGAGTCTCCTTCTTTGGAGGTCTTTAAGCAGAGGCTTGACAACCATATGTCAGGAGTGCTCTGATGGTGTTTCCTGCTTGGCAGGGGGTTGGACTCGATGGCCCTTGTGGTCTCTTCCAACTCTATGATTCTATGATTCTATTCTATGATTCTATGTAAATATCCAACTTTGTTCTTTTGCAAATTGGGGCAGGAATTTTCCAACTCCAGGTTAACACATGACTTGAAGGGTGGTATCAACCAATTCTAATAATTTATGGTAGGTTACTGAGCTGGCACAAGTCTTCATGAGTCTGCCCCCCCCCCCCGCATGTATGCTACCATTATATATCAGTGTTTATTACTGTTTTATAGAATCAAAGAGGCCTAAAATGCTGAGCTAGTGCATTGGGTCCATATGAATTTGTACTTGAATCCCACTGAAATCAGTTCAGAATATTTGTAGTGATGAACTTTAGCCCTATTGACTTCAATAGGAATGAAGTGCAACTAACCCAGCAAACCTCCAACTCATAGATTCAAACAGTAAAGTTATCTTTACAATGGTACCTTGGTTCTCAAACTTAATCCGTTCCAGAAGTCCATTCCAAAACCAAGGCGTGCTTTTCCATAGGAAGTAATACAAAATGGATTAATCCGTTCCAGACTTTTAAAAACAACCCCTAAAACAGCAATTTAACATGGATTTTACTATCTAACGAGACTATTAATCCATAAAATGAAAGCAATAATCAATGTACTGTACTATAAAATAAATAAAACAGTATTGTAGATGATAAAAATTAAAATTATTATTTTTTCTTAACCTGCACTGATGATAGTCATTGTTTGGATGGGCGGCATTTATCCATTTCCGCAGTCACTCACTCACTCACTCACTCAGTAGCTGAACTGGGTTCCACACAGTCACAAAAACAGATTAAGCAAAAAAGCCTCAAAAACAAAAAATACAAAATAAATAGCAAAAACAAAAGCACCAAATATAAGCTCCAAATATCATCTCAGAGCACTGCAATCAGAAATGGAAGGCTTGAATTACAATGTGGGGGCGCAAATTAGAAGCGCAACACTAAAAAACGGAAGCTCAGGACTCAAAACGGAGCACGTTCTGCTTTCGAAGCAAAGTTCGCAAACCGGAACACTGACTTCTGGGTTTGCAGCGTTCAAGTTCCAAGCTGTTCAGGAACTAAGCAGTTTGAAAACCGAGGTACCACTGTATTGCTAAATGGGGATTTGGTCCAGGTATCTTTAGCTGAATCATAACACTATTATCCAAAGGAGACTGCTCCATTAGGGCAAATGGGACACTGCCTCACCAGCCTCAGTCTCCTCTGACCAGTTCCCTTTTTATTTAGAACCATTCCCCAGGTCTGTCAGAGTTCTCCTCCTTAGGCGGTGTACACGTTTCTTCTTACTCCAGTTTCAGTGCGCTTCCACCACTGGCTTGCCACAATTCATCTGCATCCTGCAGTTTCTTGAGAAATACTGCTGTTTGGGGCGTCTTCTCTCAAACCAGCTTCCATCTCATTTGAAAATGTAAGCCGCTGCTAAGCTGAGGTGTGTACGTATGAGACAGCCATTGCGCATGTGCAGATGACAACTTCATTGGATCGTAGTTCAAGGGAGCAGCATAGGTGGGGGCAGAGAATCGGGTAATGTGCATTGAGTAAAGACATCCCCATTTATTCTACTGTGTACACCGGAAACGTAAAAATGTGACTTGAAACACAGCAGGAGGAACCTCATGTGTTTGTTAGGGTTGCTATATTTCAATTCTGCCTTTGAAATCCGAGTAATGGGATCTGGATATATGGCAGCCCTATGCTGCTAACTGTGTTGTTGTTGTTGTTGTTGTTGTTGTTGTTGTTGTTGTTGCTGTTTAACATTGTATACTGCCCTAGACCTGCAGGTCTCAGGGCAGTTCACAAGATAAAATCACAAGATACATAACAAAAATAAAAACAAGAACCACCCAATAATCCCCCAACACATTTTAAAAGGGCATTAGCTGTCAATCGGCCAAAGGCCTAGCTAAAGAAGAATGTTTTTGTCTGGTGCCTAAAGGTGCATAATGAAGGCACTAGCCCAGGCATGTACAAAGTCCATTTCGGGGGCCTAATTCAGCCCACTGGTCAGTTTAATCTGGCCCCTGTGGCAGTTGGCCCTCACACATGTTCACTTCATCAAATCTGGCCCTCTTTGAAAAAAGTTTGGGCACCCCTGCACTAGCCGAACCTCCCTGGGGAGGACTTTCCACAAAACTGTACATAGCTTAAGTCTCAGCGTTGCCTTTGTAGAACTCATCAAGGAAGGGCCCTGGGTCAGGGGTGCCATACATCCAGATTTTTCCAGACATTACTGGGATTTCAAAGGCAGAATTGACGTCTGGAGGGAATTTCTGAAAGATGGTGCTTTGTCCTGGATCTTACGCAAGTCAATTTTTGAAATATGGCAACCCTAGCCTAGGGTGCCCAGGGAAGCCCTACCCTGTGTAATCAATCATATGATGCGGTGCACACACACCATTTGAATGGTAATGCCCATCAGCTTTGAGCCCCCCTCAAATATTTTATGGGGGGGGGGAGAAGACCCGTTGGCCCCTAGGAGTTGGCTCCTATGGGAGAGGCAAAACTAGAATTAGACCGTCATTGGTTATGGCGCCACTTACTGTTGGCCTCCCTGCTTTCTGCCCTACCAGTCCCAATGGGCACCAGACACTGCTATCAACTGTATCACAGAGGTTTTCTTTGCCTAAAGGAAAGGCTGCAATGCCCACAGATATCTCTCTCCCCACCTCCCTTCTCCCCCAACCTTATACTGTCTGTCTACAACATTAATGTCTCACGTTGAATATAACTGACCTGTTGAAATAACTTTATTATCTGAAAACAGAGACAGTGTACTGTATGTACGTTTGTAACCCAAGAAAATCTTTAATTAAAACAGTTTTTAAAAAAGATACACTTATGCACCTATGCCGTCTAGATCAGAATGAGTGTCATAATTGGAAAGCTGTTTGTATTTCAAACCAAGAGTGAGTACAGGCAAGAAAGCTTGCCCCCATGTCAAGGTTTTCTATCCTGTGGTTCTTTGGTGGTCTTCATTATTGCAGTCATGGCATTATTTCCTTCTCCTTGCCACAGATTATAACATGTCGTGGCAAAAACAGGAGTCTTGTCAAATAGTAATGCTTCCTAACACTTCCCCAGTGATAAAATTGGTCATTGGTATTCAGCCAGAGTTTCTGCAGATTAGTTCCAAATGTCTCACGGAGGTGAGAAAAAGCTGCTATGGAACCCCAGACGCTACTGACTTCAGCAAAGATTCTTCCAAAACCCAAATAGATGGCCAATCAGATTCAGACCCAGGACATAGTACTAATACCACTGTGTTCATGTAACAAATGAGAAACCTCCAGTTGTTCTTTCTGTGTCCATTTCCCCCAAACCACAGCTACCTGTAAATCAGCTGGTGTCACTCTGATGGGTTTCATCAGCTGATGAGCAGGGGGTTCGATTTTGCAGGGAACTTGTACATGCATCCAAAGCAACACTGTTTAACTCCCAGTTTTTCAGTTGATGAGCATGGGGTTTTAATCCTGCTCAGGCCCCTACAGAGAGCAGGATTGAACTCTCTGCTCATCAGCTGATGATTTGAGAGTTCAATCTCCACTTGCCATACACCCACAGGTCAACTTTGACATGGGAGTGGGACACAACATCATTTCAATGTTAGATCTGGACTGCCATGCCAGAAAAGGCCTCCCAGCCCTGTTGCAGGCCATGGTTAGAAAGTGCTGATAGTATACTGTTCATGGGTTGGGAGAAGCAGCCAATGGTTTTCTATGCAAGTGCTTTACCCTTTGAAAACTCCACCCTAAGCAAAAGTATTGGTGACTATCCTACGTCTTTTATATTCCTAATGATAGTAGGTAATTGTTATCCACTGCAATGCCTTAACCCTAGGCAGAATCTAAAGAAATTGGAAATCACAGCCAACAGGTAATGGAACTGGAAGATATGGAACTGGGTTGTGAATGAAGGAATATATAATAAGCAAATAACTACAGAATATTGTTTTATAATATATGACTGCAGTAGAGAGACTCTTGTTTGAGCAAAGATGAAAGGATTTAATATTCTTCAACATGGAGGAATGGTTGTTGAAGTTATTGGAGATAAAGTTGTTATGTTGGACTGGAGGAAGATTATTGCAGACATTTATTGATAATGATAATTGGAGAACCTCTTTTGGACTTTTTGTGTGGAAGGGAAAATAAATGAATTTGGAGATGTTTGGGTCTGAAGTTTGGAGAAAATATTGCTTAGCAGGAGGAGGAAAAGTTGGAGTGAATACTTTGAAAAAATCTTTTTTTAAGTGTAACTGATAGATGGAGAATCAGAAGTCCCTTTTATTTCTCTCACTCTTTTTTCATCTCTTCTTTAATACTTTTATTATTTTTATCTTATTTCTTTGCTTATGTGTGTGTCTCCTTTACGCTGGGTCACTGTTGGGATTATACAAACATGAAGGTGATGATGGCTCCATCCCTTTCTGTGTGAGATGAAGGGTTTAAGATCTACCTTTGAGAGAGGACTTTGCATTTTCTTTTTTCCTTTCCTTTGTTATTGTTTTCCTTTGGATTGGTTTTTTTTTATTGTACTGTTTTATGGAAAAGCTTCAATAGAATCTTCTTATGAAAAAGAGATGCGCTATGCACAGAAGTTGTGTGCCTGGCTGAAGCATGAGCTTCCTCTCTCCCTTCCATCCACTTCCAGGCTATTGTACCTGACAAACTGACCTGGAAGTCAGGGAACGTGCTGGAGTAACCTCTCATATAATTGCGGAAAAACATTAGAAGGACTTTCATTGCAGTGTGTAGTTTTAATATAACAATCAGCGTCAAAAGTGCTTCTGAAAAACAGCTTCGGATCAAAGCACCAGAGGAAGACAGAAGCATCCTTGATGTTTTTGCTCAATGCTGTACAACAGCCACAAGGTGGAACTACAAGCCTGGGTTCCTTCCATGCATCAGATGTTCAGACCATAATTACAAGTAATGTTGAACAGCAGCATGGCAGATAAAGGTAAGAGATTAAAGGCAGAGAAGCCTAAGAGCAAGGTTCAAGCATAAAGCAAAAACCAAACAGAATTCCATTCTGAATGCAGGGAAAAAAGTTAGTGGAGCAATAAATATTTTGGCTTGGATTCAGGGGTTACGGCTGCAGTTCTACTCAGTTTTACTAGGGAGTAAGCCCTAGTAAACCTCAGATATGCAGATGACACAACCTTGATGGCAGAAAGTGAGGAGGAATTAAAGAACCTTTTAATGAGGGTGAAAGAGGAGAGCGCAAAATATGGTCTGAAGCTCAACATCAAATAAACTAAGATCATGGCCACTGGTCCCATCACCTCCTGGCAAAAAGAAGGGGAAGAAATGGAGGCAGTGAGAGACATTTTACTTTCTTGGGCTCCATGATCACTGCAGATGGTGACAGCAGCCACAAAATTAAAAGACGCCTGCTTCTTTGGAGAAAAGTGATTATAAACCTAGACAGCATCTTACAAAGCAGAGACATCACCTTGCCAACAAAGGTCCGTATAGTTGAAGCTATGGTTTTCCCAGTAGTGATGTATAGAAGTGAGAGCTGGACCATAAAGAAGGCTGATCGCCGAAGAATTGATGCTTTTGAATTATGGTGCTGGAGGAGACTCTTGAGAGTCCCATGGACTGCAAGATCAAACCTATCCATTCTTAAGGAAATCAGCCCTGAGAGCTCACTGGAAGGACAGATCCTGAAGCTGAGGCTCCAATACTTTGGCCACCTCATGAGAAGACTCCCTGGAAAAGACCCTGATGTTGGGAAAGATGGAGGGCACAAGGAGAAGGGGCCGACAGAGGACCAGATGGTTGGACAGTGTTCTCGAAGCTACCAGCATGAGTTTGACCAAACTGCAGGAGGCAGTGGAAGACAGGAGTGCCTGGCGTGCTCTGGTCCATGGGGTCACGAAGAGTCAGACACGACTAAACGACTAAACAACAACAACAAAGCGCTAGTGACCTCAGTGTAAGTTCCTAGCAAGCAAGTTTGCCTAGGATTGAGGGACAAGGTCAGGATCATGAACCCACTGATACTTCTAAGTAGAAGCACTTAAAATTGAAGCACTGTCACACTCCAGTCTTGTGCATACTTATTTAGATGTAAATACCTCTGTGTTCAATGGGACCTATTCCTTTGAAAGTGGGTATAACCCTCCAAGTTCAAACCCTCCAAGTGCCCCTATTTTCCAGGGAGAGTCCGAGATTTACAGAAGCCATCCCGGTTTCCGATTTGATCCTGGAATGTCCCATTTTTCCTTAGGACGTCCCTATTTTCATTGGAGAAATGTTGAAATGATGTGTACCTAGGAGCTCGCAAGCTACAATGGCCTGAGGGGCATTATTGTCTGGCTTTCTATGGCCGTAGTGGAGCAGGAGAGGGAAGGTAGCTCAACAGCTCTCTCCTAGAGCTATGCTGATCCATAGGAATAGCTACAGGAGGAAAACCTGCTTCTCTCCTGTGGCAGGAAATCGCCTTAGGAATCCTTTCTTCATGGCAAAAACATGCGGTGACAATGATTCAGCTTGTGATCAAAGGTAGTTTAACCCACCTGGCAAAATCCAAGGTGAAGATTCCCCCTTTGTAGTATCTGGTGCACCTGCTTCTACTCCCTTTCTAAAGGAAGAATGCTTACTGCACCCTTTGTAACAATACATTGCTGGAATGGCTGGGTGGCCACATGCTCTGCCATATGGTGATGTGAGCTTTGCTGTCCCCTAGTGCCAGGGAAAAGTGATTGAGAGGATGAGGGAGAATACCTCTTCTCCACTCTCCCTCTTGAGAAAGGTCTTTGCTTGCTCTCTCTTTCTCTTGCCTACAAGAGCTCTGCTGGTGTCCACCTGTCTGCAATTAAAGACAAGATGTCATCTGGGGCTGACAAGAAAGGGCCCTTCGCCATCTGCAAATAATATCAGCAAACTGCTTTCCCAGCCTCAGAGGAGGGGCCTACCCCCCATGCTAGCTGTATCTTCCACTTAGGGAGAAACTAAAAATGCAGTCCTAAACATGTCTACTTAAATAAATAAAAAATCTGATGAATTCAATGGGGCTTAATCCCACAGTGGTTAGGATTGTAGCCTAAAGTGACCACCTTTATATATATCAAGGCCAATCTTTTGGAAGGTGCCAGTTTCTTTTACATAACTACACACCCAACCACTCTGTGTCTAAGGACCCCTGACCATTAGGTCCAGTTGTGACCGACTCTGGGGTTGCGGCGCTCATCTCGCTTTATTGGCCAAGGGAGCCGGCGTACAGCTTCTGGGTCATGTGGCCAGCATGACTAAGCCGCTTCTGGTGAACCAGAGCAGCACACGGAAACGCCGTTTACCTTCCCACTGGAGCGGTACCTATTTATCTACCTACACTTTTGACGTGCTTTCGAACTGCTAGGTTGGCAGGAGCAGGGACCGAGCAACAGGAGCTCACCCCGTTGCGGGGATTCGAACCGCCGACCTTCTGATCAGCAAGTCCTAGGCTCTGTGGTTTAACCCACAGCGCCACCCGTGTCCCATCACTGTGTCTACATAGACCCAATTCTCACAAATATCAGAAGTGGTAAACCTCTGTCTGTACTATTATCACCTGAGGCTGCATGCTACTCCATGCAAGTAAACAACACGAATTCATTTTTAAAGGAAGATGCAAATAGAAACTTTATAGTCAGGAATATGGGCACAATCTAGCCTAATTTACAGCCTGAAATGGCCCACTGCACAAATTTACTTTGCTGTATAGTCTTTGGGACCACAGTTGTTGCCTATCAGTGGTCTCTCCATGTCAAATGCCCTCCCAAAAATGCACATGGCATTCCAAGCTTTAAGTGTGATGCAAATTTTATTGTGTTTTGTTAGCGTAGAGGTTCTGTAACAAAACAGAATTGTGACTCTGGAGAATTTCAGAGTTCACAATTTGGGGTGCATTTTTTCATTCCAGTACAACTTTTTTTTTTAAGAGTGGTGATTGCACTGACTGAACTGAATTGGGAAGTTACTTAGACACCAAACACACCACACCACTGGATTTTCAAGCAGTTTACCATCACTCGTGATATAATGAGGAATCAGGCCTAAACCAGCCTATTATAGGGCTTGTGCGGGTCGCTCTTCAAAACCTTCCTTCTACATCGAGCATGTATCTGGGTCCTGTGGCAAAGCAGAATTGCATGGGAACCTTCTGGGTCAGAAAAAAGCGGCACAGTCTTTATGCAGTGTTGTACATAATTTAATTTGCAGTTTTGTATATAAACTTTTACTGTATTGCACACTATTGTAGCAAACTATTTGCAAAGAAATCAATAAAATACTTACAGGATTTAAAAATAAGGGTTTTAATGCAGCTGACAAGAAAATAAAAGAAGCAATTTACTTAATGAGATACAATCCTTTATGTTGAAAATGAGAGTTACATACAACTAGAGTACAGTTAAAAGATACCATACAGTCCAACACTTAAATTCCTCAAATTGTGTAAAATTAACAAATCTCTACTGTCAAATATACAGCATTTGAGTGATGGAAAGGATTTTTGAAATTAAATACAGGCATCATGATCTTGTGGCTCTCATTTTGTGTTTTTTAAAATGACAGGGCCATGTAACATATTGCCAAGTTTGTACTCTTTGTAAAGGACCTCCTCCTTATCTTTTGTCCTAACCCCTTTTATTTCCAGTCTATTATTCTGCTTTAGGATTTATTTTTACTGTTTGTTTCTGACACATGTTAAATAGTTAAATAAGCTTAAATCAAAGAAATTAAGAGGGTACTTCAAAAATATGTCCACCTAGAGTTGATTTTTTGGACATGCTGGAATCGGTCCCTTGCATTCCTTAAGAGACAGCCAGAGTGAAGTCTCGCTACCTATGTTAGAGAAGACACGTGTCTCGTGTGTTATCCGATTATGCTACTGGCTAAAATTCACAACAGAATTGAAAAGGTGATCTCCAGCATTTATTAAAATTTTCAAAGTCCATAAACAACAAAGTCACTGTAGAATTTATCGCATACAGCTAGCATACAACAGCATGTCCTCAGCCTAGATGAAATACAAAAGATTGTTTTTTCATACAAATAATTTCTTTTAATTTATTAATGTGACAATATAGTTATTACATAAAATTTGCTACCGCAAAGTATCGTATCCTTGTCTTGCACATACGTAGATGGGGGGTTGGGTGGGGGGTGGACAAAGATGGCAAACAGACTCCTAACGATGAATATGTGCAAAACTGCTTGACAACTTAAAGAGACGTACATAACGTTGCATGGTACATTTTATTTCGCAAAAATGTCTATGGAGACTTTTATTTTCTTAAAGGAGTGTCATAAAGATTAAAAGGAAGCAATGCCAATGGTCTCATCTGCCCTGGCATTCTACAGAACACCGTGACTACGTAAGCAATCTAGATCAGTTTAATAAAAACACTTCATCCTCGTATGCATGTAAATTGATCATAAAACATGAGCCTAAGTTTATTTTAAACATAACTGATGTGCCATCATCTTCGGACAGGCCACCGAGACATTGAGCGCCTGACTTAAAAAGTTGTATATGGACAAATTTAAAAGCACAAAGAAGGTTGTGCTGAGCCACTGATTATTAACAAACACTGAAACAAGTGCGTGTAAAAGTGCTGGGAGCTAGCACATGGCGGCAATACCCTTTTTTAAGTCAGTTGGTGAGATTATAAAAACTTAACGCAACTCAAACAATTCTCCGTGTGACCGTACATTCCATTTCACTGAAAGAAAAAAAGGATGTTAGAAATGAAGACACCACATCACAGATGGTGGCACTTTGAAAACTTTTTTGCCTCTTTTCCATGCGAATGAAGAGCCGCTGGTAGGAACCATGATTGGAGCAGCACTCCACCCGTGATTTACTAATATAGTATACCAGAATAAAAACTTGGCATTTACTTCTTTTATTCTTCACAGCTAACAGAAATACCAGGTTTATCTAGCAACGCATCAATATTGTAACACTAATTTTTCAATTCGCTAAACCATTCATTCTCATAACCTAAAGAGGTTTTTTTTCTTTTTCTTTAAAAAAAAAAATGCTTTCCCCCCCTTTGATAAAAAAGGGTTGAAATGTGAAATACTTCAGGAGCCCCAACCTTGACATTACTTAAAAAAAAAAAAAAAATCAGTCTTAAGTCTCTGACAATACTGACCAAATCTTTTAAATATTTGGGGTTTTAAGGTGTTAAAACAAAACCCCATTTAAATAGCTACTTAAGCATGGTTAAATATGGTCCAAAGCCCAGGCTGGATGGAATTGTTCCTGCTTATTGAGACTGTGCTTCTCATGGCACAGTATGCTTATGGCATATTTACCTACTGCCTAGGAAAGGCGGGGGAAAATGAGGCAGGGAGAAGGACTGCCAGCATGTAGAAAACCAAGGCACGGGGTCTAGCTACTGAACCCTACGCAAACTGTCCAATTTTGATACTAAATTTGGTCAGTCTCCAGGAAGATGTGTTTTAAGTCAATTAGCATACACTTGTATGGCGATAAATACTATCTTCAAAAATGCTAGTGGTGTTGGCTAGATTTAGTCTGAGCTACTTGGGGGGGGGGGGGGAGATACAAACCTATGAACTGTAGCCTCAGACACAAAGACAGATACGGAAGGATTGGCTGGCACAGACTAGAAGCAACACTTATCTTTCACTTCGGTCTAAGTCACACTAGCCAGAAACACCTTCAGTTTCATTCGCACAAATGCATTATTCAAAATAAAACGGAGCGTTGTTGGGTAAAAGGCTACTTCATTTTAAAAGGAGAGGGAAAGAGGGAGAAAGAGGAAGAGGAAGAGGAAATGAACAATACACAGAAACCAAAGGAAAACGACAGAAACCAAAAAGGTAATTAGGAAAAAGTGGTCTATATTCTGTGTTACAGCACAAACAGTGCTTTGCTTAATTGTGCCTAGTTATATGGGTTGGTGCAAACTGCACACATGGAAGATGGCAATAAAGACCTCAGTCAACTTTGTGGAATGAAGTAACTAGGTAATTGTTTTGACATATGATGGTCTCCGCTCCACCCTCATGAGTTAACAGAGTGCAAAGATCCCAATGTAAGCCCTGATGTCCTCTGATCATCCAGCAAGTACTAAAAATCAGCAAATTCCTTTGCACATTTCTCTGTTAGAGACACACGGATATCTTCTTCTTCATAGTCATCAAAGTTGCTGGTATCTCCAGGGCCTCTACATTTTGGTATGAATGGAGCTTCTACCTGCATGGGGAAATAAAAGCACAGATTATTGCATTTGCCAATCTGAAAGAATTAACCAGTAAAAATAAGACAACAAAAGACAGAGAATAACAGTGATAATGCTGATATTAATAACAACAATAATAATTCACTTATATATTCCAAGCATGAATCTAAAAAGGTTAAATATTCTATTATGGAATGGATGCATTCAGGAGAGATATGATATTGTTAAGAGGCTGACCACGTAAGTGTTGCTGCACATAGACCCTGTTCACATGTAATGCTAATGATGGTCTAGTGTTGTAAGGACAAGCGTAAGTGAGCCTTTGGCTCATGTATGCCTCCCCTCATGTATGCCGGCACAAGGAGTTCAGAAGCTTTTTCTTTCCTTTTAGATTAATTCCAGCTTGTCATGACATCCAAACCTGCACAAACTGAAGTTAATCTTAACTATGGTTTGTTGAAACCACAGTTTAGGCTTTCGACCTAATCTGTGGTGTGGTAACCTATCTCCTCTGGAAGAGAAAGGGAGAAAGGGCAACCTCATAATGCTAATTTGTGCTTTAGTATTAAGTCTGAACGCAGCCACACTGTGGTTCAAACGCTTCCTGTATCCTAAAAATCAGAAAGGTGGGGAAACCCAATAGCCTCTGCTTTGTGGGCTGCTGTAAAAAGGGCTTGGTGGGCCCTATCAGTCCTCCCCAAATACTGTACCAACATACATAAAATCCAACTGATCTTGAAGAAAATAAGCTATTATTCATTATCATCACTCCAAGAAATTTTAAATAAGAGCATAGAGCAGAATAGTGAAGAATTAGAACACCTCCAATAAAAACTGAAATATTTATTTAGAAGTGAAGAATTACAAAAAGGCAGAAAATCTCACTTCACACAAACTGCATGCTAAATGGTATATTTTAGAGTGCAGATGAGAAGATTACCATTCTGCGGCGAACATTTGCTGAAGAGGTCTTGCTTCAAAATAAAAGACTATGCTGAGGTGTTAATCACGTCCTGTCTTGTGATAATTAATACTTTACTGATTATTAACTACTACTGTACTGTCACATTGCGTAGCTAAACAGCTAGTTTCTTTTTATAAAGTATTGCTGGGTTTCAGATCTGGCTTTTTAAAATGTTTTTGTAAGGGAATATGCCTCCATTACTCCAAAACAGACTTTTTTAAATAAAGAGAACACATCATAGTACCACAAAGGACTGACTGAGTCCCAAGCAGAAACGTATTAAAATATAAATGTTCAAATTTTTGAGGCAATTACACTTAAGTGTCATGGTAAAAGTTGAAGAAGTTAGGGATCATAATTTTTAGGCATCATTAATCACAGAAAATACAGATGGGTGTCTTACAAGGGCTTCAGTGGGAGTTAGCAACAGTTTAGGAACATGCCTATACACATTTCTTGCTTGGTTGCTCTTCTTTGTGCACGGAAAATTACACTGTGGTCACTTACTTGGAACTGTATCTCAGCAATGGTGATGATAATAATTATAATAGTTAAAGGTAAGGTAAAGGACCCCTGGATGGTTAAGTCCAGTCAAATTGGACTGGCCACGTTGTTCAGATGTCTGATTATCGTTTTCCAAAGCAGATACTCTATTCTCAACTTAAGAATGGAAAGCACAATACTGGTGGACAACAAAAGAGGTTAAAAGATGCTCCCAAAGCAAATCTAAAAACAAATGTATTATAAGCACCGACAATTGGGAAACCCTGGCTTGTGAGTGCTCCAATTGGAGAATAGCCTCTGGCATCATGGATTTTGAAGAAGTGCCGATTCATAACAAAAGGGAGAAATGAGTAAAGAGGAAGGCATGTCTGGCAAATCCTCATTGTGATCAACTCCTGCTTAGAAAACTATGTACCCACTGTGGAAGGATGTGCGGATCCAGAACTGGCCTGCACAGTCATTTATGGACACACCACTAAGACATGGAGAACAATCTTACTCGGCCGCGAATGATCACCAAGAGAGAGAGAGAATAGTTATATACATCTGTGCTGAAAATCAAGTTTGTCTACCAAGAATAGGCAGCTAGAGAGTTCAAATGTTTAGACAGGAAGAGAAGAAAAGGCAAAGGAGACACTCTGAAGACAAAAAAGGGGAACAATTCAGAAACCAGCACACAGAACAGTAAGGTTTCAAAAAAACGTTTTTCTTTGAGGAATACTTTCCATTACCCAGGACTGTACATCCAAAAAGTCTTTCATTTAAAAAATATAAAGCCACCCCATGCGCTAGCCTCAAACAGTGGATCAGGAACTTTTTGTCTGCGTGCACTAATACAGAATTTATCCTAAGAGAAAGAATGATTACCTTTCTTTGATAAATGGCAATCCAATCTGTAGTGGCAAACCATTTGTGGTTTTTAATATCATTCACCCCATTCTTGAGATTTCCGTATCGTTTGGTCAAATCTACCTGGAGTAAATTTCTTAGTAGATCCTTAAGGTCTGAACTGAAGTGTGATGGGAATCGTACCTACAAAACACACCAGATATATATTTAATATTGCTATATAGACACCTCTTTTCCCTTCTTCTTCTGGAAAGAAAAGGAGAAACAAGATTATGAATTATGTTTTGGTAGTATAAAGAAGACCAAACCTAAATACAAAATTGCATTGGAGCTATACATTAATATATATGCCTGGCTGTTGCTTGAAGCACCAGATCATGCCTCATTCTCCTCTCTTCTGCAGTCGCAATTAGCATACAGAACAACTAGTGTAATGTTAATTGTAGGGATGAGGAATTTGGCAGCCAATGAGCAGAGGCGGGGGGGGGTGGGAAAAGTTTAAACATGATCCTATCATATGATTTACAGGATGAGAGAGATGTGGGATTGCTGTCTTCAACAGCAGTCAGCCATGTGCTGCAGCAGCCAGCTCCTGTATCATGTATAAGCCACTATTATTATTATTATTATTTATTATTAAGTATTAGAAAATAATTGAACACCACAAATCCTCTGTTTTTACTCAAAATAAAGAATCATGAGAAACCACAGACAATACTTGTTGCCACTCCTCTTCCCCTTCTATGGCTGTGAAAAGTTACAAGAACTGGCTGCAGTGGTGGACTTGGGTACCATGGTGCCCTGTGCAAGGCCAATGCCGCCCTGCCCTCACACTGCCTTCCCAAAGGCAGGTAAGGAGGCACTCACCTTTGGGAAGAAGGCGCGAGGGCTCTGGCAGGGTCCTAGAGCTGCCCTACCTCCTTCCCAAAGCTGGAAACACACTCCCTAGGCTTTGGAAAGGAGGTGGGAAGGCTCTAGGACCTTGTCAGTGCCCTTAATGCCTCCTTCCCAAAGCCCAGAGCCTTGCTTACTGTGTTCTGAGATTGTGCCTCCTTCACTCGGTGCTCAGTGCATGCACACCGCTTGCACAACGACAAATCCGCTCCTGCTGGCTGCGCTCTCTCTCTCTCTCCTGCTTTAACTTTAGTTAAAACTCATTTCCTTTTCTCATTCCCTTGTTTCTGAAGCTCATTCTGCTATTTTGCCTTACGTTGACTAGTCAGGGGGGCTTGGCAAGGAGCACTTGAAAGTGTTTAAGACCACATTTCTGTTTTTGATTTCATTTTTGGTGGGTTCACAAGGAATCTAGATGCCAGTGGTTGTGGAGAGGGGAATTCAATTGTGGGGTTGAATAACGGGGCATCCCAGCTGTAGATTACAAACCAGTAGTGCTGTTAACTAACCACAAATGCACCTGGTGCAAGCCATATATAAACGATCTAACTTTTCATTATCCAAAACTCTTTTTTCTTCTAATTAAAAGAACAAAATATTCCAACCACTAAATAATAATAATAATAATAATAATAATAATACTGAATTTGATCCAGGGCACATCAGAGCACAGCAGTACATATTTGCAGTGCGTGACTCCATCCTGAAGTAATAATTTCTGCTCATGTGCAGAGTACATAACACCAGAGCGACTATGATCAGCCTCTTATGTCTGAGATTAGGGATGAGATCTTCCAGGTTTAGGGAAGGATGGGGAGTCATATCCAGATAGGCAAAGAGCCCAAACTTTTCATTTTAGAAATTCACTCACATACAAAAAAAGAAAGACTGCAATAAGAGCAAAAAACATTTTCTTCTTTTCTGCATTCAAAGTATTCTAAACTTAGAACTTTGGTGGATCCAGAGATTTTTTTCTGGAAATACTCTGGAATTGCCTGCGGTTTAGACCAACATGCCCTGTTCCACCCAGCAGCTGCTGCAGATTTTAATAAGTGAGTGCAGTTAATAGTTTGTTGCAAGACATCCACCACTTTGCTTCCCAATTCAATTCACATGCACACAAAAATGCAAAATGATTAAGGAAAAAATAAAGATAGGTTATTCACACAGTGTCCAGTGTTTCTTCCTTGACTGCTCTCCTCTCCTCCCTATCTCTTTGTTACAAAACAAATATTGAAGTAACCAAAACAATGCAAAAGCTTCTCGAAGCAGGAAAAACGCCTTGTAAACAGAAACATGAGCAATCCTGTTCATGAAAATTAAAATAAGAACACACAAATAACAGAAAAGCTAATGGACATAACACGGATCATTTGCAAGATTCCAGCAGCCCTTGCTTACCTTTCCAGAAACAATTTTTTCATAAATCTGGATTGGTTGATCTGCAAAGAACGGAGGATATCCAGCTGCCATTTCATAAATTAAAACTCCTAAGGCCCACCAATCCACTGCTTTGTTGTAGCCCTGGCAAAACAAAAATGTAGTAGTTAGTGATATCCAACCAAATATAATATACTAATATAAACGCACTTAAGTTTTAGGTGGTATTCTAAAACTTTTACCAGCTTCAGCTCATCCAACAGCTGCAGTGATTCCTGGACCAGGACAGCTTGATCACAGTAATCCAGGCACTAATATCTTCAGGGTTGGATTACTGCAATGTATGATGTGGGGCTTTTAGGGACGCGGGTGGCGCTGTGGGTTAAACCACAGAGCCTAGGGCTTGCCGATCAGAAGGTCGGCGGTTCAAATCCCCGTGACGGGGTGAGCTCCCATTGCTCGGTCCCTGCTCCTGCCAACCTAGCAGTTCAAAAGCACGTCAAAGTGCACGTACTGTACATAAATAGGTACTGCTCTGGCAGGAAGGTAAACGGCGTTTCCGTTTGTTGCTCTGGTTCACTAGAAGCGGCTTAGTCATGCTGCCCACATGACCCGGAAGCTGTACGCCGGCTCCCTCGGCCAATAACGTGAGATGAGCGCCGCAACCCCAGAGTCTGCCACCACTGGACCTAATGGTCAGGGGTCCCTTTACCTTTATGATGTGGGGCTTACCTTGCTTTGGGGTCTAAAAACTAGTTTGTGCAGAATGCTGCGGCACAATTGCTCACAGAGATAAGGCCCTGCCAATATATTAAACCTGTGCAGAGAGACCTGCACAGGCTGCCAATTTGTTAATAGGGTCAAATTCAATGTGTTAATCTTAGTAAATAATAGCCTTTAACAGCCTCCTCAACTTACTAAGATAGATTCCACAAGAATCAATATCTCTGACAAATCCTATCGCCATACTGACTTGGAAGTTAAGCTCCATTCAAATTCAGTTAAAACTTCTTCCAAATGTGCCTGTTTAAGACTGTCGTCTTCCTCTTTTAACTAGTTAACACCGTGAAGCATTATGAAATACCTTGCTGAGAATTATTTCTGGCGCCAAGTATTCTGGAGTCCCACATAACGTCCAGGTTCTGCCTTTTACTCTTTTTGCAAACCCAAAATCTGTGACCTAGTAGCACAGAAAAAAAGAGTTATCACATTATCCAAGCTTTAGTTTTTTCTTAGTAATAACCTGAACGTTACATATAGCTTTCAAAAGCATTCAACCACAGAAGTGGTTCCATGTCCTATGGTTGATTCAAAATGCAGATACTTTCAAATCAAGGCATGACATATGTTTTGCTTTTGATTCAAAGCTATACAAAATGCCAAAAGAAGAATTACCAGGAAGCACAAGCTTTAGACATGCTATATGTAACATTAGGCAATATTCATTAAAAGTTTTTCTCAATTAACATTAAGCATTTCGTTAGTATCACTTGCAGATATGATACATCTTGGATCAAGTTTCAGAATTTCCTTTAGTTGATAACCTGCAAAACCAACCAATCAAGGTATTTAATTTATCACCACCCGTTTCCTTACAATGCAAACATTTAAGCGTTCTGTACTTCTTGCTATGGAATGAAGCTGAGCTTGAAAACGTTGGTCTTCATCATACCTGGATATATCCTTGCTGGTCAATTAAAAGATTTTCGGGTTTCAGATCTCTGTAGATGAGGTCTAGTGAATGGAGGTACTCAAATGTTAGCACTATCTGAGCTGCATAAAATCGTGCATGTGGTTCACTGTAAACAAATGAAAATAATCAGGCTATTAAACCACGGTCAACATTTGCAGACATAGCATACTCATATTTGATAACAGAAATGTTTGAACTCTAAGGAAATAAAGAAAACTACAAACAGGTTGTATCCAACACTGCTGTTCCACTTAAGCAAGAGACTCCCACTTGCCCAATGGAACTCTGCTCTCATCTCCAGCCCCCTGCGCGCCTTTAAAAGTTGCTCCACAGGGTTGGGGGACCCTTTGGAGCAAATTTTGGGTGTACAAAGGGAAAGGAGAAGAAAAGGATGTCTTGTTGTACAAGCAGATTATTTTTTAAAAGATAATTTAATTTTAAATAATGAAATGTCTATTTTTATCTAATAAAGGGACTGCACAACCTAATATTATTGCTATGTCCTTCTCTATCATTCTCTACTACCTATTTGAAGAAGAAACTGTTTTTCAAAGGCACTTCTGAAAGCCTTAATGTTCATAATGGATAAGAATAAAGTAAGGATCCCCTTGCAAATATTTCCTAAACATCTGAAAGCTAAGAGCTATCACCTCTTTCTCATTCCCTTCCTCACATCATTTTTCATAAATTATAATTCATTTATTATCTTACCTGAATCTTCCAATTCTTCTTAGATGTGAGAACATTTCACCCCCAGGAACATATTCCATAACCATGTATAAATTAGAATTGTCCTAGGGGAAAGTGAAGTATGTTCAGTTGTAAACCTGGGGTACTTAGGACAACCCAAGTAAATTGCATTTTTTTTCTAACAAGCAAACATAAAATAATACTAATAATACATTTTAAGTACTTTTATTATTGAAGACTGAACATAAAGTAAGACAGGAAACATTCAAGTAGTCCATGAATTCAAACTGACCATACTTTTTCAATTTTTCTCAGTGTTTAAGAGGCTCCCTAAAGGTCAGTACAGCAAGTTGCTTGGGGGGGGGGGGCTTGGCAACTTAAACAAACCCAGGGCGATGAGGCGATTTGAAAATTTTGCTTTGGGCTTTTTGCTTTGTTGGGATCACTCCTTCAAGTCCTTAAAGCTTATCATGGAGCTGCATGCTTATCTCCTTTTGATCAGACTGTGATCAGGATGACGGCCAAGCATTTAGCTTCATTTTTATTTTATTTTTTACAGTTGGAGAGTCTAAAATCACCTTTGTTTTGACCTGTGGGTCAGGAATCACTAGACTCTAAAAAGACAGAAAGCTGTACAAGAAAAATGTAATAACAGTTACCTTCTCGCTTGGTATTTACCTTAAAAGAATACTCCAGTCTTACAAGGAAAGGGAAGTTCACTGCTTGTAATATTCTCTTTTCATTAAGTGTGTGTTCTATTTGCTTCAGCTTAACCACCTAGGAACAAAACATTTTTTATTAAACGCTTGAGTCTAAACATTAAGAGAATTCAAACAAGTCAAGGTCTTCTTAGTGGAAAGAGGAAAAAATAATAACTTAAGAACAGCGCTTCTAAAAGATGGTGGCGAGTGCTACATATAGCTCTCAAAGCACGGATTGCTACACCCACTTTAATACAGCAAATTTAGGTAGCAAGGCAGTTATCCTCTTTTACCTTTTAGAAGATGCTACATCTGAAGAAGAATGGCATGGCACACTATACCTTTTTCAACTCTGGCCTTTCTACTGACACTGTCAAAGGAGTATTAAGAGGAATTCTAACAAATATGGTCTGTGTGCACATGCAGTTCAAATACTACAAGAGTCTAGAAGCTCAGTTCACTTGGCACACAAAGTGGGGTTTTCAGGGCATAAAGCTTATCTACACACAGATATCTGGGGGTCCATTTTTTTTTTACTTTCATATAGCCTGTTAAAAATGTTTGCTGCTTAGAAGCGTTCTCATATACTCTGTAGCTTCCTTCCTGACTAGGCATGATTTCCTTCTGTGAAAACTGCTTAATCACTGCAAAACAAAAAAAGTAGCTCTCCTACTTTTGTCTGTTTGCATAGTAAGCTAGTTTTTTTAAAAAAATAATAATAATGCTTGTGCTCAACAGAGCCTGTCAGAAGTCTGCTAATACCCAATATTCCACCTGTTCTTAACAGCCACAGACCACTATAATTTCCTTACTTCCCTATTCTGAATGCATTTTGAGAGCTACAAAAGGAGAGAGTGAAAGCAGCAAACTGGCAACTGGCGAGATGTCAGGAAGTTCAAACATTTCCCCAGGAACCAGGAAAAGGAGACTCACTCTCTTACACGTTACTACGGGTAGCAGAATAACTAACTGACGAAGAATAAAGGTAAAGGTACCCCTGCCCGTATGGGCCAGTCGTGACCGACTCTAGGGTTGCGCGCTCATCTCGCTCAAGAGGCCGGGGGCCAGCGCTGTCCGAAGACACTTCCGGGTTACGTGGCCAGCGTGACGAAGCTGCTCTGGCGAGCCTGCACCAGCGCCGCACACGGAAACGCCGTTTACCTTCCCGCTATAAAGCGGTACCTATTTATCTACTTGCACTTAGGGGTGCTTTCGAACTGCTAGGTGGGCAGGAGCTGGGACCGAACGACGGGAGCTCACCCCGCCGCGGGGATTCGAACCACCGACCTTACGATCAGCAAGTCCTAGGCACTGAGGTTTTACCCACAGCGCCACCCGCATCCCATATGAAGAATACAATTGCTTAAAAACTTCAGAAGCCACAGCACCCTTTAGATGTTTTCCAGCTGAGCAAGCAGTTCCCATGCAGCTGCTTGAAATGGCTATGTGGCTAGCGCCTGATCAGTGTCTTTCCAAAGGAATGCCTTTTTTCCTTGCAGATGTACAAGATCTCCCCATGGATAAGCAGCTGCCACAGGCTCGGAGAACATCCAAGCCAAGCCCTAACACAAACAGTCTAATGAAAGCTTTTATATAATCAGATGTCACCTCTCTGCATGTTACTGAATAATGTCCAACGTCTATAAATTTTGGGAACCATTTTCTTGCACATGCATGGCTACAAATGATGGTCCTGGAGCAAAGTCTTACGTGTGCATAAGATAACTGATAGAAATTCAAACTTGTGGCAAACTGGCGCATAGTAATTTTCATGACAGATCTGTAAACTGCAGCAAAGGACGGGAAGCAAGGACGTAGTGAGAAGTGTCACAACTGTGTGGAGAAAGGGCTCACAGGCCGCCTCATTCCCCCCCTTACTTAGCCTTCCTTCTCCAGCTGTTCAAAATCAATGTCAATATGCAAGGAGTAGGTGTGGGATAACAGCCTCTTGTCACCATTCGGAATGCCATCTGCAAGCTAGAGGGCAATCTTCCATAGGAAACCAGGATTCTAAAATGCCCAGGCAGCTTCCACAAGTGCAGCAGTTTCCCTGCTTCACAAGGAGCATTTTGCAGCTCCTTGGGGGCGAAAGGAAAAGTGACGGGTGGTGGCGATGGAGCTTAGTGCAGACCGTAAACACTGTGTGTTACTCGGCACTAATATTAACCACCGGCAAGGGGCTCAAGAGGACTGTGCCTGAAAAAGCAAGGACATGACTTGCTTGCACATAAGATCGCTTTCCAATTAAAGATTAACTTGATCCATGGCAAGCAGGCAGCAATGGAAAAGAGGAGGGGCCATGGGGGAAAGGAGGAGAGGCAAGCATAGCACAGGAGATACCAGCAAGGCTCTACTGTTATCAGGCGCCTTAGCAGAAGAACATGGGACACACACAGTTGTGCATTCACTCTACACATGCCACTGTTAGAAGTGGAGAGGTTTGGGCAATGATCTGAAATCACTGTAAGCCAAAGGTTTTCATGCTTTTTGAGTCCACGGCTCCCTTGACCAACTACATTCTTTCTGCGGCACCCCGAGGGGTTCTTGCCTGCAGAACCAGCAGCCTGTCACCCTTTTTCAAACACCCTCCCTTGTGGATTGTTCCCACAGCCTCCTCTCCCGTCTCCTTGGGAGTCCTCTGGGCAGCTGCAGCTTCCGTCCCTAGTCTCTGAGCTGCCCCACCCCCACATCCTCAAAGAGAGGTACCTCCTTACATTGCCCCATGGGGGCCTGGGAAGCACCCCCTAGCCAGCTCCTGAGGCACCATTCACCTGGGGAGCTTGTAGCCAGGGCTGCTGCAACAAACAGCTGTGCAAACCTTTGGGAGGCAGACACCCAAAAGGACATCAGAGGAGGGAGGGAAGGAAAGAGGGACAGGAGCCATTGTTGACTACGGCTCCCTTGACCATCATTCAAGGCACCCCAGGGTGCCATGGCATCCTGGTTGAAAACCACTACTGTAAGCCCAAATGGACACCCAAAATGTCTGAAAGGACCTGGATCTCCCCAAAGTCTGGGCAAGCTGCCTGCAACATGGATTACAAAAGTATAGCTCTGATGAATAATTATTCCACTGCATATGGAAATGTGAATGTTAGCTGAGGTTTTTAATTTTGAGAACCCAGTTCTTAACTTTGGGCAAAATGAAACTCAAAACAGATGGGTCTATTTTTGAATCATAAAAGTACAATAAAAATAACAATCTGGTACGGAAAACATGTACATTGCTTGAGATTTCATGCTGGTATTCATAATTTGTGTATTAATGTCTGTCTATATTATTGAAACTAGCCTGTGGGGTGTTGATTTGCCACATGCCAACTCCCTTCCAAATTTGCAGCTGCTAGACTATATTAAAACACCAAACTAAAAATACTCCCTTCTTATCTAGTACTGCTCCCTGATACAAGATAACTGGAGAAATGCAAGATGCTTGTGAATAGAACGTAAGCTATCAATGTGGTCAAATGAGTTAGCAATGGCTAGCTTAAAAAGTGGATCACGCTGTATCAGCCAGCTATTTTCCAATGCTCATTGAAGAGAATTGCTTACTTCTTTTAAAAGATTTTAGGTAGGTCCATGCAAATATTACGCAGCAAAAAGCAAGAATATATATATATATATATATATATATATATATATATATCTATATATATATATCCCCTTCATATTTAGTAAGTAGGAAGACGACTTCACTGCCCAATATTACAGACAGAAAGGTAGAAAATATATACATTTGCATAATCTTTATTCCTGGGAGAAAATGAAGGATCAAGCTATTTACTGTGAGAGTACTAAAGATAGTAGAATATATCCAGTTGAAATTCAGTAATCTGCATGAGCAAAAGAATCATATGCATAACAGGATATGCATGCTAAGATTAAGGACACTAAAATACTGCATTCTATTTTTGTATCACGTTTAGTATCCACTTTGAGCGCAAAAATCTTAACTTAGAAATAGTGTTCTTTAAAATTAATTGCCAATAAAAAACTTTACAGGCAATTTGCAATCATAATATCCATTAAGTATTTCAAAACAAAACAAAAAGGTAAAGTGCCCAAATTGGCTTCCACTGTCAGTAAATGACTATTACTTCTGTAAGGCAAACTTCAGGAAAACTCTTGAGCAGCAATCTACCTCTTTTTTCACCAGGGTCATAACTAGCACACAACAGTATTAATACATGTTGCAAGTACTCCACCCTAATGAAACAGAACACAAATATTAGTGTTCAACAAACACAGTAGATTATTATAATAAAAAATATACCAACTTTTTGTTTATCCAGTATCTTCATGGCATAATACTGCTCTGTGGATTTGTGTTTCACCAGCATGACTCTGCCAAATGATCCGGTTCCAAGTGTTTTTAGCCTCTCAAAGTCATCTAAACCAGCAGTATTCTGGAATAAATTTATAGTATACATTGAAAGAAATTATAGAAACTTAAAAACCACAACAGGTTTGATATAAATCTTACGATGCGCAAACCATTAACAATGAAGCTGCAGAAAAGAGAAAGAAGTTTTATTAAGAAGCCCGAAATCGGGAGGGAAGGAGGTCAAGATTTAGAGGAAAGATTTAAAGACGGAGACCAAGAATTGTAATGAAAATTTATTTTACTTTTATGTTGTGTATGGATGTTTTTTGATATTGTTGATTTGTTTTCTTTTGGTTATTTAAACGAAAATCAATAAAAAGAATTAAAAAAATAATAAACCAGCAGTATTCTACATGAACACAAAACAAGATACTGAGATATTCCAAGTATAAAAAGATAAACGTTTTTGTAACTTCAATTATAAATATAACAGCAGCCATAAAAGGTCATATGATCTTTCTGTTCTCCATCTCTCTCCTATAGCTCCTTTCTCCCTTCTTGAGAAATATTATCCAAAAAGTCAGGAAGCCCTGTAGCCCCCCCAGTGGAAGGAGGCTACAGGAGGAGACAAGAAAGATCATTGTGCAAACCACCCTCTGGACACAAAGTGTGTTAATTCATCAAGAAGGATGTCAACCATATTCTGTAGTAATCATAAATGGAAAATGTGAAATAGCTACTGGCTGGATTTCATGTAATTCACCATATTTTTTGTTAACAGTATTAGTACTAGAGGAGAAAAAATACAATGTATTTTGTAAAGTGGAAAATACCCTTTACAAAATAGGAATATTAATTCTTACTAGGCAGCAGCAGAGGCTGGTTGCACACAATTAAGTATTTAACTATTTTTAAAAAATGCACCAACTTGGCCTTTTTCTCGGTCACAACCATGTTTCTGAGGGCAAGAAAATATGGTGAATTACATGAACAGGAGTTAGGGACAAGTACACACTACAGTTCCAGTATGACTGGGGAGGAATGGAGTGTACAGAGATGAGCTGGCTTCCCTCCACCTCAGTTCTGACCTGATATGTTTTCTTCTCGCACAGAATTAAATACCTCCCATTGACTTAAGACATTTAAGGGGCTAGAATCTGGAGCCTGTTATAGTTGAAAGACATCTTGACACTTCCCCAATCACGGTTAACAGAGTTTTAATATATTAAACTTTTCTCAAAGAGCTGATGGATCTAGGAGACACAAAAACTCTCATGCAGCCTATAACAAGTGGTAGACAAGAGTCATGTTGGATTGAAGTCCAAGCAATACAGTTGAACAGAAGTTAAGAGCTATGGTGATAGAGGGTTTATTAGTATTAGGCCCAATTTCTGAACAGGCCTCCTGTTCCATCTATGACAATGCAACAAACAGAGCTCCACAAGAAAGCTCAAATATCATCACTAGGTTACCTGTGGCCATGTTCTGACGTCATAAGCCATGTTTTGTTGTTGTTAGGAAATAACCAACCAGTGTTTAACATAAATTGTGATGAATCAAAAAGCCCAGCTTATTGTCACATGAAAACATAGCTAGTAAGGTCTCTGTGAGGAAACTAAGTAACCAGTGAAGACCATTTATTTGGTTAAACAGTCACTCTCCACATTCGCTACTGAACAACTGTTTGCCACTTTTAAGTACACACAAAAACAGGTGCATGGGATGAAGAAATCATTAAAAGTTTCCTGCACAGAACCTAATCATTTTCCCCCAGGAATTATCACAACTGTATCACATATAAGAGTGCCTTCCTATATTCCCAAACATGAAAGACTAAATTGCAAGAAAATGATAGCTAAATTGGGTTTTGTTACCTGAGGGGGGCTTTCCCATTTTCTTAAAAAGTCTTCTTTGGCTTTGGCTAGGAACTCTTTCACTGTAAGCAAAAACGAAAATGTGATGTTTAGAACAATTCACTAAAGTATCGAAAGCTCTCTGAAATTATTTTACGAAGTGCCAATGAAAACTCATAACTCTTCAACTCACACGCTAAATAAGAAGCAAGATTTCTACAGGAGATCTAACAGCTCTCTAAAGCTTATGAATTACAATTTCAGCACAAGTTTGCTTAAACTAGTTTAAAATCTAACAGGCCACACCACTGGGCACGCGAGCAGGCTTTAAGGTGATGCAGATCCCTCTTAGATGAACTGGCGGCAGATTGTAAAGTTAACAAAAGTGCCCTGTTGGTATTTGGAGAGCAAACAGTTCTCCTTAATAGAATGCATCACTTTTGCTTAAAGGCTGTTTGCAAGCTGAAGAATCAAGTGCACAGCATTACTGCAAGCAAAGGCAAAACATAGGGTTACAAAATTGCACATTAGAGATGCCCACAGTCAGAGACTATCTTAAAGTACTAATTTTGCATTTCAGGTGATATTCGGTACACCCCATGTAAAATGTGCACAAAAATAAAAAGTCAATTACTTCTACATTTTAAGCATTTGAACATTATTATTAGCCAAACCACAGCAGGCTATTCTATAAAAATTCTGTATTCCTAAGTGAGGGTTACTTATCTCAGGGCAGAACAGTTAGGGAATCCTGGTCTGAGGTGGCCAGAACAGGAGTAACCTCATCCTACGTTTTGGAAGATTATTGCCTGGTTAGATCCACCTGCAGTGGACACATTGTAGTGTGGCACTGGTGGGGAAAGGAGATTAATGAACTAGTTGTGCAATTCATTACATCCTGGCCTACATCACAATTTAAGGAAATTGCTTCTTTGAAATTCCACTCCAATTCAAGTGAAAGAAAGTTAAATGTGGCATAGTATTAGGGATCTAAATGAGTTTGCGTGTGTGAAAAGAAGAAAATTGTGTAAAATACATGAAGACTTTTCAAATGTGAAGATGACCTACCACTAGCCTTCCACCCCAAGTGCACATTTTAGCAATATCTTAGTTTTATAATTGGATTGTCCTCCTTTTCCTAATTTTATAGTACAGTCAATGACTTTGGGCTCTAATGAAAGAATGAGCATACCAAAGGTTTCTAAAGGTTTCACCAAGGATTTGTAGGAACATTCACCCGCATAGTTGTGATGAAAAGAAAGAAAGAAAGAAAGAAAGAGAAAAAGGGTTTACGTATTTTCCATATGAGGCACACAGAAATCAAACTCATCCCAACCCAGCTCCCTTCCCACCGTTCTCTTCCCTAGGAAATGGGCATCAGTATACATCATACCTCCCACGTTGTCAAAGCAGACTACACCACAAATTTTACTGTATAAAAAGCAACCAAATGAACACACACATTTTCACTTAAAGAACCAACAGGTAAGAATTGGAAAGTATTGTACTGTACACTGAAAAAAAAGGGTACATAAGTTATCTTGGGAAGAGGACTTCAGTAATAATTTAAAGCAACAGGTGCCCAGGGATACCAATACAGATATAAATATATTATATGCTAAAATCTTAGAAGAAACCAAGTATGCCATTTATATAGCAGTTGTGCTGATTGAAAAGACTTACCACTTGCCCCCCAAACTGCATATTTAGTCATGCATATTAAGATAAAATTTCATCGGCTGCAAATCAACAAAGATATATGTAACGTTGCGGGGGGGGGCTGCATGTGCAGCCCAAGATTTGACATCTCCACAGCAACCAAGCACTTTTGAGCTGGCGTGCCTTATTCTGAACAGAAAAGCAACTTGCTTGTTCAGCAACATAAGTGGCGGAAGAGGAAATACACAAAAAAGCTATATGTGCAGTTGTGTCCGCCCCCCCCATACACTTATAACCAGACTACATCATGGCCTTAAACTTCACACCCACATTCCATCCCTTGGTTAGCACACCCACAAATGTTAAACCTATCCAAAAATCAGAGACATCTTTACACAGAATGATAATGGAAAATAACACTAGCTGCTCAAGATTCCAATTCCAATTGCAGTTTTCTGGAGTGTCTGAAACTGTAATACAGTCTTCTTGGATGATTTCAAAGTAGCTACTTCCTTTTCCAACACTTATATTTGTCCACAGTCCACAACAAACTTCAAAACATTCAACTGAATAAATTTAGAATACAACACCCACAGCCAAAATATAATGAACCCATTGTTTTTGGTCTTGGTTCAGATGACCACCTAAATCACAATTTGATATCCTGGTTTGATAACTGTCTAGTAACTATAGCTCCTTCAGTTCATGTGAAAGTGGAAAGTGTTTCAGTCAAAAGTGAAAGTAGAAGTATTCACTCTCCTCCTTTTGCATGGGAAGGAGGAGGATGCTTGCTACAGCTTGTTTGCTATACAGTAATCCAAATAATATGATGGTCTGAACAGGATCATAGTGGGATAGGATGGAAGATATAATTTGCTTTGCCACATTACTCAATTATGAGATAGCACTGTTTTGTAAAAAAAATCGCAAGGTAGGAACAAATATTTTTGGGTGCATATCTCCTTCATCCTCTATGAATCACACACTTTTTTCCCCATGTAAAAATTTGGGATAAAAAAGAAGCTAGTTCATATATATATATATATCTGGGAACTCTCATTGTAATCGTATTGTTTGTTGTTTATTAATCATATCAGACAACTGTATATGTGGGAAAGGGCTAATGTAACATAGTTTCTATCCTCCAGCTACAAAGTCTAAGAGCAGATTGCAAGTCCAAGTAGCATAAGAAAGTAAGTACATGGGAAATGTGCAATATTCAAATAAATAATGAAAACAAGTTTTTTAGCAGGGTTCTAAATAATTCTCCTGTGAAAAGCTTTTTAAGAAAAATCTGTACAGTTAACTTATTTCAATTAGAATTTTTAAGAATTCGGCAAGTACTGCACTGGTGAATATTTGACATGTGAACTCATAATGTGGATGTAATTCCTAGATAGTAGATATGTCTTAAAGATTTCTGGAAAGAGCTTCTTAATGTTTCCTTTCAAGTTATAGGTAAAATCATTCCACAACTGCCCTCTTTATGTTTATTATGTATGGTGAATTTAGCCCAACTCAAATGAGTGAATAATTTGATCATAATGGAAATAAAACCTTTAGCTATACAAATATGTAAAACTTGGAAGAGCATTTACTTTAAAAACAACAACTAAGTTTAGACATATCTGGGACATATTTTCTAAATTCTGAAAGTATTATGGCAATAATTTAGATTTCTGTAATTTTAAATATAGAAACATGCACCAGCTAATCATATACTGACAGTGGTTTGACATACTCCCTTGTTACTGTGAAAATAATTTCATACTGAAGAGTCAGCCCCAATAAGGCAATAAAGAAGTAAAAAAATCCATGAGAAAAAGACACACCCATATTTGCACAAGTCCGAGGTAAGAGCTATGAAGTAATTACCTGGACTCTTCCTCCTTTTGGCTCTCATGTACACAGAGAATTCAGAGTTTTATGCAAAAGTCCTTAAGGACCATGCCAGCATGCCAGCTCCTGGAGTCCACACATGGTGGGCACCTCTGTCTCCACTAGAAGCAGAATACCTAACACAGATGACGTGAAAAACTCAGCTGGACTCGAATTTAATAGCAATGAAAGCACCTATATTGTTTTAGGTATTTATGTTACTGACTTCCCTCACTCCTGCTACCTGGGCAGATGGTGAGGAAAGAAACCTTGCTTGTTGTTCTCTTACTTGTTTTACACACACACACACACACCTGCCCTTGCATTTTCAAAGTCTAAGATAACTAAGTATGTGAACTTAATGAAATTGTCCTCTCCCAGCTTCTCCTGTGGCAAACCAGCAATACGGAACCTTCATGGGTCTGAAAACATATTGTAATACGAAAGGACCCCTTTCCCTCCCCCCTTCCTTCGCCATTGGAATAAAGCTACTTCAACAATTGCAGGCTTCTGCAAGTGTGAGAACAAAGAGAGAACATGTGTTCTGCAGCTATGGACTTGGCTTTCCACCTTACGCATGACCCTAATGTGTGCTAGCAAAACATGCACTGTAGTATATGAGAGTAATCCCCCAAAAGTCACAGAAGTAAAGGGCAGACATCTTGCAGTTTGTGAACGTGCCTTCATTCTGTCTTTGGCTGAGATGCTATTTAGGCTCAGAAGTTATTTTGAGACTTGAGACTCCAAAAATTCCAGTGACCTCATGGGCAACAGACCCCAAGCCCTACAGGACTGCTGCAGGACAGGAAAGCCCAACAGTATCTGGTCTGGTCAGACTGGTTAGCAGCAAGTAGAATTGAGAGCAATAAAGACATATGGGCTTAATTGCAGCTGCAGGATTAACAGCTATTGTCAAACATCCATGAGAAATGCTTATTCTCCAGCAGCTTTTACAACCCTCAAACATTATTATTTGGGGGGGGGGGAGCGAGAAACCAACCTTTTATGTTATCACAAATATTCTATTTTTCCAAAGCAAGCGTTTCCACAGTAACCATGTTACTGTAAAAGGGATAACAATCAGGAAGTCATTGAAACAAGCCTGGGCACAAAACAGTTAGCAATCCTACCTAAACAGAGGTCATTTCTGAACAGAGAACACCCTGTCTACTTCGGTTTATTTATACACAAACACAATACAGCCATCAAAATTTTACTAAAGGTGTGGCAGTGTCCACACCTAGAGCTACGTTTCCATAACACATTTTGGATCTTGCTATTTGCTTCTAACTAGGGCTGTGCGTCTTTTTATAGTAAGCCTTCATTTAACAGCAACCTCCCCCCACCCCACCTTTCATTTACAGGACATATATTTCACAGCTAGAATGCAGTCAACAGAGCTCAAGAGATTAAAAGGAAATTCGGGATCATCATAACAAATGACACAGTTGAGTATAACTGAGAAGCTAGCAGTTTACAGGTCAGATTAAGAATATGGCCAGAATACTTGCTCAAGAGCATATTTCTCCAGCGTGCCAATTCTGGAACTTCTTTTCAAGAGGGATCTTGTAGACAAAAGCATCTTATGTGAACATTAGAGTCTATATTTACAATGTACAAACTTTACTACCATGGAAATAAATGAGTCAGACTTGAGCTGAGGGGTGGAGGAGAAGCGGGCAGCTTCGGGTTAAAACCCGGCAGACATGTTTTCAGTTTCTGTATGTCAGAAGCGTGCTTTAAAACCGCCTTATGAAATACCTCAAAGTTATCAGCCTCCTAACAATTTGTTCACACTCTGGAAGAGCAGCTAAAGTTTAATGAAAATGCTTTAAGATTCCATCTACATACAGCTCTGGGCAGGCAAACTACTGTAATTCCCCCTTCGTTGCACCTTGTTCCTGCTCTTAATCTGAAGCTAGCCTTACAGTTTAGATTCTCTGTGGTGGTGAACAGCAATTCCTTCCCAGGAACCATGACTGGTGGGGCCCACTACTCAGTGAGTGGACCTAAGCAGAGACAGAGCTGCCCATGATATTCTGCTGTGTTTTTGAGGCAGCTGCGGAGATTACCACTCCCCCCACCCACCTCCTCACCACCAGAGTGTGTTGCAGAATGCACAGGAACTGGTAATCACACAGCTGGTTTCTAAGAAACAGGAATGAGGAAAACAGCAGTGACAGGAAACTGGTCCTTGTGTTCACCAGTCCACATAGTGATTGAGTGCTGTGGTGCGTTACCTTGGCTCTGGGTGCCTCTGGGTTAAAGGCAAGAGAGCAGGGTGAAAAGTGACGGGGCAGAGGAGAGACAAATTATCCCCTCAATTCCAAGGATTGCATATCACATTCAAATATGCCTTGGTAGGGCTTATAAACCCTTAGGAGGGAACTCTATAGTAAAAGTATATGAAAACAACTAATTGCTTTGTGCTAGTTCTACATAGCCTATAGAAATCCAAAATAATTGTATCATTGAAGCAACTCTCTTGGAAACACAGTACCTGGACGTTTTAGACTGCTCTGCTATTCCTTTAAGAGCTGAAAACACCTGTCTAGAGGGAAGTTCCACAGTAACTGCATAGGACAGTCTTCACCAACCTGCTACTGCCCAGCTGTTTTCGACCATAACGGGAATGGCAGGAGTTGCAGTCCAAAACAGCTGAAGGGTATCAGGTTGGAATCAAAGATCCAATGTAGTCATTTCCGAATAAATAAAGACCCACAGTGTGCAAATATGACTGTCAGTATAGATCCAGGTGACAGAATGTCAAGTGACTAATTTGGTTGCCATGTATCAGGTATTAAGAAACATCAAGAGGATTTATTATGTAGATAGACTGCAATAAAATATTATAGTCTTCCCTTTTCCAGGAAAATGGTCCCCCCCCCACTCTTGTTTATCACCATAGTTTAGCTTAGCTTCTGGGAAAACAGAAGAAAAGGAGAGGAGGAGATTTAGAAGCATGGGTTTTGAATTTGACACATCCATAAAGTGTTCAAATTAAAATTACGTTTTCAGGTATTCAAACAATTCTGGTGTGCCTGCCTGCCTGAGAGCATGCAGAAGAAGAAGAGGTGAAGCATCATTCACCCGCCCCAAATCATCACCTTATAAAGTAGCATTTGTTCAGCTTTAAAACAATCAGGACTCTTGGAAGTAAATCACTTAATTTGAAAATCTCAAACTAATAAGCCCAAGGTCTTTCATTAACAGAGTTGTTATCGTATTAGCTTTCAAATCAAGGGAAACTTCAATGTTTACATTTGTCAGGAGATATTTTATTCATTGCAGTACTGAGGTCAATTAGCTGCTGTGACTAACCTTAGTTTCTAGGATGGTTTTATCTAACCTGAAGAATTTTTTATATGAAAGATCTGTAATGAAAACAGATGCATTTAAGTAATTAACATATGTTAAACAAAAAATATTAAGTCTAATATTGCATGTATAGACAGCTAGAGGCATAGTTTAAGAAAACCACATTTTTACTTTTGCATATCACTTGGACATGTCACTGAATTGCTCAACTACATGAAATGTGTGTTCATGTGCATGTGTGTGTGTGTGCTTGGATTGAAAGGGTGTATTGTGAGAATGAAAAGGCACTTTAAGTTGTGTAAGACAGCCTCCCTCCTGAATTTTGACAATTTCTCCAGTGAGAAGGAGCCAAGAGAGCCCTGTTGTGCAAGTGAGTACCACTCACACGTCTCAAGTTTTCATTCTCGTTTAACACACACACATGTATGAGCTCTTGCACATTCACTTCTACATTGTTTTCAGCTGATCACCAGTGTTTCCGCAGACTATACAGACAGAACTTCCTCCTTTGAATTTTGTCATAAAATCTGAAGTAACCGTACAACTACAACAGCTCTAGTGATACTAATTCCGATGATGAGCTTCAACTTATGTAGGAGAAATTAAAGAGCTATGTAAGTGTACACCAAAGATGCACTCAGGTATTCCATTTCTGAACCCTCAAACCAGGATTTGCATATTGGAATACTGCCTGCTTGCAAGCTCCTGCCACCCCAATGCACCCAGGAAGTTGGTCATTACACCCAGCCCCAGCAGAATGAGGTTCAGAGAAAGCCCTCCAAACCAGAAATGCAAGCCTCCCTGAGTTCCTCATTTGGGGGGGGCTTGCTCTAAACTACAGTGTGCAGAGTTTAGGCACAATGGCAAACTATGGTTTGATCAAACTAAGCAGTTTAAGTGCATGGCATGAAGGGAAGAAGAGAACAGACAGGCATATGGCCTGTTCCCAGTTGATTGGAAACATGACATCTGAAGGCAGCCCACGAGGGGTGGGGGATGGGATTGAATAAGTACACAGCCTGTAAACACAGCCAGAGAGCTTTAATAATAAAAAAAAAGTGTGCATGCTCTTCAGTTTGTCTTATATAAGAATGTACAGGAAGCTGCCTTGCAGCAAGAAAGACCACTGGCCTATCAGTATTGTCAACACTGTTAAACAGTGGCTCTCCCGGGTTGCAGGCAGGAGTTTCCCCACTACTTGGAGATGTCAGGGATTGAACGTGGGTTCTTTTGCGTTCAAAGCATGTGCTCTGTTCACAATGAGCTACGGTCCTTTACTCAGAATGAAAGGAGCAAGTCCCCAGCACCTACTATGCTGAAGTTCTTTCTCTCCTGTAGGGAGATGCCATAAGTGCAAGTGGAAGCAAAGGAAGTTGCGGTATGCTTTTCAAAGGAATATGCTAAAAGATTTCTTCTAAACTAGATACACAGGGACTGGGTGAGGTGGGATGTCAGTCAGATGCTGGATATCTAACCAGCTTACCTCTCCCAATCATGGCCCTGGTCAACAAATTTGGACATGCAAGCCCACCAAGGCATTTATCTGTGTGGACTGCTGATCCGGTGGCAAGTCCACACCCTTCTAAAGATAGCATTGGATTCAGCATTCCTATCCTGCCCCTGATGTCCATGACGGGGCATCACATTTCCATAGAGCATACAGCAGGGCAGCTAACACGACAGCCTTCAGCAACCTCTGGAGGACACCATGTTGGTTAGTTTGACATACACATGTAACATAAAATATGCAAGTGTCCCTGGACTGTGATAATTTCCCGACTTTATCTGGGATATCAACCATGCAGTTTAAACCTAAACGTGCTGGGGTAAGCATGCATATGCAGAACAGGACATACTGTCTCTCCCACATCATGAGATAAGTTAATCATGCTATCTGATCTGGCTATCGATTAAAGCTGACTCCACCAAGTAGCCATTAGGGGCTATACAAAAGATTGCATGTATATGTGTGGATGCAATTCCAAGTGCCAAATACAGTTTTATACCCAGTAAGACACCCTTTATATGCAAATGATCTGAACCAGCATGGAGATCACTGTATAGAAATCTGATTCTGCATATTATGAGCTTTGCTTGTAATATGGCAAACTCTACTAAAGACTACATGTACATTGTGTCAGTATATAGTTCACAAGCAGAAAAAGAACCAGACTTCTTCCATCTATTTTTTGCAATAAAAGATAAAAGCGGGAGGGGGGGGGTCAATGGAAGATAAATCTATTGGCCTACCTTTCCTATGGGTCAGATTTTACTTATGCACCTGCATAAGTAGTTACCATGTCTGAAATAGGCCGCTGCCTGAATCAGATTCTGTTTTTGCATATACACTAGCCTCCCCAAAAGTCAGGTAACACATCATGTTTGTTCCATGATTATGAGACTGGAGCATTAGAAAGGCAATTTATTTTTTGCTGTATTCTTAAAAAACAAAAAAAACCCATGATTGCAGCCCTGCAGATAAGCATCTTTTTTTATTATCCTCTGTACTGATCTTGCCTTTTATTTAAATTATTTCAACACATTAAAAGCAGCATTGCTATTTAAATTGCATTTTTCATACTAGTGAAATGCTTGAAACATTTATTTTGAAAAAAAAAATTTTGGGGGGAAGTTCAGGAAGCATGATGCCATTTGATAAGCTTAAATACAAAGCTATATGCTTAAAACAAAATGGTATGTACAGTTATTTGTTCCTTTGCCTATTTCACTGAAGTTTGGGGCAGATAATCTATATTCTGCCTCTGCCTGCTATGTAAGTGATCTCAAAATCAAATTTGACAGAAATGTTGACAAAAATCAATTTGGTAATCTGATCACAGCAACTGCCTTAATACCTCACCAGATCAGCTTTAATTTAAAATGCCAGCACCTTAATTTAAATGTATTCTCCACCACACACACAAAATTCTCTTTCTCCATAATTCCTTGAGATTAATAAATGTAGCAAAATCTACCACACACAGAAAGCTAAAAAAATCCCCATCTGCAAATGATGAGACAAACATTTGACTCAGATATTTATGTAAATTTCTACAAATGGTGACATGAAAGATGCTAAAAGAAAACTAATTAAAATAAAAGCTAGGATGCTTCTACAAGTCTTCACTTACGATTGTTAAACTTTAATTATACATAGCAAAAAATATAAACTTACAAAGAAAGCATTAGCTCCGTTATAATTTATATTCTATTAAATGCTGCATCCCGATACATTATAGAATACTAAACAATTTACTACTGGTCTTTTTTTCTTTTTAGAGCAACTCTATAATAACTAGATGAAAAAGAAAACAGCTCACAATAAATTAACGTAACACGGGGGATAATTCTGTACACTTCCTTTAAAAGCAGATAAACGAAACTATAACATTAGAAACATGGAAGTGACTTACCATTCATGTTGAAAGGCTGGTTTTTGGAAACATATTGCTAGTAATGTTTGCCCAGTAAATGAGTTATTTAATCTCTAAAGTAGAAGCATTGATGCTCTCACATACGGCCACTAGAACTGGAAGACAAACAAATCCAGAGAGCTTGTCTTCATCCAGCCAGCTTGAGATATGCAAACTATCCAATAAAAATACCAGCAGTTGATAGCAGATCCATATTCAAATAGCGATGCTCATTAATGACTTGTTTTTGAGCCAGCATTACCTTTACACAGATAAAGCGACTCAAAATGGCAGAGGGGGAAAAAGCAAAAACACCAGGATGTTTTAAGATGTTCTCAATTATATCAAGCACTGCTTGTTTCCATAGCAACCTTAGAGGAGAATTATCGGTCTGCTTGTACCCAACCAGTAGTTTCTCCTAAAGCTTTAATTTATCCACATAAGCAACATATTTCTATGTTTTTTATTAATATGACTTTTTTTTAAAAAAAGCGTTTCTTCACAGGCACAAAACTCAAGATAGTCTACCAGATGCTCTATAGGATATTAGGAAATACCTGGAAAGTGCTCAAAGCATAATCCCCCCCCCCGCCTATTATAACGTACTGTCATGCTACATCATGCAGCACAACCAACCAACATCCTTGGAATTAACTCATTCCACACACAGTACAACCTATACAGTACTATCTAGATTGCTGGTGCACCATTATTACCATCACTACTTTATTGTGATTTATATCAAACAGAGTATTACATAAATGTGCTTCAAACTAAAAGCAATCATACACCATTCCCAACAATAAATACATCAACAAGATCACCACTAAAACAGCTATTTAAAAAAATGAAAAACCATCAAGCCACAGAGAAATACAATTAACAACCATATGCCAGACGTAGAGGAAAGTCTGAACCAGGCACTGAAAAATGGTGGATCTTGGTGCTAGGTAAGCTTCCATTGGAAAAGCATTCCAACCGAGGGTCTTTACAGTGAAGGGCCTCTCTCTTGTAACCACCCATCACATTTCTGTTGGAAGGACACTTGGACAAGGGCCCATGTAGGTTGATAATGGGAGAGGTGTTCTGTAAGACAACAGGTTCCCAACTATATAAGACTTCATAGTCAAAACCATCACTGTGATTGACCCCAGAAATTTATCAGATGCCAGGGCAAAACAGGTGTTACATGTAAAGGTTAATTTGTACACTGTGCTTTATATTTTTATGCAGTTCTCTTTAATAATCCTATAAAATATGCTGCTATGTCCATCCCATACACACAGAACCAGAGCAGAATGATTTCTCCAAAGTCGCCCACAATAAAATCACAGTTGATCCGGAACACAAATTTGTAGCGTTCAAGGTGTTAACTCCCTGGCCTGGTCAAGCCAGAAAACCAGAGACACCTAATAATCTGTGACTGGACTCCAGCTCCCATCACTCCCAATCAGCATGTCCAATTGCTAGATATGATGGAATTTGTTGTCCAGCAAAATCTGGAGAGCTAGAAACAAGAAAAACCATTGTTTCATGTATTGACTGTTTAGAATCCCAAACACAAAGCCATGGTATAAGCTTACCAAGTGTATATAGGTAGACACTTGAAAACCTAGTTCAACCATAATGATATTCAGAAATGCTTTACCACAATTAAGGAAAACAAACAATGGCTAAACATTATACATAATGTCTCCATGATATTTAGAAGCTTAAATAAAGAATCAACAGGGTTTTTTGAAACTATGTGAAAGACCCTGTTTTCTAAAAATGGAGAACAAAAGTAACAATCCTTGTCAGTAGTAAAAAGCCACTGGAAACAAGTAAGTGCTTTTAAGCCAAAAAATGCAGCCAGAAAATCAGTATGTAACTTAAAACACTTCATAGTATGCGCTTCACACACTAATGTCCATCTGATCCCCAAAAACCTGAATGGAGGCAGTACAGCTTCCCAATAACCTGTTGCAGCTGTGAGCAGCTTAACTCAGGGTAGGGAGAGAGAGAACTATTCTGCTCACATTATTAAACCACAAGAAGCTAACAACCCACAGAGATACAGCTTCCTCTTTGAGGACTATAACTGCATAACAAGATGTTTTGCAAAGAGGATATGTCGAAGCAATAGACCAGGGCCCAGCAAACTTTTTCAGCAGGGGGCCGGTCCACTGTCCCTCAGACCTTGTGCGGGGCCGGACTATATTTTTTGGGGGGGAAATGATCGAATTCCTATGCCCCACAAATAACCCAGAGATGCGTTTTAAATAAAAGCACACATTCTACTCATGTAAAAACATCAACCTGGGAAGGTAGCCCATCTAGGAGAAAGAAAACTCTGATCCTAAACCACTGTTGCCTTATGGCTATACACTTTTGTGATAAAGGCTTTGGGAGTAATCTCTGAGGAAAAATCTGTACCTGCTGCCATGCAGAACATCTTCAGGAGAAGAAAAATGGCTAAGGAGTAAGTCCTATACAATCTGAAGTGGAATCCCTAAGATGTCCTGCAGCCAAGGGGAATCTTGTTGTCTGGGCACCCCAGGACCTCCACACATACTGCCCAGGCACACATACTGCCCAAAGGTCACTTTGATGATGCTAATGCAGCAAAATCAATGTGGGAGTCAGCAGTTCTAAGTTACCATGAGATACCTTGGACTGGGAAAGTGACACAGATATACCATAAATCACATCAAATCAAAATATTAAAAGAATGGACAGCGCCTTGTTTCTAAAATAATGACCTGGCAGCTTTACATTTATTGTTGGGTTTGTTCACCAAAATAAAGAATATAACAAGAGCTCTACTGGATGAAACCAAGGCCTGTCTAGTCTAGCAATTATTTTCTCACTGTAGCCAACCAGATGCCTATGGGAAGTCCACACACAAGACAAATGCCCAACAGTATTACTGTTTCCAATCACAGTCCAAAGCCTTTTTAATATACTGTTTTGGTGCTTTTGTATTCATTTACACTATGTGGGTTTTTTCTATTTGATGTTTAAAATGACTATGAAATGGCAAAATAATTCTTTTTTTGATGCAGATGGCATATAAATGTTAAATTAACTAAGAAACCTGAACCGCAAGACAGTAGAAATACGGCTACATGTTCTGCCAGCAGTTTACTATTTAAGCAACATTCTAGTCAAGGTTCAAGAAGCAATAGAAGATCACAGGCACAATGCATTTTATAGGCAGAAGATTTACAGTGCACCTATTAAGATCTCACATATTATAATACAATCTTTTTTCCTAGAAAAAAAATACAATTTTCCAGCAATACGTAGCATACATAATGAATTTGCCTTCTTTCAAAAATATGTTCAGATAGTTATAAAATTCAGTTGGTTAAATGGTTTCAACTTCTATGCAGCGGGTTGGATCCAGACTTGGGAGTAAATCAATGGCTAACTTAAGTCCTATTTATTTCAGTGGTTCTACTCTCACCATGGCTGTCTGGATCTAATCCATTGCATTGTTCAAAAAGCCAGTTTAGAAGACACATTGCAAGTAGTATAGATTGTTTATAAAAGTGGTCTCGGGCTGCAAAAATGTAATGGAAAATGTATCTAGAGAAGAGTATTTGTTTGTTTGTTTTATTCAGGAGATGTTTAAAATCAATAGTATCTAAAAAGAAATAAAGCATGTGTAACTTCTACATGTCTAGATAGGCATGTCTGAACAAAAATGTTTTAAACAGATGCCCAAAAGAGAACCGTGAAGGTGCTTGCCTGATGTAAAAAAAACTGCCAAACTAAAAGAATGATTTTTTATGAGATCCTTGGAAGATAAAAGGTGGTAAAGGTAAAGGGAACCCTGACTCTGGGGTTGCGGCACTCATCTCACTTTACTGGCCAAGGGAGCCAGCGCACAGCATGCGGCCAGCATAACTAAGCCGCGCAGGTACGGCTGCAGTTGTTTCACCAGTCACACCTGCTAAAACTACGTACATCTGGCCACTGAGGCTACCTGAGCCTCCAGTGACACAGCTGGATCCAGAAGAACCCTCAAGCTGAGTACCAACATCTTCAGAGGGAGTGCAACCCCATTCAGGGCAGACCATTGACCCATTCAATAAATGGACACAGGAACCACTCATCCACAATGCCTCCACCTTCCCAGGATTCAAGTTCACGTTGTTTTCTCTCATCCATCCCACCACTGCATCCAAGGACTGTTCGAGGGTCTGCATCGCTTCTCTTGATACATATATTATGGAGAAATATAGCTGATGGCACCTGACCACAAAACTCCTAATGACTGCTCCAGTGGCTTCATAGCATTGAGTATGGAATAGTAGCTTGCAGCACTCCAGTGAACCAAGAAGCACCTCCCAATGCTTCTCTCTGGACACGGTCATGTAGGTGGGTCTGAAACCACTGTAACACAGTGACTCCAGCTCCCATTTCATGGATCTGGTCCGGGTGGATACCATGGTGAATGGTATCAAAAGTCTCAAAGAGACTTTAGAAGCAGGAGCAAGGTTGCGCTCCCCTTGTCCCATTCTCTGCATGGGCCATCTATGAGGGAGACAATGCACTATTACATTAAGAGTTTCAACCCTGATTAAAATTATGGTATAGCATTTAGCTAATACTTGCTGTTTCCAATAAACAGCGCACAAGGCTTGCCAACATCTGTCCGAAGCACTGGGCGTGCTACGCAACACGCCCCATGCTTCGGGCTGCAGGCTGCTGCCAGCAAGCCTTGCGCGCCCGGCGGGACCTCCCGCCGGGCATGCGAGGCTTGCGGATAGCTTCCTAAAGCCTGGAGAGCGAGAGGGGTCGGTGCACACCAACGCCTCTCGCTCTCCAGGCTTCAGCGAAAGCCTGCATTCGCCCCATAGGACGCACACACATTTCCCCTTCATTTTTGGAGGGGAAAAAGTGCGTCCTATAGGGTGAAAAATACGGTACATATTTATCTATTATTCCCCTTAAAATAAGTATGAATGCTACTTTGAAAACCTGACTCAATAGCCTCCACTCCAAGAGGCAAATAAATAAAATATCCTGAATTTTCTATGCCTTTGCCCAGAGAAGTGGGAGCCATTTAATGAAATGTATGAAAATGTATTAGAATACATATAGCTGCTTAGTAAATATGAAAGTATTTATAGTCTCATATTTGAATTCCCAATAGGCTAACTGCATATTTGTCAGTATCTTGTTAAATAACTAGCATGGTCAGCTATGGCGCTCACTGGCAAACTCCCCACCCACTAGGCAACCTAAGCTACACCAACCACATGGTTACTACTGAAGTGAAAATGCTGTTCCGTTCGAACTATGAAGAAGAATTATTTACAAACACCATGATCTGATATGCATGCAGTATTTTACCTTCTTCCAGGAAGCTTATACTACTTATATTTCCAACTTTGCTTGACAAGAGGGTAGTAGCCCCATCCATTTTAAAGTATCAGGGGTTCCCCACTTAATGCTATATACAGTAATAGTTAAGAGTTCAGTCTATAGGTTTTAATGTGCGACTACAGGTTGCGTACACAAGATCTTCTCATACAATAGAATATTTCCCAGCTCTGATACAGCTAGAGGCACTGCACATGCTGATGTGTCTGTCAATCTCTTCACCACACTGCGCCAGTCCTGTGTCCATGGGGCCCAAACTGCAAGAGAGTCTCCATACTGCAGCCTGTTTTGGTGTGTAAATCACCTTTGCGGCACCCTTGCATGCCCTTCTCTTCAATCATTCAAGCTTAAGGACAGCCAACAATTAATAGTCAGCCTTAGCGCTTCAAAAACACAACTTCAAATAATGAAGAAGTAGACATTTAACACAGGCAGGAAAATATGCAAGGCAATGAAATGACTAAAGTAAGCTGAATGATAATAATACTCTGTGACCTGATCACATATGCTTTAAGAAACAAAACTACAGATTTGAATCCACTTGCTGATCATTTAATTCACCAGTTTGGCTGTCAGCATTTTTCTATATTTAGTATGCAACATGCTACAGTTTGCCACTACATACCAAGGAACACCCCTCCCCAACACACACACTTACTTGATCTGTCCCACAGTGCAGCGGGTTCAGAGAAACGAGAAGACTCATTTTCCAGAGCCACTTTCAGTTCACTTGTAGAACCTTTGGAGTGCCTGTGAAAAAGTCTGTTGGCAAAGCCTTCCAGTCTCTGCAAAGCATTAGCAGTCCCCACGCTCTGGCTGCCCTGTAACTCCTTCTGGGCTGCCATCTGTGTACATTTAAGGTGTACGTTAGAGGCAAGAAAGAATTCTCAACTTAAGAACTTAGGACAGAAGCCGAGGACTAAGAATGTGTCAGACTTCCTGTATGCAGTGTGCTAAAGCCGCAACTGCTGTTCTGCTTCCTGTTAATATAAAACCAAGCTTCAAGAGCTATTCTCAGCAAAAGGCTCTTGATATCAGCTCAGGGTGGTGACTAGAGGGGGAAAAACTCTGTACTGTTTGCATGTTAACTCTCCACTTCGGGGGGGGGGGGGAGAGAACCACCTCAGGGAGATGAGAACAAGCATGTGTTTTGTTATATTGAAAAGGGATAACGGAAGCCAGGATCCAGAAAGCATAATTTGCTTTTAGTTTATTAGCAGTGTTAGATATTATCGTTTACTACTGCAGATTAAGAGAAAATTTCAAAACATTTCCTGTTTAGAAAACTTGACGGTATATCTGTATACTGCACATAGTCATTTGATTCCTATAATGTGCAAGTCATATCCATGCTAAAAAAGAAAATGTGTTTACATGCTGCAGGGCATGTACACACAGTAAATATGTGGTCAGGATCCAAAAACCTTGGCAGGAAGCCTCTTCCCAACTTCTAAAGAACTAATTAAATAGCTGCACTTGCTGCTGAGCTATGCTGCGCAGTGTTACAGGGGTCACCTAAGGTCCTACTCAGTGGCTACGTTCATCCAGGGGCTTTGCAATTACAAGAAAAATAACTGAAAAGAACCTAATAGCGAGAGTCCCCCCCCCCCCACAAGACATTTGATTATTTTTGGTTTCATACACCGAGGCAAATAAGTATGACTCCTAAGCCACAGATGTAAAAATTCCACACACACACAAAATAATTTGTGTTTGTATGTGTGGATCAAAACAATAATTTTAAAAAGAGCACCAGAAAAACGTTGGGAAGAGGAAAACCAACAACCCTACAAAAAAACTAGTTAGCAACTTTTACTCGTTTGAAGGAAAACAATTGACATTGGAGATGCCCCTGGAAAAAGTACCGTATTTTTTGCTCTATAAGACTCACTTTTTCCCTCCTAAAAAGTAAGAGGAAATGTGTGTGCGTCTTATGGAGCGAATGCAGGCTGCACAGCTATCCCAGAAGCCAGAACAGCAAGAGGGATCGCTGCTTTCACTGTGCAGCGATCCCTCTTGATGTTCTGGCTTGTGGGATTCAGAATATTTTTTTTCTTGTTTTCCTCCTCCAAAAACTAGGTGCGTCTTGTGGTCTGGTGCGTCTTATAGAGCGAAAAATACGGTACCTTAGATGGAAGTTGTGCACTCATCCAGATTCAACCCCGCAAGGGCCTGGCTGTTGTCCTTCCCTCAAGAAGAGGAAAAGGTCTTTACTGGAATAACCATGGAGGGTCAAGATATTCCACTCAGTTTCTGGGCATATGGTTGAAGAACATCCAGGGTTCTTACCTAGTAGATCTGGCAAGACTCACGAGGTGTGAAAACCAGGGATAGTGGGGGCCTATTGGTGCTATTACAGTGATACCTCTGGTGATGAACAGGATCCGTTCTGGAGGCCCGGCCGTATCCCGAAAATTTCGAAACTGGAGGACCGCTTCTGCACACGCCGCCGCAGAGCGCTTCTGCACACGCGGCAAACTCACTTCCAGGTTTGCCACGTTCGCAACCCTAAGATTACGTACTCGAGGGTCCACTGTATAATCACCTGTGCCTGATTACCTCCCATCTTCCTTATCAATGCTGAGATAAGAGGGGGAGGCAAAAATGCATAGAGATTGCCTCTTAGGCAAGCAGTCCTTAGGACATACACAATATGTTTCCCTTCCCTGACACCTTGCTGTGACCATTCTTATCTTTTTGTTTTCAGACAGATTTAAGAATATGGTTCCTCTCCTGTGAAAACCTGTGGAGTTGACAAATCATTCCAAGTCTGGTGACTTAGCCAGTCCCTGAAACGTTCCATGTCCCCTTGCCTCTCTCCCTGCACTTCTGCAGAGTGCACCTTCCTTCGCCACACACAACTGGGCGCTGGCCTCCCCTCTCCCTCCCACCTGCACACAAGATGTTTTTGCCTGTTCACTCGCACTCACCCCATCCCATTACAAGGTACTGGCCTAATTATTGTCCATTGCCTTTATTCTTCTCCACTGCCTATCTCAGAAAGACCAGAACAGATGGGAGAAGGCAATGTAGCTAATAGCAAAAGCTACCCCATCTTGCAAAAAATATTACTTGCTGTTCATTTTTATTATCTCATTAATCATGAAAACCTTACCTAAAGGACAATACAATAACAACCCTACCACAAATTTCTGAACTTCTACAGTATTGTTAAAGAGTCATTTACAATACTGCCTTGGGCATGAGCATATGTATCCCTTCACAGGATTGCTGCTTGTGACACTACAAGCTTACATAAAACGAACGAAGAGAAAAGCATGTATTTACACTGAAATCTGTTTAAGTGGCTGTTAGGTTGCTCTCCTAGTAAATGATAAAAGATGTTGTAAAGGTAATATTAATATTGATTTCCGTATAATTTTAAGAAGAGATTTGTAGAAAGAGGTTGTTGCGGCACTCATCTCACATTATTGGCCGAGGGAGCCGGCGTACAGCTTCTGGGTCATGTGGCCAGCATGACTAAGCCGCTTCTGGCAAACCAGAGCAGCACACGGAAACGCCGTTTACCTTCCCGTCGGAGCGGTACCTATTTATCTACTTGCACTTTGACATGCTTTCGAACTGCTAGGTTGGCAGGAGCAGGGACTGAGCAACGGGAGCTCACCCCGTCGTGGGGCTTCGAACCGCCAACCTTCTGATCGGCAAGTCCTAGACTCTGTGGTTTAACCCACAGTGCCACCCGCGTCCCTACATTGTGACATATATGCACCCCTTTAATCAGTACCAACATATTTATGCATCTCCCAACATAAAACTCCCATTAGTTACTTTCAAAAACTTAAGCAAGAGCCTAATCCATGTATGATAATCTTTTCTGAAAAGGATCACCAGTGTTCAGGGAAGGTGGACTTTCAGGGAAGGGAATCAGACATGGATTGAAAGGGTTATGACTGTTAATTTTACACTGCAAGAACAAACAACTGTCAGGAAAGCACCATTTTTTAGTTTGGCCTGTATAGGGGGTAAAATGTACTCTGCAGCTATGCACACTTACCTGAGAGTAAATCCCTGAGAGTAAATCCCACTCCATAAGTACTTACTTATGGAGAAAAATATATTGAACTGCCCTGTAATGTGAAATTCTCCTTTAATTCTGTATCCTGTTATGTATACATACCCAATTAGCTAATATGTTAATCTGTAGTGCGCACTGCCAGAGTCATCCATCAAACTAAATGAACAAACCTGACTATACCTAGAATCCAAAGAACTGCTCAACTAGTTACATGTGCCCAGAGGGATTTGAATTCATGTTCTGGAAATGCCAGTGCCAGCCCCCACCCCCACTCATGCCAAACACTTTTACAACTGAGGGGTCTCTCAAATCAGTTTGTGATATAGCATAGGGAGGCTTAAAGGCAGAAAAGGGGTGGGGGTGGGGAATCTCACCAAATGTGTCCAAGTCCCTAGGGTGCTTAAAGTAGATATCTGCTGTATAATGAACATAGCCATTTAAACAGAACAGTTAATATATGGGAGATACAGTATAGATATATATAACCAGTCTAGAACAAACAGATATCCTACATCTTGCCAGCAGAGCTTTTTAAAGCATCTCAGAAAGTCTCTCTTTAGCATGAGAGAAATGTAAAGATGAGGCAGCAGCATTTCTATAAATAACATCGCCAAGAGGAAGTTGTTGCTATGGCAGCGCTCGCCACATTTCTATTTTAATTCAAAAGCTATCTACTGGCATCTACTGTTCGAAAGTTAAAAATGCAGCCACTAGTGATACAACATAAACACATTTATGCCAGAGGAGACAAATGCTGCCCCAAGACATTGTATCTAGGCATGAATCCAGAAAGTGTTGCACTTCCTTTCAAGCAAAGGGGAGGAAAGGCCATCCCAGATTTGGGGGGGATTCCTGCTGCAGCTTCCTGGGTTATATGTGCTAGCTCCTGTCCCCAAACTTGCAAACAGAAGCTCTTACTTTTAAGTAAGAACAAGATCTTTATTCTGGCAAGTAACAATAGAGGCTCTAACAAACACAGGGCTTGGGACCAGGGTAAAACATTCACCACTCGAAGGAAACAATGAAGATGTCCCAACAAGTTTCACCCACCAAGCTTTTAAAGACAAGGTGTGGTATACTCACTCATGAGACTCACTTGCCTTGCATGAATGTTGGGGTTGCAAAAGCACAATCTATTTGGATGGGTGGGTCTCCTCCCATCCACAAAGGCAGCGACTGATTCTAGGCAACAAGACTGCACCCCTCCTTGTCAGACTCCTGTTCAGTCACTGCCACCTCCTGTTCCACCTCCTCCCTCGGCTGCTCAAAGCCCTCTTCGGCCTCCGCCAAGGCCCTGTCCTCTGCAGAAAGGTGGGGGGAGGGGAGAGCAAGCATCCTGCTCCTTCTTCTGAAGCAGCTGGAGTCAGGGCAGAAAGGAGAGGTCTCCACTCCTCCAGCCAACATTCAGCTTCCTCCAATTTCTTTTCACTCCTGTATCAAAGCAAGGACTCCAGGACCCAGCCAGAACTTCATGCCTCTTTCCCAAAGCCCATGCCTCGCTTACCCAGCTTTGGGAAGGCGGCATGAGGGCTGGGGTGTGGGGGAGAGCATCAGATTTTGGCCTTGCTCTGCACCCTGTTGTGTGAATGGAACACTGCTGGATACAACTGCATACATCTGAACTAAAGTTTATTTTAAAACAGTTTTTTAAACTGCCATAACTTCTCAAAATGCACGTGGGGAACATTTACTGTTACACAAATTTTAGCAAGTGCAGAAACACCCTAAATTTACTTTGTGTTTACAACAGAGGGTCACAGAGATACCTCAGGTTGTCACTGTTTCACACATTGGAAAACTATGGTTTATAGCTATGAAAATGAAGTGCTGAGTCGTGGACTTTCATACACATCCCCTTTTATCTTTTGTGGATGCAGCTTTCCATTAGGTCTGTACTGGAACTATGGCTAATTACTTTTCTTTAAAAAGCCACCGTACAAAGCCAAGATTTAAAGCTGATTCACAGACCATGCCTTATTTAAAAGCCATTACCCCAAGTTCCTAGTACTGGTGTAACAGAAAAATATGGCTAGCTGCTGCTTCCTATCTTGTTTCATCACTTACCTAAAGAGAGGAGTGAAGTGGCTGTATGAAGGTGCAGAAGGCACCTGAAAATACTGATTTGATCAGGTGGACATAATCATGGTTCTAAACCTGGCTTGTTCTTAAGCCATGGTCTCCCAACTCTAGAAATATGGCTAACTTAAAATCAAAAGTGGAAGCTTTCCCTCTCCCTCCTGTAGACAGCTCATTTGAATAGCTCCTTCCTTCCCATGTTAATTTGTCCTGAGTTTTAACTACAGTTCATATGCACTGGAATTAATCCTGGTTAACACTAACAAGAGTTCGCAAGGATTGCTAACTAGTTTCAGATCTTGGTATGAAATCCAAGTTTTGTACAAACTCTGGTTAGTACTAACCATGGTTAAGAGCAGGAGTAAGAAGGTGATATAATTTACATAAAAGAGTGGTATAGGAAAGAATGCACAATCCTGCAGTCTGATCTGGCTCTGTTAGCTATGGTTAAAATGATAGGAATATTACAGCTTCACTGGCCTATATAGTTTTCACAGTCCCCCCAGCCAAACAATCTTTGAATTATGATGTACACAGTGTCCAGCCATGGTGAAATGGACAAGCCCTAAAACTGACACCTCCACAGCTACAGCTACAGTGCAAGGCAAGTCACTACCTTGGAATAAGTAACGTTTATGGTTCCAGTATTTAATCTAGTAAAATCAGTCACCTAAGGCTTTCGTCATACATTAAAAAGTGCTCTGGAAGTCTCTGATGCTATTCTCTGCACCTTACTAGATGAAAGAGAAATAGCCGCTACTTCTACTCTGTATCCAAAGCTAGAACACTATTTGCCTTTCGTGGTAAAACTACAATAGGTGTTCGTCTAACAATTAGAATCAAAGGAAACGAAAGCAGACAGTGCGTATGTAAAATCAGTCTGGATCTTCCACAGTACTGACAGATCCAGAAGTTGTTTAATTCTTAAGCCATTCTGGTGAACGATTATAATTAGGAGTGTTCTGGTTTCTCAAACTGAGTGACTTATTTTTTTTTTTGCTTTTTAGAAAACTTCATAGGGACTAGCCCTTTCCTTCAAGAACCTCTTGAGTCCAACTTTTGCTTTGTTTATTTGAGATGACCTCAGGGTCATGAGCAGCATAGTGGTTTCGAGATATTACCTGCAGCACACTTAAGAAAACCTGTATTTCTGCATATTGGAGAGTTATGGGCAAAAAAACCCCCCTATGTATCAAAGCACAAAAAAAATGCAAAGCATGTTGTCAATCAGAAGATGATCTGAAAAAAAAGATGCAGCTAGTCAAAATATATTTTATTAGCCTAGAAGCTCTTCAAAACAGTTGCAAGCTTAAAAACCTAAGATGATTTTTTTAGGCCAGAGTGCCCAGATATTTTTTTAAACAAACAAACCAACCAACCAACCAACCAACCAACCAACCATAAGCAATGTTTGATTTAGACAGATTTCTAAGATTTCTTGAATAATATTCAACTCTGATGCCATGAGATGGAAATATAATACTTCTTATGTTCATTAAGTGTTTTCCTTTATCTTGGGCTTCAGGAATTTCTCTTCTTTTGCAGCTAGCTACAGTTGGATTGCACCCGGAACTTTAGACTGTACTATGGCTATGCGTGCCATGGCTCGCGGGTGGCGCTGTGGTCTAAACCACTGAGCCTTGGGCTTGCTGATTGGAAGGTCGGCAGTTCGAATCCCTGTGACGGGGTGAGCGCATGTTGCTCGGTCCCAGCTCCTGCCCATCTAGCAGCTCGAAAGCAGGCAGTGCAAGTAGATAAATAGGTACTGCTCTGGCGGGAAGGTAAATGGCGTTTCCGTGTGCTGCTCTGGTTCACCAGAAGCAGCTTAATCATGCTGGCCACATGACCCGGAAGCTGTCTGCAGACAAACGCTGGCTCCCTCGGCCTATAGAACAAGATGGGCACCGCAACCCCAGAGTCGTTTGTGACTGGGCTTAAATGTCAGGGGTCCTTTACATTTTTACGGTTGGATTGCACCTGGAACTTTAGACTGTACTATGGCCATGTGTGCTTCCCACTATTTTCATCTGGAGAGATACATTTAGACCCTGATAAGACAGCTATCATTCATACCCACCCGCCTAGAAACTGAAAGGTAGAAGTAGCAAAAGATACTTTTTGTATTGCCCTTGAAGGATGCATCATGACAGTTACAACATACATCGGTTGGAATCCCCAAAGCCCCCAATAACAATAACTTGAGCTCAATGTTAACCAGAAGGCCATCTCTTAATCGTGTTAAGATCCAAGAGCAACTATTCCAACTATGTAGCAAGTTTTCAAGTTGAAGGCATGGAGATGCCCTCAAATGTTGCTTAAATACCACAGACTTCTCACACACCCATGAGATTCAGCAGGCTCAAGCTGAGCATCTTCTAGAACAGGAGTTCCCAAACTGTGGTCTGCAGACCACCTTCTTGATCCACAATGTGCCTGTAAAAATACAATTAAAAATCAAACAACAACTAGCACAGCACATTACAATTCTACAACAGGCAGATTAAGTGGTCTGCAAAGACCTCCAGTGCTTTTTAAGTGGTCCGTGGGAAAAAGTTGGGGAACCAATGCTCTAGAAAACACTGAGCTAACATTAACAATACTCCTTCTGAGCAGATGAGCAAAACTATCAGTTGTGAGGTTGCTCATCTCTCTTTGCTTTTCTGTTAAAAGCAGTAAAACTGACCAGATCAGAAGCTGTTTGCAATATCAGCTAGTCAGTTCACTACTATTTATTCGTATGAAATATGCAGAAGCATCTGTAGCTAGGATAACAGAGTATGCATAGGATTAGGCTTGTACAATAAGGTACCAATAAGGCACCAATGTTAGAATAGGATAGGGTCATGTTAGCAGTAGTGAAATTTTGAAATATGCGCACTTATTTTAATTTAACAGCTTACCTTGCTGTTAAAATAAGTGTGCATAGTTCACACTTATGCAATAAGCACACTTATATTTTAGTTTAAAACATTGAAGATATGGGGTAAGGGAGAAATATGAATGCAAGGAGAAATTTGAATATGCAGTCTTAATGGATAAATGAAACCTGGAAAGGGAGGGGGGAGAAGGAAAGTCAATGATTGAATGTTTGGTTATATTTAATGAAATGTGAAGCAGTGCAATGGAAAATTATAAATAGAACAAAATAATTAATTTAACAGTTTAAGAAAACAATCAATGATGAGACAGATAAATAAAAATTATTTTAAACTAGTTGGCAACCCTGGTAAAAATGAAAATGTAGACAATTCTCACAGCTGTACCTAATGTGTTTGCAATTATTCTGATTATATTATACCTCTCAGATCTTCCTATTCAAGTTACAGAATGTCTGCTTTCTTGCTTTCAAATACAGATTTGATACAAATCACTTTTAAGATGGGTGCATATCATAGCACAGAAACTCACCCAAGTACAGTAGATTTGTACTCCAGACCAATGGATAATTAATGACCTTTTTCAAACTACTCTAACTTGAAATTTAAAAAGAAAAGCTACTCAACAAGAGAAGCCAATAATTTAGAGAGCACTTCCCAATGTTTCCAGAGTCTTTATAATTTAAAAATAGACACTATCATTAGAAAATGGCAATCACATACAGGCAGTTCTATCTATATTGAAAATCAGTAAGCAGTAAAGACAAATAAGAAGTGAACTGGCATACTGTGCAGGCTTTTACAATGCTACTTTGCCTGATCAGACAGCTAGGAAACTATTTTTGTATAAACAGAAAACAAGCTGCTTCTTTTTTCTTTCAGGTTGTCAGTGTTCAAAATGCCCAACTCAGGTATCTGAACTTTTTTTTTGTCTTATCTGAAAAGTTGATATTGATGTACAAAACAGCATCTTAGAAGAAAGGGTGTAAGTCGCTGGGTACAATATGGCTGACCGCTGCACCACGTTAACTGGTAGCCATGTACATGCAGAACTGAGTGGGTGTGGCCACACCATGCTCTTACATGCACACAGACCCATGTTGTGCATGTAACTAGCTGAGGATAGAGGAATATCACCCCTTACCAATCATTAAATGATCAACCTGATGACCAGGGTGGGGTGTAATTTTCACTTCAATCAGGTGCTGCAGTGTGCACAGTGGCTAAACCTCTGCACCCACCCGAAAATATACACACACTCCTAGCTGCTGTTGGGAGTTTTGAGTGGCCAGAAAAATGTGCTTGGAGAGCCAAGGGCTAACCATTCCTGATCTTGATAAATCATTAGCACATGCTTCTTACAAGAGCAACTCACACAGCCAGTTCTAACTATATGATGATTGTTCCTATAGTTAAGCTCACCATATATTGAAATAGTATGAAGTAGGCAAAGCACAAGGACATAAACAGTAGAAGGAAAGCACAAGAACAAACCAAATACCGTAAATTCCGGCGTATAAGACGACTTTTTAACCCCGGAAAAGAGGTTAAAAAGTTGGGGGTCGTCTTATATGCCGGGTATCTGCCCCCATCCCCCCGCTGCTGCGGCAGGCTCCGCTCTGCACTGGGAGAGAGCCACCCGGCGTGGAGCCCGCCCCCCGCGCTGCTTCAGAAGCAGCAGCAGGGGCGGCAGGCTTCGCTCCACGCCGGGCAGGTTTCTCCTGGTGCGGAGCTGCCCAGCGTATTAGACAACTGGGCTTATAAGATGAACCCCAAAATTGCAGCTGCCAATTTGGGGGATCATCTAATACGCCCAGTCGCCTAATACGCTGGAATCTATGGTAGCTATCAAGGCAGACTCTCTAGTTTTACTGAGGGACTTCTGAACCGTCAGTGGTGTGGGCAGAAAAAATTCTAGAAGATTTTCCACCGCTTTATTTCTTCATTAATTTTTTTATATTTCATAAATTCATTAGTAACAAGGAAAGTATGCCTAGTGCATATAATACATACATACATACATACATACAGACAGGGAAGCTTGGCAGTTTCCAAATTATTGACTTTCTTTGCTAAACACAAATAAAATAAACATGCTAAATTAGATTGCTCTCAAGGGAACCAGACACTTTTCTGCTACAAATTGAAAATCTTCTGCTGCAAATTGCCATAATGTGCATAAGAGATTTTTCCAATTCAGAATTTCCTGGAAAAACCACACCCCTGGTTTTGTAACTTGTCACTCTATTGGACACGAAAGTGAAACAGAACTGCTTAGAACTTTAAAAATCCAGATCACTCTTCTGAGTTTTGTAACTCAAGGGCTACATGATTCCTATCTGCCTTAGACAGAGACCACAGGGAGGCCAAGTATTAAAATCACATGAACTCAAATTCTGCAATAATGCAGCAGGGCATATAACCTCAAGAGATTTGTTCCATTTTAAATTGTCTTTTTGAATCTACAAACCATCTATGATATACAGAACTTGTTCAACGTGCCAGAGTTTGAACATGATGGTATTATATTACTTCCAAAGTAAAAGGTACTTGGTTGCACCAGCACACACATGTGCAAAGAATACATCTTTGGAGTAAAGTAAACTAATCAATTACAGTAGTACCATTAGATATCCTAGTTGTTGCTGTCATTCTTTAGTATGCTATGATGAGGTTACTTCTGGACTCATAACAGCTGCAATTTTGTACATTTGCTATAAAGTATGTAGACTACAGTATAGTTCTCAACACATAATGTCTTGTACTCAGACAGATTGATTATATTAGTGTGGAAGTTCATATACTATTTCTGATTTCTCAGTATGAATTTTGTGACTGACCATACTGTACATATATCCCAAGGCAAATGTTTGTGCGTAGCTTCTTCCAGAGCCACAAATTACTTTCTGTACCCACTGGCTTTATGCTAGACTGACACTGCAATCAAATCTCTGGCCTGTGGCGAAACGGAAAGGTTGTTTTGTTTTTTACAAAATCTTACACCCTAATCTTAAACACTTATGCTTAGAAGACCCGTCCATTTCAAGAAAAGCTCAATGTAAATTTTGTGAATGGAAAATGATAAAATGCTTTCATAATGCTGTGTTTTAATGTTTTAACTATGCTGAAAGCCACCTCGAGTCTGAAAGGTATATGATAACTGTGGAGGTGAAGTTCAAGCAGTCCTAACTAACAGCATTATGTTAGCAGGATGACCATCAAGAGATTTGGGTATGTCAGTCTTTAAAATTCTCATGCAATCACATATTTCACACAATTGCCTTTAGGACACACTTATTCCTATGATATTCACACACAATCACCAGTTATTACAGGATACACACACATACACAGAATGGAAAGCAAACAGATCTTTGTCAGAATTGAGAGGTCCCAGTATAGCAGTCCACTGTGGTTCAGTGGTAGGGTACAGCTTTCATTCCATGCAGCCGGTGTTGAACTGCAGCTAAAAGTAATGCTTCAACAAAACACTAAAAGAAAGCCTGAAAAACTTCCAGTAGCCTGCACACCAAGTCAATTGCTACTGCAGCTTAGGAATTTGAATCTTATGGACAGTCCAAGGCCTGCACATGGTAACATTTAGGAATCAGCATGTTCCACAGAAGTGGAACAACAGAAGCACGAGCAATATTTCAATCCAAGACACCATTACAAAAGAAGCTTGGAATACATTCAGTGAATACATTCGGAAGCTCACCTAGTATCTGTGGATGCCATCCTTAGGCACTTGGTCCCTGTGTTTTTAGAAAGTTCATAGCTGTTCAGAGTTCACAGATGCACAGAAAAGTTACCAGTGACCACAATTCCAACACAGAAATTCCCTAATCTAGCAGGATGCATGAGCATGGAACCTGGATGTGTCTAACTTCAGTATTGGGTACTATAGTTACTTCCTCTCAGAATTATACACTTAACTTTTAAGACATTATTTTATAACCCAGCAACTGTCTGCATGGTGAACTGTATCTTTTTATTACTGAAATGTATAGGATACATGCTTAATCTAATGCTCTGATGAACTGAAGTTTTAGATGCATTTCCCGTTTCAAAAATCTGCTGTTGTGTACTGAATACAGTGCAAAGGTTTTCATGTTTTAGAATATTTGTTCTTGATTACACTACACATTTTTTTTGTTATTTGTATTCCAAGGGCAGCCTTGGCAATAAGTCCGCCAAAGTTACTATCCCACAGAAGTTGTTGTTATTATTATTTTTAAATTAAAACCCCACTTTTCCCCACAAAGGAGTTGCTCAGTGACTTGCACATGAAGAGTAAGCAGAAAAGCAACAATGACACAACCAAAAAAACACATATTAAATTAAACAGAGAAGCAAAACAAAAACACAAAAAGCAGCAACAGCAGCACCAATCAATGCACTAAGTAGCAACAGAATCAAGAGCATGTTTAAAAATAAAAGCTTTCTTAGTGCCAAGATAATATAAAGAGCAAGGGGGCAGAGAGTTCCACACTACCACAGATAAAGCAGTTTCTCTCATCTGTTACCACGCACCTAGCCTTAGCCGGCAACACCAAATGCAGGAGGGGTTCAACATCCAATCTTAAAGGATAGGTACATTTACATAAGGGAAGGTGATGCTAATTAACTTAGTACTAAGTTGTTTGGGGCTGTACAGTAAGAAGCACTAGCTCCTTTACTCACACATACCATGTTACTTATTTGTGGAACCATCAACAGCTGGAGCAAAAGCAATTTTCCTTTTTTTTAATTTTCCATTTTAAAGAAGTTTCTCTGACTGGTCATCTGAAGGAGATTCTTACCACAGACAAGTGGCTATTTACATGCTTATTAACATTTAAAAAACACTTATTTTTGCAGAGTTGTATACAACATTAGTCATACTCAGAGAAGACCCTTTGAAATTAATGGTCCTGACTAATTTAGGTCCATTAATTTCAATGGGTCAACTGTGAGTATAATTTAGTTGACTACATGTCACAGCATCTTAGGTTATAGCAGCCTGAAAATACAAGCCAGAACTTTCTTTTACTATAGTGTTTAAGTTACATCGTTGTTGTTTTAAAAAACGTAATGTAATTTTTTGTACAACTTCACAATTTGGTTTCTTGGAGATTCCAAATAATCTTGGGTGTAAGAATCATGTACTAGCCTACCTTGAAGAAAAATAAAAAAGGAAACACAGAGGCTTGGTTCAGATATAATGATCCTGATCTAATAAGCCAGAGTTTGTTAGATGAAGTTGTGTCTGCACATTCTCCCCTCTCACACCATAATACAACACTTCTAGGGTTTGCTAAGCAAGTTTCCCATTACATTCAGCTGGAAAACTTGGTTTAATCTCTGCCTACTGACCATAAGATGAAACCAAGATCTAGTAAAGCCTGGCTTGCAAACAGATCAAACCAGTTTTAGTGGTTCAGTTGTAACAGAAATAAACCACAAAAGATGTGCCAAAGCTGGGTCATGGCAGGTACAAAGCCAAAATGTGGGGACTAGATTTGTTCTTTAATAAAACATCATTTATTAGACCAAGATTATTTCCTCTCTGCCAGGTCATGCACTCACAGATCCTTGTCCCCAAATAAATTATAATCTATATTTTGAGAGTAGGGAGAGTTCAGAGGAAGAAACAAGAGTAACAAGGGATGAAATGTGAGCAAGCACAGTTGAGGGATGGAGACGAATGGGTTAAGCAAGGACTTTCCTGAACTGGTGAGCTCTAGAGAATTACTTGAAAATATTTGTTCTGGAAAGAAATTCCAGGCACAGCAATGGAAAAAATGCAGAGATGTTTAAGGGATTTGGGCTACTGGTGGTGGCAGTGTTGGAGGAAGAACTAGATGTATCAGCAAATAAGGATAGAGAGATAGGTTAGAACAAGGCAGAAGGTGATATCCAATGTTAGTCATACTCAGAGCAGATCCACTGAATTAAGCCAATTTGTTTCAGTGAGTATGGCTTAGCTGGATATCACCCAGTGGTTTTGAAGATAACTATGCTTAAGGCTTGTGAGGATATGTATAAAGCTGCTTTCCTGGCTCATTCTTAAAAAACAACAAGACAAATAAAATTTGCTTTAAGCATTTCCCAAATCGTTAGAAGGCTAACAACTAGAATAAGTAAAGTGCAAGCTTTTCTAAATCTATGCAATATTCCAATTGAGAAATATGGTCCCTGAGTCTGTTTGTGTAGTTCAGGAACATGTGCAAAGGGAGGTTACAAAGGCAAGTCAATGATTTCTTCCTTTGTGCATGGAGTAATCAGAAAACATCCACTAACCTAAACAGATGAAAATGGTCAAAAACAGGTGAACTTTCTGCCCCACAAAAAAGAGAAAAGGTTACTTGAAAATAGATAACTACTGAGCCAATTCCAAATCAAACCATGAAGAGATCACCACTACTGGTAGTTATGCCCTATTTGCACAAACTTTAGAGTTATGCCAAAACATGTGATGAGAATAAACTTCCCCACTTTATCCTTCCTCAAAGAGGCCAAAGTTAGCATGCATGTGATGATGAATACACAACCGCTCTAGAGCTATCCCAGCAGCACTAGAAGAATGAGAGAGCAAATAAGAACATAGGCTAGAGAGAAAGCATAATCGGCTACCCACACTTTCCTGGTCCTTCTCTAGTTTCTTTATTAGGCCCCTTCTCCCCTCCTCTCAAGGTGCATAGATAATACAATCACAGAATTGGAAGGGACCCTGAGGATCATCTACCCCAACCTTCTGCAATGCAGGAATATGTAGCTGCTCCATACAGGGATCAAGTCTGCAACCTTGGCATTATCAGCACCATGAGCTATCCAGGAGTCTGGCTACTTCCTTTGATGGCACAAGGAAAAATACCTTCTGGATAGTGCAGGATAGGCTTCCTGGAGTTGTAGGATACAATTCACTCTAGCAATACTGGTTTGTTTTGCAGCACTTTCAATATACTTCCTACTCTGCACCTAGTTTTCAGAAGGCCAGTGTGGGGTGGGGAAAAGAAGAGTACTGGGAGTGATGAATTCTTCTGGTATTTCATTCACTCCCTTCACCCATCAAGTTTTCTTGCTGTCCTCACTTGTAGTCCTATATAATTTTTATTTTGTGTGAAAAGGTTTGTGACCCAAACTCCATGATATAACAAAAATTGTAAGCACTGTGTGCATCAAGAAAGCAATTCTAGAACAGGAAAGGTGTCTTCTGGAATAAGATCTAGTTCATTATCTCAAAACGATAACTCTATATATTCCAAATCATCTATCAATTAAACACTGCAAAGGGTTGGACTAGATTACCCTAAGGGTCCCTTCCAACTCTACAATTCAATTACTCTATGATTCTATCTCATTTTCTTTTAAGAAGCACCCAGTATTTTTAAACAACAGTCTTCTGGTATCTTAAAGACTAACAAAATTATGTTGGTATAAGCTTCTATAGACTACAGTTTACTTCATCAATTGCATGGAGTGGACTGTAATTCAGAAAAGCTTGTGCTATAATAAATGTGTTTCTTTCAAAAGTACCATGTAACCAGCATTTGAAATTCACCAGGTGCCAGGCGCATTTTGCACCTGACTACTGGCCACTTGCGACCCAGAGAGGACGCCCAGGTGCCAGGATGGCCCCTGACGTCTCCACCATCTAGAGGTGCATGCCTTGGGTCTTGACTGTTTTCACACACTAGCAACACATCCGGTAGAATTCTATCTGCTAGATTTTATCTGCAAAATCAGAATGAATTTCAAGAACTAAAAAGTTGTATTGAAAAATATAAATTTCAAGCTGTCTGGCCCCAAAATGACAACTAGGCATTGTTTTGAAAACTGTACTCCTAGTTTAAGGAGCCATTTGGTGTCTAGCTTATATATCTGAGTTTCTAACAATGCATAACTGTGCTTTCTGATGCCACAGACTAATACTGCTACTTATCTGGACAGTATTTTAAAGGCAATGACATTTCTAATTCCAGTTAGGATCCCTCTTTTTAAAAAGTATTCACTGAGTCGCAGAAAGTTTTCCTTTAAATAGTACTTGTAAATGTAGTTTCTGCTCAGACCCAACATCCTAGACCTCAAAGGCAAAGCCCCCTTTTAGAAGTGCTGAAGCAGGTCCCACCAATATCAATTGAACTTAATTGGAACTTTGTTCAGATGCATAATGGCAATATTGCTTTAAGACTGTTTAGCAAAGAAATTATTTTTCTATGTTCAAGTACAATATGTAATAGACATTACCTTACACAACATAGTGGGACGCGGGTGGCGCTGTGGGTAAAACCTCAGCGCCTAGGACTTGCCGATCGCATGGTCGGCGGTTCGAATCCCCACGACGGGGTGCGCTCCCATTGCTCGGTCCCAGCGCCTGCCAACCTAGCCGTTCGAAAGCACCCTCGGGTGCAAGTAGATAAATAGGGACCGCTTACTAGCGGGAAGGTAAACGGAGTTTCCGTGTGCGGCTCTGGCTCGCCAGAGCAGCTTCGTCACGCTGGCCACATGACGCGGAAGTGTCTGCGGACAGCGCTGGCTCCCGGCCTCTAGAGTGAGATAAGCGCACAACCCTAGAGTCTGTCATGACTGGCCCGTACGGGCAGGGGTACCTTTACCTTTACACAACATAGAACATGCATCCATATCCAGAACTAAAGTAAAAAAAGGATTGCATTCTTCTACTAACGCTATAAAGTTTGAAGAAATAAATAGATAACCACCACTACTAAAAATATTCCAGAGCCATACTAAATGCACCATGGGTGATAAAAGTTCAGCAACACACAATAAGATACCATTATATGAGGCTTTACTACTAAGTGCTACAATTATATTGTTTCCGTTTAACATTGACCACAGTTGCAGTAAGAGCTCTCAAACACTTTATGTGCAAATATAAAGTAGACTACAAATAAAGTCACTGTTCATTGTCTTTCGGCTACTGTAGCATGGCCTTGATCTTTACAATCACAGCTTTCAGTAGATGTTAATATATAAAGGACATGGATTAAAAGTAATCACTGCCCTCCCCCGCTTCCACTGTCAGTTTACAGAACTTATTCAAAACTTGTAGCCTTTCTAACATGTTGTGTAAACTTATAACAAAAATTTGTAAGATTTGTTTCCTCAGGCAGCTATTTTGACAAGGATGAGTAGTTCTATAACAATGCAAACTGCAACAGTCACTGTATCAGATAGCAGAAAAACCTCTGTTTCAACGCTTGCAAAGCATTCACAAGTCTTCATATTCTGAGAATCCCTCAACCCCTCTCGCTGCAGTGGTACTTCCTTTTGTTCTCAACCCTCTACAAATTCACAGTTCTAGAAAGCGTCTTTGAGACAGCGCAATATTGCTACCACTGCCTTATTTTGCATTCCTGACAGTTGCTACAGATCTGACAAGTTAACAAATCTGACGTGTGCATTTTTACTACAATTTGACACTGTTGATATGAAAGGGGTGTGTTGTGATGCAGAACAAGTAAAATCCATGCTAGATTTGGGCATGTGTTAGAAAATGTTCTGGAAATCACAGACCTGCACACCACAGGATAGAGTGAGGAGAGAGAATCCTCACAGGGACCAAGCGTATTTAAAATGATGCCTAACTCCCTATAGAGTACACATGCAACAGCCTAGAGCTGTCCCAAACATACTACAATGCTGCAGGTCATTCACTTGAAGGCAAAGTGAATGTCACCCACCCCAGGCACACAGAATACGCTCAGCAGAAGCAGAACTGTGCCCAGAGGGTTGAGCAAGAATATGCTGCCTGATTCACAAATGCAGGGATAGCCAAGATGGTACCCGCCAAAGGTATTTGGACTACAATTCCCATCAGCCTCAACCAGCACGATCAATTGTCAGGGAAGTCATAGTCCAACAAAATGACGCCACTTTGGCTACCCCTGCTGTCAAAGTAAGACTAAGGGCCTGTGGCGCCACAGTTCACCAGGACCATCACTGACGCCACGCGAAGAGGCAGCATGGCAGGGAAGGTAGGTTAGACTAAAGCCCCAAAGTGAGTCTCTCCTCCCAGGAAACAGGTTTGAAGCCAGAGGCTTTTTCAAATGTCAGGTATGCATTGATTCAGCATACCAGAAACCACCGATGGACAAGAAAACTATTCCTATGCATACTATCAGTTTACACTGCATCAACATGACAGCCCATTCTGAACACAGGCATTACAGTGTGGCATTCTCAGACCAGTAGTACCCAACAAGCTACTTTTCTCCCACCCCACTTTTGCACAGTGTTACAGCTGAACAAGCACCTTCTGGAGATGCTATTAACTGGTGGAGGCAACTTAAATCCCACTGAAATCAAACACAATGAAGGCCTCAGGGCCTCAAAGTTAGGATGAAAGCTTCAGCACTGTACACACTTAACCAGAAGTTAGTTCAACTGAATTTCATGGTGCATGCACAGGATTCTACATTTTAAGCATGCATCTCTCTCTCTAGATTTGCTTATTTTTAAAATTGGTTTAAGCTTTTGATTATTCAATGGAAAGGATTTTATTTTATTTGACTACATCAGGGTGGGCAACAGTGGCCCTGCAGGTGTTAGACTACAACTACCATTATCCCTGGCCACTGGTCATGTTGACTGGGGCTGATGGGAGTTTTAGTTCAACATCTGGAGGGTCATAGGTTCCCCATCTCTTGACTAAGCAACATTTAGGGCTTTATTCTGAGGAACCATATTTTATGAAACCAAAACCATCTTTATGTAAAATTACTTGTCTAACTACAAAAGGAGACAGATGCTAACGAATAAAAGTTGCCCATCTCAAAAATTGCTGAGGATCAAAAACACTCCAAATCATTTCTACTGCAGACATGCAAATAGAAATAAACACTCAAAACCTCAAGAGTTCATATTAGTAATCCACCTCATAATCTTAAACACATCTACTTAAAAGCCTGATTGAATTCAATGGGACTTACTCCCAAGTAAGTATGTTAGCAAGGCCTTAATCTCCAATGTGAAGTGCCAGCAATTGCTTAAATGCTTTGCTTGTGTTCTTTTACGCTATGTTCTCAATCCCAAACAAAATGCTTCTTACCAAGATCCTGCACGACAAAATAATATTAATAATCGTTTACTAGCGTTAGGTCTCTTTCGCTTTCTGTAGAGAGAGGTTTCAAAACACATTAACATGCTGCAACAGAAGACTGCTTCTCCTAAGCAGGAGGAGCTCGGAATAAACTGTTTCCACAACAGCAGAGAACAAAAACTATAAGAGGGAAAGGTTAGGGAGTTTTCTACAGCAGCCTTTTTTTCTGTTGGGGGGGTGGGGTAAGGAAGGAAGAGGCGGAGAGAAAAGAGGAGAAAACACACAAGCGCCAAACAAATCACAGTTTGCACCCGAGCTTTGCCCCGACCCCCACCCCTCACCCCAAGGTTGCCGAGAGAAAAGCTTTTCTTCCGACGACGAGGGCCAAGAGTTTTACCAAGAGCTATTGGGGCGGGAGGAGTAGACCCCACCCGCTCCCATTCATTGGCCTCCTCCGGGTTGGGACTAGGCCGGCCTAAGCGGAGGGATGCACCTAGGTAGGGATGCCGGGGACACGCAGCAGCAGCAGCGGCCTCCGGGTGCGGGGCGTCCACGGAGCTCCTCTGCACCCCCCCCCCGGGGAGTGGGGCTCTGCATCTGCCCCCTCTGAGCCTTGCGAGGGGACCGGTTAACCCGCTTACTCCTAAGCCCCCGGGGCGGGATGTGGCTGCAGCAGTTTCCCCAGAACCCCCACGCCAAAGGGGCACAGCGAGCGGGCCGGCCGGCCTGCCGCACCGGTTGCCGCCAGTGCCGCAGCCCGCCAGACTAGGCCGCAGGGCCTTGCTGCTGCCACGGCCCGTCCCGGTGCACCTTGGCGAGAGGAGGAGCAGCAGCCGGGCGGCGGCAGAGAGCCGGCCTGCCTCCCCCCCGGTCTTTGTCGTCCGCTTCCAACTCACCGCTCTCGATCTCGTTGCCCTTCTTGGCGGTGGCGGCGTTCCCCATGGCCGGGAGGCCGGCGGGCTGCTCCGTCCGTCCAGCGGGGGGAAGAAAGGGAGGGAGGGAGAAGGGCGGGAATCCCGAGCGGCTTCTGTGGAGCCGGCAAGACGCGAAGAAGGAAGGAGTGTGGCGTCGCCGCTTCGGTCTTTCCCCTCAGCGCTCGGCCTTCGGCTTCTCTCCCCCTCGCTCTAGTAAGGGGGCTCCGGGCGGCCTCTAAGTCGGAGGCGGCGAGGGCTCCTCCGGGTCCTGCCTCCTTTCTTTCCGCTTGTCCGCCTGCCCTCCCCGACTCCACACACACACATACACGGCGGAAATGACGGCCGCTGAAGCGCCTCCTCCTTCTCCTCAGCCGTTCCTCCTCACGCTCGCAAGGGCTCCGGCTTCGCCTGCCCGGCGGCCTGGCGGGGCTACGCTCTTTGCGGAGGAGGAGGAGGAGGAGGAGGCCCCCTGCCGGCCTCGCTTTCCGCTTTCCCCCTCAGACTCTTCCCCACAACGCACCTCCTTTTGCCTTCGAGTAAATAATTCACCCCGAGGGACCAGCCTTTTTTTTCTCTTCCCCTCAGCTCTTTCCTTCTTCACCCGCACTTGCAAACGGTTACAGCAGTAGTCCCAAGTCCGCAATTATTTCAGGAGCGGATCTAACGCGCCCTTCGCGCGCCGCTGCGACTCCTCCTCCCGAGTAGATAAACTCATGGAAGTTTGTGGGAGTTTGGTTTATGGATCATATAAACGCGCCTTGGCTTGGGATGCCCCATCCTGTGCTTGAGTCTTATATCTATACTGTTAATGTTGAAGCCAGTGAGAGATGGGATATGGGGCAAAAGGGAGGTTGGGGAAAGGTGTAATCCAGACAAGACACTTTGGGAGATATTTCTGTTGGACACACTGGGTGCAGTTGTTTTTTGGACTGCTCCCGGATTCAGCTTTGCTCCAGATTCCAACAAATGCACCAACTGGCCTTTTTCTGAAGATGGATCTTGCTGCAGTAACAGGTTTCTTGTTTGCCTTTCATATTTAGGTCATGGTATGTGCAGTATGTGGCGGAACGGTTCTGAAAAGTGCCCAGAAGCCTTTTAGTTGATGCAAAATGCAGCAGTCATGCCATACTGATACTGTGCATTCTTCGCCAGTTTTGGATTTCTTCCTGGGCCCGGTTCAAAGTGTGGTTGTTACCCCTTTTCCGGGCCTGGACAGTTTGGAAGTTGGAGGGCTACTATTTCTGCCCATATGAATCTGCCCACACACTTTGGTCTTCAGAGGAGGCCTTGCTATGGATGCTATTTTCATCTGAGGGTGCAACAAACAAGATCTTTCTTTTAGTGTACAGGCTATTTAACATCTTGCCACAAAAAAATCAGCTAGGGGTAGGGTCTTCCTTGTGGTGCCCCCCATTTGTGGAACTCCCGGCCTATGGAGATGCGGCTGTCTCCCTCACTGACAGTGTTCAAACAATGGCCTTAGACACACTTGTGCTCACAAGCATTTGTGGGAAGTTGGCAAATTGAATTGTTTTGAATTGCTTGATTAAATGTGATTTTTAAAATGATGTTTACATTGTTATATGGATTTTATTATATGTTCCCTGTTTTAGGATCCTATGGGATGAGGGGTGGTTTATATAAATGTAAATAAAAAATAAACTAGGCAATTAAACCTTTCTTGATTAGATATGGTTTGCAATGATGAAAGTAATGATTTACATCTGTGGCTATGAAGGTTGCTACAGTTTTAAAATAATGATTAATGATGCTTTTGCTCCTTCTATATATTGAGTTTTTCATGTTTTATGATTGCTTGTTTTTGAGCTAGGGCCTGAAACCCAAAACACAGACACATGAATATTGTTATGATTATTTATTGTGGTAAAAAAAAGTGGCTTTGAACACATTCAGAGTACATTTTTTAAATTGCTGAGTAACTATACCCTTTTGCTCTCTAGTAATCTGATATTAGAGATCAAGGTTTTATTTTGGTTGTGTACATACCATAACTTTTAAGCACACTCTTTTACTCCAAGAATTATGGGCACTGTAGTTTACCCCTCAGAATTACTATTTCTAGCAACACTTAACAAACTACAGTACCCAGAAACAAGTTCAATTAGGCTGCTATCCTAATCGCATTTACCCGAGAGAAAACTCCGTACAATAAATAGGACTGACTTTTGAGGAGATATGATTGGAATTGCACTGATAGTGTATTTGTGATTGGCGCCTCAAATTTGTAGAGACACTTGTGAACTTGAGCAGATGCACTTCAAATTTTGGAAATTAACAGTACGTACAATTCTGTAGCTAGAATTAAGTTGCACTGTGTTGAGAGGCCCATGGGTACTGGACTGCAACGTAAGTATGGTTTAGTAGCCTTGTAATTGCACTCATAGCTAGGTGACTTTCATTGCAACTTTCCTCAGTATACAGTACTGCCTTTTCTACATCTTTCAAAAAATAATTTTGATGCACACTGCTCTACCATCACCTTTAAATTAATATTTGGATGATTGTGAATTTTGTGAAATTATGATATAGTTGGTGAAATTTCAGTTTTTGCTGATCTAAACCACTCAGAAGGAAATGTATGATAGGAGGCAGGCTTTTAAATATTTAATCTGATGTGTTTTTTATTACATTTTCCCAGTTCCACTATAAAATATTGTACCATGATCATTATGCAATGTCTGGCAACCTTTATTGTGTCTCAGGGTTGCTTTTTCCTCTTTTGTCCTTAAATTGAAAGAGGTTTTGTTCTTTTGGGTTGGGTGGTGCATTTCATTCCAGTTTCAGAAATGTGCTGTTTATCCATGAGCCGCCTGTCATCTATTCTAAAATATGGTTAAAGACATAAGTGTGAAATTTAAAAATGCTCTTTCCTCTATTTTAAGAGTGTAGCAGGAACCCCCCCACCCCAATCATTCAGTTTGTACAAACTTCACACACTCACACTCACACACCACATATGCCACACTTCTGTTATAAATTCATAGAAAAATCAACCATACATTGGATTTGCACTGTTCCATTTTTATTTTACTCCATATGACAAGGACTATCAAAGGGGGGTGGCTTGGTTCTGGTCAGCCATAATCCCTTCACCATCCCAGCACATCCACCGGAGCCCTGCCCAGTTGCTATGCCAACCCTGATGGTCCTAGACAGAAGACCATCAAGATCACAAAGAACTTGCATATGGGAGTGGATTCAGCATGGACTGAAACAAAGGACAATGATCAGATCTTCCCTCTGGGGGCAGGAAACTGCCAACTCCCTTTGTCTCCTGGAAGTGACTCATGGGCCGGGGAAAGGAGGAACCAGCCAGGTGACAGGACACTCAGGTTACCACCACAACCCCTCCTTTCTGTAATGTATGCATGATGTCAACCCCTCCTTTCTGTAATGTATGCATGATGTCAACCCCTCCTTTCTGTAATGTATGCATGATGTTTCTGGGGTGGGCTTGACCTAGAGGAGGGAATTTCAAAGTTTTTATAAGGTCTTGCACACCATCTTTCTGGGTCTTTCCTCTCTCCTGCAAGTGAGGGGAACACCCTGTTGCAACAGTCTTTTCTTCAATAAAGACCAAGCCTACTGGCTGCTGATTTGCTTCCAATTGCTCTGGTTGGTGTCTTTGTTTTTGTCCAAGGGAGCCCTCAGATTTTCCGTTAACAAGAGCAAACTCATTCTCCGAGCGTGGATCCTTTCAAAGCAAAAGCAGCAGTATCCATGCCCAAGAGGGAGCAAACTCTGAGAAACTCCAAAAGTTGTAGAAGTACAAAAAATATATATATTGGGGGGGGGTTAGGGGAGGGGAGCAAAAAGCACAATGATAACTTAGCATGCTCATTGGTCATGGAATGCTCTCTGTCTCTGTGTGTTTGATGAGAGAGACAGAAATCTAGAAGGGGACATTTGAATGGAGTAGCTTGGAAAAGCTGGCAGGCATTCTGAACAAGAGCACTGTACTCCGCAACAGTTTATTGCAGGTCCGTCTTATACTTTCCGAATAGGCACATAGTCCACTCCTGTGTTTACTTGGATGTTAGACATTAGATGTTATAGTGCAGTAGTGGCACTGGAATATTTTAAAAGCAGTTCTCTACCACCTGACTTGCCACATTGTTCTACGCTGATGTTAAAATAGTACTGTATTTTATGATGGTCGTGGAAAAGTGATTTCTGTATTACTGTCAAAGTATCAAAAGGATGCATTTCTTCCAAATTGGTATGCCTGGGTTTTAGGGATGGGGAGAAGTTTAATTCAATTCTCAGCTGAATACAAACCTACCTGATTTGCACTTTTCAAAACAATATGCAAGACAAAATACAGCTTTATAAATTGGAACTTCTCACAATTTTACAGTGCGGTTCTCCAGCCAAGTTATGTGTATAAAAGTCTGTATAAAATTGCATATATTCATGAAAATAACATACAAAAATCCATTACGGAAGGAAAAATGGCTTTGCAAAAATGTGCACATTAGGATATATTCACAATAAAGTGCTGATGAATTTTCATGAGAACTTTTAAAAGAAAATAGCAAACTTCTGTGGAGAACTGAAGACTGAAACATGAGAAATTGAAATGACAGGTATGCCTTGCCGGACAATCATACTAGACATGTTTCAGAAGTAAGTCCTTACTGTGTCTTCGTTCCTATAAAAAGTATAAAAGTAATGTAGTCTCTGTTCTATTGCATATTAAAAACAACAGAACAGGCTAGATTTCTCTAGGTCTCTTCAAGAAAGATGCTTTGTGAAAACACCAGGAGTACAGGTTCTTCTTATCCTATAACGTTGAAAGGATAAGACATATATTCTTTTAGACCAATTATTGGTTTTCATATTTTATTTGAAAATTGACTGAGAAATCAGTTGAGGGAGACTAGATATGGGGAAGCAAAACTGAAGACTGTATGTGAACATTCTGTTTCCTTTGGTAGCCAGATATGCTGGTTGGAGTTCTTTGGTTAAACTCTTGCAGAAGTATTTAAAATTCACTGACTTCTTAAATCTGGTACCTTTCAGAGGGAAAAGCAACCGGGGGGCATTTTTAAGCAGAAAAAAATCCTTTCTGTTCCACCAGTATTTAGAGAGGGTTTTAATTACAGTACTGAAAGAAAATGAAAACTTGGGGCTTCATTATATGCATTTGCATGTAGCATAATTTGCTCCTAGGCCAGTCTAATTAGATAGTTTACAGTTCACTTCTACTTAAGCCAAGCAGTGTAAAGTACATTAAAACGTTCCTTTTTTAAAATATGTGTTTAAGGAAATTAATGGAATAGCCTTAAATGAGGTAGATTAGGGAGACAAGCAAAGGGCACTTGCACAGGCGAAAACTGATTGTTCTTAACACTTTGGCATCAAATCCTGTAACCAAGTGATCTTGGGAGCTCTCTTCCAAATAATGACTCACTCTAAGTAATCCCCCAGAGAAGTATCCATCCACTCCCTAGAGAGCTCGTAATTGTTGGCTTATTTTGACAGGCTTTCTTTGGAATTTCTTACAGTCTGATCTTAGACATGTTAATTCAGAAACGATTCCCACTGTGCTGTGTGTGATTTAATTTCAGGGTTGTGGGTTCGAGGCAGTGGCATAGCTAGCCGCTTAGGTGCCTGGGGTGAGGCTGGGCAGGGCACGCCCAGTGCCTGAGCCGCATTGTGCTCTGGTGGTCTGCAGGTCTGTGTTGCTTCTTTGGGCAGTGTGAAGCCAGCTGGTGCCCCAGCCACCACGTCACTCCCAGGAGAGATGCGTGGCTTGGGAGCACTGCAGGCCCCATGGTAAGTGCCACCTCTGCAGTGTGGTGCCCAGTGCGCCTTGCCCCCCCCCATTCGAGTCCCATGTTGTGCAAAAAATTCCTGCGTTGCAGGGGGTTGGACTAGATGACCCTCGTGGTCGCTTCCAACTCTACAATTCTGTGGTTCTTAAAATGGTAGCATGATTTAAGCATGCTTAGATCTAAAGTAAGTGCTACTGACTACAATGGGAGTTGTTTCCCAAGTAAATGTCCAACCTCAGTTTCTTGCGGGGGGGGGGGGGATATTATTTAATCTATTAATGGGATATTATGAGTCATATATTTTATAACTTAAACTGGAGACTGAGAATTGTATATGAATGGGCCGGGATTCCCCTTCCTGTTTTGCTGCATCTTCCCCAGAAAAATTCCTTTTGCCAATTCCGCTTTCCTTGTACTTCATAATCATAGTCAAAATACATCTTCATTGATTTAGGTACCTCTGAGAGGGTCATCTAGTTCAGCCCCTGCAATGCAGGAATCCTTTGCCCAATGTGGGGCTCGAACCTGCAACCCTGAGATTTAGCCCAAACCCTCATGCTCTACTGACTGAGCTATCCCAGAGATAATAAATTAACGTTTTTTTTTCTGTATGGCTTCTGTTACAGAGAAAGAGCTGATCTCACCGGATTTGCTCTCTGCTTTGTTTTATTTGCCATGTAGATTATCCTGAGTAATTATTTAAAAAACAAAAACAAAAAACTCACAATTTTCCTTTTAGAGAAACAATGCAGGAGACAAATTGCAGGCATGCATGTACCTTAAGGGGCAAAGCTGATTCTTCCTGACACGCAATATGGGACAACCTGCTGGAGA